AGAAACGAGAGGAGTTTTCTGTTTTGCTGCAGTGTTTGAAGGTCACACTGAACATAAACACCAGACGAGGCCAAGGGCAGTGAATTCCTTTGTATGATGGGCCTGGATTCACGGCCCAATTGGTGTCTACCTACTCTGCACAAACACAAGCGGTCGTCAGCACCAAAACCATTTGTCAGTCACTGTTTAAGTATCGAGTGTCCGCTGAAGTGGTATCGATCTAATCCTCCCTTTCAGGGAACCTGATGAAATGGTAGCCTGGGGCTGGCTTGCCATATCCTGTTCTGGGCAAATAATAATGTACATTGTGTTGTCAGAGTGAAAGGGAGGCTGAGGATTGATTCTCCAGCTCAGAAAGTAACGTCTTTCACCCTCTCCTCACCGAAACCAAGCCGTCCTCCCGACGTGAAAGGCGCTCTATAAATGGAATCTTGTTGTTGTTGTTAAAGAGACCCCGCGGTCTTGGGGCAAGAGATAGAACTTGTGGGGTCCTGTAGCGGAGTGGTTAGCGCACTCGCCTCGCAAGAGAAAGGAGCTGGGTTCGATTCCTGGGCGAAACCTTAGGCAACTTTCCTTACGTAGATATAATTATATCCGACTGTTTGTGGGAGACCGCTGTACGCAATTGGCTGCCGTGTTTCGCCCACAAAATCCACAGTCAGTTCCACTTTGCAGTATATCCTTTGAAGCACTTGGAGACATCTCAATGACGTGATAAGGCGCTACGTCAAATGCAAGGATTATTATTGTAGAGCTCGGCTCAGTTGGGCGCATCCTTGCCTCTGGGTCAGAATGCTGTGGGTTCATTCACTCGGTGCCTGTTTACGGGATCTTGCTGTGCACAAAATGGCTGACGTGTTTCCCTGCACTACGCACTGTGCGCGGGTGACTGCTGACTGCCTGGATGTATTTGTATTTGCGGGAGAGTTCCTCGGAGGGGCCTACGGTTGCCCCGGGAGACGAGGGTAGCACTTCCCCACGATGCGTTGCGCGCTGATGGTTTCCTGCCAGGCTCCACACACAGGCAGCCTTTGACCGAAGCGAACCTTGGCTTCCAGAGCTGTTAATCAGCTGAGAATGTTTGAGATGCCAGGAGCAGGGATCTGAGCACGCTGAGATTAGAATACAGGCCTCCCTGTTTATTGCTTAAAGCCTCATGTGGAGTGAGAGAGAGAGAGAGAGAGGAGAGAAATCACCAACGTTAGGAAGTACAGTATTTCTTTGCAGAGGAATGGAATGGGATTGGCCGGGAAGGGTGGTTGAGGTCAGGACACTGGACTCATTTAAGAAACTTGGTTGTATAATGCGAAGTCAGAAGGGTGCGCGTCGTCTCGAAGTCTCCAAACCAAACTGAGAATTCCATGCATCCCACCTACACGCGGAAATCCTAAGAGATAGATTGTTGGAATGGAATGTGCTCTCTCTCTCTTTCTCCCCGGAGGGATGCATCCCTCCCCCTCAGGAGCGAGAGAGGGTGCGCATTCCAATCCAACAATCTATCTCTAGAATAACAAAAAAAAAGTCACTCCACCAAAACAATTTCCTGTGAAGTTCTTATTGAGAGGTGTGTAGACGTTTGTAGGCGAAGGATCAAATGCAGGGTGATGATGATCCGGAGAGTGTTGACCCTCTGAGGGTCTGGTGAGCAGATCGCTCTGCGGCGAGGGAATGCCTGGAGGCGATGCGAGGGACTGGTTGTTGGCGGGAGAGCGATGCTGGCAGAGTGCGGAGTACACTGCTCTTGTGCTCGCTCCGAGTTTCATTCATTCAGGAAACACTGACTCGGGAGCAGGTGACTGGGTTCACTCCGTCCATCGCTCCTTCTCTCTCCTTTCCTGTTGCTGCGGCTGGTGGAAATCCACGTCTATCCTGCCTGGCTGACTTCCCAGTTCCTGCTGGGATATTGCCGGGATAATCGGGATGACATAAGCCTGAACCACACACAAGCTTCTGAATGAATGGACAGAATGTGCACAGTGGGAGCTGTCGTGCGTACAAAAGGGTTGAATGTTGGGTGGGGGGAGGGGGCAGGGTGGAGGGAGAGAAGGCTTAGAATGTCCTAGAATCTAGGACATTCGCAGGAACTCAATCGATGCAGTAAAAAGCAGCCGGAATTTGAGAGATAAATGACTCCCGAGCCCCTGTTCGAACAGAGAAAGTCTTGCCTTGTTCTGACCGTCCAGGTTTACATCAATAATAATCCTGACTTTTGATGTAGCGCCTTATCATGTCGTCGAGACGGCTCAAAGCGCTTCACAGAATATACTCGTCGTGTATTTTGTGGGGAAAATGCAGCAGCCAATTGCGCACAGCAGCGTCCCCACAAACAGTCGTGGATTGAGTGACCCAACTGTTTTTTTTTCGCTTGTTGTTTTTAATGTTGAAGCTAAACTGTTTTTAACTTTGTTGTAAGCTCGGCTGAGGCTGTACAGTAGCACGAAAAGCGATCCGCCAATCGACTAACTCGCCCCAACGAGTATCAAACACGAATGTGATTATAAACTGGAGAAATGCCCCCGATTTACTTTGGGAGAGGGGCTTAACCCCTCCGTTGACTGAAATCCAGCAGCAGATTTCCAATAGGAGCGTAGGACAGGAGGAGGCCATTCAGCCCCTCGAGCCTGTTCCCACATTCTATTAGATCGTGGCTGATCTGTACTTTGACTCCCAATTGCCTGCCCTTACCCCATATCCCTTAATAGCCTTATTAAATAGCGTGCTGGTGTAAGGGGATGCAGATGACGTTGAGGTGCTGAGCTATGTGGACTGCTGCCCAGTGAGGTAATCCCAGGCTGAGCGGTCGGTGTTGGAGCTATCAGAGATGGAGTTGATGTTGTGCCAGCGCCCGCCTCCCTGACAAGTTCAAATACTTTGTTCTGGTGAAACGGCCTTTTACCAGGGAATCATTAAAGCCACCGACACTCAGTGTTCAGCTCCAGTCACTGAACATCCCTGAGAAAGGTTAAGGCATTCGCCATTATTTTACTGTCCGGAATCGCTGGTTAATTATTCGTCAGGGATTACACGGGGTTTAAATGCCCGCAGGTCGCTCCATTCTGTCGCGGCAGCAGCTGTTTTACATACACACACCGTACAACCTTTAAGTCCAGTAGAGTAGTGGTGAGTGTGATCGCCTCGCAAGCAAGAGGCACCGGGTTCAATTCCCGGGTGGGGTGAAACCTTCAGCGAGTTTCCTTACTCCCACGCCTGTTTACTCAGCAGTAAGTAGGAACTCGGTTGTTAGTCGATTGGTGGATTGTTTTCCGGAAGTTATAATCCCTACAAAAACAAATGTGGTCACTCAATTGGCTGATGGGTTTCGCTCACAAAATTATTATTATGCCGATGAATGGCAGTTAATCTGAAGGTTATCCAGTGCCCTGTTTTACTTTCCCTTTTCATAATTGGGTCTTAATCTTGTTGTTGTTGTTTAACGCCCACCTGAAGACAGCTCACTCATACCCTCCCTTCGTCAGCTAATGTCCTGGATGTGAGGCTTTGAACCCACAACCTTCTGACCCACAGCTCTTACTGACTGAGCCAAGTTGACTCATTCTTTCCATCTCTCTCCCTCTGGCCACATTACATCACTGTTTGCACTATGATAAGAGGCCGTTTGCTGCAAACTGAGAGCTTGGGACAAAGTACATTTGACTGAAGCAGCGAATGCCGGGGGGTGGGGAGGATAAGGCGGGAGGGAGTGTGAGGTCTTCCCTGGACTCGAGGAATCTGCTTCTATAACTTACAACCATCCAAAGAGGAGTCTTTTTCACTGCAATCGGCTCGCTCAGTGATTAATGGCCCATTCTGTGGGCTTGGATTCTGTCCAGTGTGTAACTTGCAGGAAGTTGGAAGGAGGAGTTGGGATTAGTCCAACTGGGAACCGTTCGTTCAGCATGGTTTTCCAAGCTGGCCCCATCTTGTGGCTCTCCGCTTCCATTGCTGTGGATTGACCTTCCTGCGTGTCCCACAAGCCCTCCTTCGTTCCACCATCAGTGGCTGTGCTTTCAGTCACTTCCCCTCCCCACCCGAAACTCTGGAACGCTCTCAATCTGCGGAAGATTGCTCACCTCGCAAGCGAGAGGACTCAGGTTTGATTCCTGGGTGGGGAAAAACCTTAGGCAAGTTTCCTTAGTCCACACACCTGTTACCTAACAGTAAATAAGAACCCGGTTGTTTGTCGATTGGCGGATCACTTTCTGGGGGTAATAATGTGGTCACTCAATCCGTATATAAATATATATAGCAGAGTTGGAAGATGTGGAGGGCAGAACAGTCTGCTGGAAGAGACTGCAGAGGCAGGGAATCCATTTGATATTATTTGTGTGTCTGGAAGCTGGACAGGACAGGATGGGGGCTGGGCTGGTTCACGCTGGCACTGGATAGCTCAGTTCCGCCAGAAAGAGAGAGAGAGAGAGAGCTGAAACAGGCACATGAGGATGATAAACAAACACTCAATTCTATGGAAGGCGCTGAGTTCCATTCACTGCCTCTCTCCTCCTTACCTCCCCCTCTCTGGTACCCACAGCTCGATGGTTACTTAGCAACGCTGGGTTAATGGGCTTGCTATCAGCCGCTGTGACGCTGTGTGCACGGCAGCTGCACCCAAAGCTCCTTGCCGGCTTCCTGCAAGATTTTAGCATAGAATCAAAGGAATTTACAACAACTTGCATTTATAGAGCATTTATATAGCTCCCTTCGTGAGAGGCAGTGTCTCGGAGCACTTCACAGTGGCTCAGCCTGACGCCATATGGGACACTGTGCGCAACTGGCTGCGGCGTTTCACCCACAAAATATAGTCACTCCACTTTACAGTATGTCCTGTGAAGCGCTTTGAGACAACTCAACAACATGATAACGTGCCATATCAAATGCAAAGATCATTATATTATTGTTAAATTATTAAGATAAACTGGGCTTTGGCCTGAGAGGTGCCGGGTAACCTGGGTTCATTCCTGTGGGGTGTTGACCTGTGACTGGTGCTGTCTTTCGTTTTTCAGGGGATATCACACAGAAGGGATATGAGAAGAAACGAGCAAAGCTCCTGGCTCCCTACATCCCACAGCTTCAAGGTAGGTGACGGTGCAACACGCCACACCAGGCCAAAGGTTATTACGAGTCCAGCTTTGCGGTCAGACCGTGTTTTGCTCTTGGGCTATTTCTCAACAACGACATTTACACAGCGCCTTTCACGTCGGGAGGACATCCCAAGGTGCTGGACAGTCAGGGACCTGGACATGAGCTGGGGGTTGGGATCAGGAGCGGTGGAGAGCAGGGAGGGTGGGGGTAGGCAGGTGACCAAAGGGGCGGTCGAAGAGGAGGGTTTTGAAGGAAGCAAAGGAGGGAGTGAGGCGAAGCCAAGAAAGTACCTAAAATATCCGACAAAAAGCAATGCTCGTCTTTGGGATGGAGATTGTTTCCTTCCTGATTATTGTAATAATTTTTGTAAGGAATGAATTGGCACAGCGCCCTTGGGTTCCGTGTTAGAGGAGCTGGTTCCCGGTATCGGTGTTTGTTTCACCCAAAAAATACAGTCAACAGTCCACTTCACAGCCTTAAAAAACACTATATTCTGAGAAGAGCTTTGAGACGTTTGGAAGACGTGATAAGGCGCTATATCGGATGCAAGGATTATTATCGTGTGTGCCCACCCGATTCCCTGTTAGCTGGGTGCTGCGTGTTGCTCTCTGTGGACGCTCCTTTAGCTGCACTGCTGAGGAAGGCTTTGCTTTGCACTCACACATGCGTGGACGCGCCCTGTGCTGTCAGCAGCAATGCTTTACTCTGAACCCTGCAGCCAGCGGGCGTGCCGGAGACTGCTGACACACCAGGTTTGAGGTGCAGCTGCAGTAACTTTGTGCTCACAGGATCCCGGGTCTCGGAGGCTGCCCTCTCCCAGGTGGGCAGCAGTTTGGGATCTGGTGCCCCCTGCGGGTGACTGTTAGTATCACTTGTGGTTTTACACGGGGTCAGACCCTGTGATTTAAAGTGCCCAAACTTTCTTCCGAGCGTTTGAACATCTGCACAGTATTGGCCTTTGCGGAATCCGCTCTCATTTTTGCGGGTACGATCGTGGTAGCATTTTTAATCCCACTTCCCCATCTTGAGATCGTGCCTGAAGACCTTCCTCTTCGACTGTGCCTAGTCCCCCCACCCCGGCTCAGCGTCGTTCTCCCCCACTGCCAAGAGCTCTGAGAGGCCGCCTTGCTTCTTGTTATTTTCTCCCAACCTTTAAATTCCCTCGCTTTCTTTCTCCAGACATCTACCCCTTCCGTTTCGCCCACAAAATACACAGTTACACCACTTTACAGGATATTCTGTGAAGCGCTGAGACGTCTTGAAGACGTGGTAAGGCGCTGTACCAAATGCAAAGATTATTGTAATTATTATTAGTTAAACAACCCATTTTGGTTCTGCCTCTGGGCTTGTGCGAGACGGTGAGTGAAGGTAGTTCCACGTTATCGGAAACCTCAAGTGTGAAGACATTTATTTGCGATTTTGCTACTGGCCACGTTTTAGCTTATGTTTTCCCACTTCCCTTCCACAACCCATTTCCCACCCTGTTTTGGAAACTAGTCTAAAAGTCAAGTGTGCCTCTCAGCCTAGTATGGCTGGGTGTGTGCCTGAAACCGCCCATCTGGGTGAGAGAACAGGAAAATCTTTTAACAGCTCCCAGGTAATCCTCACTGTTCCAGAACTACGTCACAGTCGGCAAATGATTGCAACATCCCGAATTGACGAACATTGACCCAGAAACCAGACAGAGATTCCACAACATGTATGACTGTCAGACCTGCCTGAGCACAATATCCTCAGCACGCTGTCAACATGTTTACAAAGTCCTGTTATCCCCACACACCCCACGCACACTGAACGACAACCAAAACCTGTGGAAGAACGATCATAATTGTGTGTTATTAACTGCCGCTTTTCGCCCACAGAATACAAGGTCAATTCGCTTTACACTGTATTCCGTGAATGGCTTTGAGACGTGACAGGGCGCTATATCAAATGCAAGGATTATTATTATTATTACTTAAATGTTTATTATAAACAAGTTTCTTTTGAATAATCTTTATTAGATGTAGTGTCGACCCTTCTCACAGCACTTCAGGGATTTTACTCTAAGGTGTAGTGCCTGTGTAGGCAATCTGTGCGATATTCCGCAAACAGCCATGAAGTGAATGACCAATTTTTTTAATCGGGGGGGGGGGGGGGTATTGTCAGTGAGGACACTGGGAGAGAGAAACTTTGACTTCCACCTGAACAGACACAGACGGGAGGTTTTTTTTGCTTGGAAGGGTTAAACTGAGGAGAGCATTGCTGTAGTTCATGGTGGAGATCGCTTTAGCGACTGTGGCTCGAGCCCCCTGGAGAGAAATCATTAACACTCGCTATTCCTCCCCCCTCCCGCAGCAGATGCTGTGGTGACCTGGAGTCAATGCCTCTGTGTTTGGTTTTAATGCAAATGAGAATAAAGTCAGATTTTTGTGTGCCAGCTGAACTCAAAGTGAGAGAACAAATACACAAACACATCAGCCATGTTACAGAGCATGACAAGCAGACATTTCAGTGCAGTATTTTTGCCTTTGCAGAGGCATCCTGTCCATCCGTCCAGCATTGAAATGGTTATTCGGTATCAAAATCCCTCAGGCCGGAACATTTGTCATGGTTTTATCTGGTGTCTGAGGATATGACTCATGTCTGTGTGATTGAAGTGTACTGGTGACAAGTTTAGCAACTGATCTGGTTAGGGTTTTATTTTGTAAACAAGATACCAAATTGGGAGCTGGTTACCGAGGGGCTGAGCCAAGCAGCGATGAGTCTGTGTTAAATGCTTGTCGCTGTCACACCTCTGCTGTGGCTCATGAGGAAATCCATACTCACCCACACTAAACTCCGAACTCCCATCACACCAGTTCTAGCCAGACTTCACTGGCTCCTTATCGCCGAATGGATCAATTTCAAGATCCTCTTCAAATCCCTTCATGAATTGACACCTCCCTACCTATCCGACCTGCTTACTCCCCAACCCACGAGCTGCTGCCTCTGCTCAACTGGTTCCGGCCTCCTGAGGGGCGCTATATAAATGCAAGTTGTTGTTGTGGGTTTACGTGAAGACTGAGCTAAAACTCCAATGTATCCCTGGAGAAGAATTACATTGTCTTTCTTCAGATATATGCTGATTGTCAAAGCTATCGTAAACAAGAAGGGAGTGTCTCCTGGACTTTCAGCCCACCAACTCCCAGAATAATTGGGTGTTCGGGGGGTGGGGGAGGGGAAGAAGAGGGGCAAGGCAGAGGGATAGAAGCAGGGAGTTCCAGAGATTAGTTGTGTAGTGACTGAACAGGGCCTGGATATGAAATTCCTGACTCACACCCGATTTCAGGCCTGAACCCCCATTGCTGCCAATGAGTGCAGTGCACATCAACCTGGTAGATGTCCAGTTACTGATCCAGTCAATCTCCATCTTATCTTTCCTGAGAATGGGAGGGCGGATGCTCTGTAATTATACAGTTAGAATTATTTTATGTCAAATTGTCGAGAAACCAGGGGAACCTGGTTGCTTACGCGCAGACACAGAGCGAGTCAGTGAGTGAGTGAGTTAAAAAGCGCCGGTCACCCTGTACGTTTGAATCTCGCTGCGGGTCAGTCCAGCAAGATCTGAAACCCGATGAGGATGTCGGGCCCCAAATTGTGGTTTGCGTAACACATTCCTTTCTTTAATTAAGGAACGATCTTGAAATCTACTTCCCCGATTTTCTGAACAATAGAAACCATCTCTGTGTGACACAATGCGGGGGGTCAGGGCTGTGGGATAATAATAATTATAATACTTGCATCAGCTATAGCGTCTTATCATGTCGTTGAGATGCCTCAAAGCTCTTCACAGGATATATTGTAAAGTGAATTGACTATATTTTGTGGGTGAAACCCAGCAGCCAGTTGCGCACAGCAGCGTCCCACAAACAGCCGTGGATTGAGTGACCTTTTTTTGGGAGTGACAATTACCCCCAGAAAGTGATCCGCCAATTGTCTAAAAACCGAGTTCCTACTTTCTAGCTAAACCAAGGTTTGGGAGTAAGGAAACTTGCTTGAGGTTTCAGAAATCAAACCCAGGTCCTCTTGCTTGTGAAGTGAGCACGCTAACCACTTTTTGGGATGCAGTATGCGAGTCAGGGCTGTGTGACGTAGCTGTTTATATTGGAATCTCAATGCATCTTATCTGTTTAAGTTTGGGATAATCATAGACAACAACAACAAGAACTTGGATTTATATAGTGCCCTCCACGCTGGACGGCGTTTCAGAGCGCTTCACAGTAACGGATCCTGGGACCGAGCCGGGGGAGGGGGAGGAAGGTGACCAATGGTGCGGTCAAAAAGAAAGGTCTTCAGCAGAGACCTGAAAATGGGAAGGAAGGGAACGAGGAAGGGAGTTCCAGAGCCTCGAGGCGTAGTAGCTGATTTAACAGCTTTAATGATTCCACTTAGGGGATTTAGAGAGTGCGAGAGAGACAATGATGACCTCATATGTAGAGTTGAAATGAATTACGGGCCGGGGGTGGGGGGAGGAAAGAGACAGGGAGGCTGATTTCTGTTGACAGACGGGGGAGGGGGCTTGATTAGCCATTTCCCATAAGATTCTGAGGTTTGCTAACAAATGGACGTGCAAAATGTCTACGTTTGGAATCTGGAAGAACCCCTCTGTCACCTCGACAGATCACATCTCTCTCTCTCTCACCTCACCTGTTTACAAACAAGGCAGCCCAGCCCCGGAGAGCCCCAGAAATACTAGTGATCATTTCCACAGGAAACTCTGGAATCTCCCAAGTTTGCCAGACTTGCATTTCCTCCTCTGTGTGGAATTGGATGAAGACGCCCATTTTCTATGCCAACTCTCTGACTGGAACTTCCTCCCCGCCCCTCCACCCCCCCCAAGACCCTCGCTTGGAGCTTCCTCGGTGGAGGTTAGGGCAGTATGATTGGGTTAGAGAGATTGCAGCTTCGGAACGGAGAGGTCTGGGCATGCCTGGGGTTGGGTGATGGGGAATTAATCATCTGCCTTGCTCACACACTTAGCAGCCACTTGAGTCATGTGGTCACACTTACAGAGACACTGTCTGTAGAGAACGCTATACCAGCCCGCTTTGTGTAGTAACTCAAAAAAGCTCTCTTCTGTGTATCAGCTCTGAGAAAACTGCTGTTTCTTGCAGCCAAAAGCCTGGGTGTGTTGTGCGGTTCCGGTAAGTCCTTGTAGCCTGAATGGCTGAAACTTCAGGGCTGATCCATGTTCCCTTTGTCGGGATTTAGTCGGAGATTGTTTGGTTTTGGGCGAAGTATGGCATGTTTAAAATGATAATCATTGTATTTCAGGAACAGGAACTCTGGCTGATTCTCTTTTATCCCCCACCCCCACCATCTAGGACGCTGATTTGAATTACATATTCGCACCGTTCCTCTAACTCTTCCCACCGGAGGTGTGCGGAGCTGTCCTGGGCCTCGGGGGTGTGGTGTGGGGGAGGGGTGTCTCACAGTGGGAGAGGGGGAGCACACTGTAGTCTGATCTCTGTGCTGTTTGTTCTTTGATGGCAGGGGTTGACCCGGCTCTGCAGAGCGAGCACAGATACCAGAAACCGCCTGCTTCCTCCACACCCGTTGCTTCCTCTTCCAAATATCATCGAGGCCGGTCCGGGGGGACTCGGGATGAGCGCTATCGATCTGGTAAGTCGTTCACTGGTTCAACAATAACAGCAAATTAAATTTGTTGCATTTACACAGTGCCTCTCATGTCGGGAGGACGTCCCAGGGCGCTGGACAGTCGAGGATTTGGACCTGAGCTGGGGGCTGGGATCAAGTGGGGTAGAAGGCAGAGAGGGAGGGTTGGGTTAGGAGGGTGACTGAAGGCGCGGTCGAAGAGGAAAGTCTTGAGAAGGGCCTTGAAGGAGGCGAGTTGAAGGGACTGTGGGATGGAATTCCAAAGGGTTCAGTGTGTCTTTCCTTCCCCACCACCCCACACTCACATCTTTCACTCTCTTTTCGGATTCCAGCAGTTGGTATAGACCTCTCTTTTGCTAAGAACACTGTGCCTAGGAATGGGGGCAGTGTGTTGTTATCCAGCGACCCACATTCATCAGTGGCTCATAGATATTCGCATGGGATGCATGGAATTCTCAAACACCCGGCGGACCAAAAAAAACATTCCTCATATAAACAAAGGAATAATCTGCTGTGGTTTGGAGAGTGAATCTGCCTCTGGTGTTGCTGTGCAGCTCGTGTGTTCTGTACGTGGTGCTGCCGTGTGGCACCCTGGTGTCTGGTTTATGCCCATCACACTCTTTGTTCGAGACATTTGAGTGTGACAGTGGATGAAATATGTCGATTCCTTTGGCAGATATTCACACAGAAGCAGTACAAGCAGCTCTGGCAAAACACAAAGAGCAGAAGATGGCCCTGCCCATGCCTACCAAGAGACGATCAACATTTGTCCAGTCACCAGTCGAGGCCTGCACCCCACCAGGTGAGCACAATCCCTGTCATCTCCCCCTGGGTTGTTCTGTGTGGTTCATCTGGGGTCAGATCCCACATTAATTTCCCCTCTTCTGGGCTCAAGTTTGTGCTCCTTCTCAGTGAGATTGTGGCTGTGTTCAACCTATTTTGGCTTCAGTGTATCTTGACTACAACGACGACATTCATTTAGAAAGTACTCTTAATGCAGGGCAGTGTCTCGAGCTCTTTACAGTGCCTGACCCTGAGCCAGGGGGAGTTGACCGTAAGCACGGTCGAAGAGTAAGGTCATCAGGCGTGATCTAAAAGAGGGCAAGGCGGATAGATTGGGGGAGAGAGTTTGAAAGCTTCAGGGCACAGTGGCTGAAAGCACTGCTACCGATGGTGGAAGAGTGGAGGGACAAGGAGAGCCATCCAAGGGGAGGCAGCAGATAGTGGAGTGGGGAGAAAGCAGGTCAGAAAGGTAGGGTGTTGCCAGGGCGTGAAGGGCTTTGTAGACTACATCAATAAGATCTTCCCAAGATTTCAATTCTCCAGCATAAACCATCCAGTCTTTCTTTACAGAGCTCCAAGGCGCTACCCTGCATGAAAAACCCCATATAAATGCAAGTTGTTGTAACTCAGGTGTTTAATTCCAGCTACCACCTAGTCACCTTTTGCCGCACCCTCTCTAGAACCATGGGAGATTTGAGCTGGATTTTCCATACAGTAATAATTCTCTCATCGATTTGAATGTCAAAGTGCCATAGAGAAGCAACAGTGTTGTGCAGGCCTGAATTTGAATGCGGGTGACACAGGACAAGGCTTCCTTGTTGTTTAAAGGACAGCGTGATACAAAGCGTCACTTAATAAACTAAAGTTTATGGGCAGAAGACCCTTTAAACCTCAATTTTATTATCACTTTACTTGTTAAAAAAATTCAAATATGGCTCTCAATTCCCAGGTGGTGTGGGAGGGGACTACTTTTTTGCCCGATAGGTCATCAACTGATCACTCATGTTGTGGTTTGGAGAGTGAATGGTTGGGGTGAGGCCGGAGATTGTGTATAAATGGATTGTTTTTACATGGTAAATGTGCATGGAATCACCCAGTGCAGCACTGACTAACCCGGGCTGAGCTGAGTGGGGGGGGAGAGTTGTGCACTGAGCTACTGATCTCAGCGCCCTCTGGGTTAGGGAGGGTGAATATCAGTCAGGGTTCCCACTCCTCACCGCTATCCTGCCTGAGAGTGTGCATGTGTGTGCATGCACGCACGTATCCAGTGGATGTTAAAGATCCCATGGCATTACTCAGGAAAATTTTTTTTCTTACTTTTACTCCCACCTGGTATCCTGACCAGGAATCCCCCAGATGGAACTGGTGATTCACAGCATGGATACTTGTGGCACAATCCTGTGCACAAATTGGCTGCCACGTTCACCCACAAACTGTCACGACACTTTACCATAAATCCTGTGAACAACACAAACAGGAAATTATAATTGTATAGTGCCTTTCACGCTGGGAGGACATCCCAGGGCGCAGTGAAGCACTCCTAGACATCCTCCTGACTTGAAAGGTGCTACACATAATATACACGATTGTTAATAAAAGAGTTGGAACCCTCTCCCTTTCCCCACCAAGAATACATCCAGTCGCCCTCTGTTCCTCAGTGTATCTGACACCAGATGAGATGACTTGTGTGTTCTCTCCACAGACACTTCCTCTGCGTCTGAGGATGAGGGGTCGTTACGCCGACAGGGCATCATGGCAGCCTCCACGCACAGCTTCATGAACACCGAGCTGTGGATCAACAAGTCGGTCCAGGGCTCTTCCACCTCCTCGTCTGCCTCCTCCACGCTGTCTCACGGGGAGAGCAAGGGAGTGGGGGGCATGCTGGCAGACGTAATGGCACATCCACGGATAGGTAAGTGCTGCCATCTTTGTAAAAAAAACAATAGAGCGGTCACAACCTTTCCGTTTGATAGGAACAGGAGTAGGCCATTCGGCTTCTGGAGCCTGTACCTCCAGTCTATTGGCTGCTCTGAACCTCAACTCCAATTACTTACCCGCCCTTCTCCCATATCCCTTGATACCCTGACCTAATAAAAATCTATTCACCTTAATCTTGAAAGTTTGAACGGATCCGGCTATAATCTACAGCCTTTTGTTAATCCCGGAGGGTAGCTGCTGCACCAGACTGTCTGTTTGCTCATAGTCACCGAGTCGCCATGATCCACAGTGTGTGGCCAGTGAGGTGTGTGCGTTTGCTGTTTGGGATGGTGACGGTTAGCTGGGGTGCGGATAGTGCCAAGTGGCTTTGTGGTTTGGACAGTCACGGCTGATGTTGGTGAATGGTGGTGACCAAGGCCGGTAACCAGTGGTGAGAGTGATATTGTCCGATCGATGAATTGTATGCCAAGAGTCGCTGACCCTTTGTGTTTCCAGTTGCAGAGAACCACTCTGCGCCTCCCGATGTCACTTCCATCTCCTCCTCTTCCTCGGAGCGATCAATGAACATGGAGCATCGACACTCAGGCTCTGCTAACCGGCTGTCCCAAGGCTTCAGCAAGCCAACCCTCATGGACACTGCTAACGGTAAGCCTCGGCTCTTCAGGTTTAAACCTCTCTCTTCCCACTGATGTTGAGTGACGTTTGTTTCTCCACTGGTCACGATTGATACAAACCATCCACTCACCCAGTGGGTAAATCAGACCACCATTGCAACGGAGTGGTTCAGTGCAGCATGTAAATCTTAAGAATTTACTGGACAAAAGAAGACCAAGGTCCATTCAGTTCGCCTTCCACCTGGCAGTAGCTCGCAAATGTTATGTCCCCAAACTTTGTACTACATCCCATGATATTATTTCCTAACAGAAATGTATCTAATTTGTTCTTGGAAGGATCAATACTTGCTGCTTCCGCTGAATCCCTAGGGAGCCTGTCCCACACGATCAGCCTATGTCTTGTGTGTGCTAGCCTTTAGTTAGCCTGGGGGTTGGTTGGTGCTCTGCGTGTGTGTTAGCCTGAGGCAAACACGTTAGTTAACAGAACATGTCCTGTGTTTTATTGTTGTTTTGAATGAATTTAATCTTGTTTCACGTTGTGTCCAGTTCTGTGATCGCTCCGAAAACGGTTCTGATTATTTATCCTCTTTAAGTCTGTGAGAGAATTCAGCCAGGTTTCTCTATACCCATCACTTGCCCCAGGCAGAGGCTGCCTCCTCCACAACTTTGTGCTTGGAATTTCCTGTTAGCTGATCATTGTTCGCCCAAAACAGTCATTATACTTTACAGTAAATTCTGTGAAGTGCTTTGAAACGTCCTTCTGACATGCAAATGCAAAGATTATCATTCACCCTCGAAACAAACACTGCTGCTCATTTACTAGCATTTCTTCCCCCCTCCACCACACGTCGCTCTCCAGCCTTTCCCATTCTGACAAAGCTCAGGCTGACCAAAGAAAGCGGGGAGGGTGGGGGTCTGACCGGTCTGGAGGGAGGAGGGGAGAGAAAGGGGCCAAATTATCTCCGAAGTTTATGAAATTTGTTTTGCTTTTTAGTTGCTACGCTCGTGCTTTGTGCCAGAAACCAGGGTAAGGATCGTGTCCACAGCGTGTGTCTGTTCTATGTCTGTGCCGTTACCTTAGCTTATGTTCTCCGTAGCTTTCGTGCCTTGTCTTGTCAATCGTAAAGACATAGAAATAGATTCTGCAGTCCCTGCACTTTACAGTGCATCATTGAACCGCTTTGAGGGTTCGTCCTGATGTGAAAGGCGCTGTAACAAATGTCAGGATTCTTATTATCTTGCTGCCACAATCTCCCCAGTAAGTGACAACTGTGTGTTCGGTGTTGATCTATCAAGTGGAAATGAGCATTATCCTTTTGTCTATGTTCACAAAGCAATCTTATTGAGCACTGGTTTGCTTGTAAGTTTTGGGAGGGAATCTGAAAAGATTAAGGTTGAGCCATGTCTCTCTCTCTCTCTCCCTTTCTTGCGTTTGAGGAAGTCTTCTTTAAGTTCATTCAAGCGCAGTACATTTTTGCAATTTCATGGAACTGATTAAGTGCCAGCTCCTTTTACAACTATCAGCAGCAATCTGAAGTGCTGAACATCATGTGTAGACGTGATGTTTTACGGTTTGGGGAACTGAGGACTATGAAGAGTGGAGGTGCTCAGCCTGGCTTCAGTTGGTCTGCAATTCAGGAACTTGTAGCTGGAATACTAACCTATGCTTTCAAAGCTCAACTCTAAAGAATAGTTAGTTGGTTCTCAGTGAGTTAGGGTTATAATTATATCTGACTGTTTGTGGGACACCGCTGTGCGAACTTGGCCGCGCATTCTCCTCTCAAAATACACAGTGAATCCACTTTACAGTATGTATGTCCTGTGAAGCACTTTGAGAAGTGATAAGCCAATGTATTAAATCATAGAGTATTACGCACAGAAGAAGGCTATAAATATAATAATGCAAATATTATATTGAGGCAACCAATGAACACAATCCCAATTTTTCTTTTTTGATTTATTGGGGATTTTTGCGCTCATCAAAGTGAGGAATGTTAGTGATGGAAAGTGGAAAAGTTCCATCTCAAGGACCCAATGCCTGTCCTCTGCAGTAGGACTCAGTGGCTCTTTGGTATAGTGTATTGTGGCCCTGAACATTGTCTCTTTCTCTCCGCTCTGGCAGGTGTCCCAGTGAATAGCCGTGTCTCGACCAAAATCCAGCAGCTGCTGAACACACTGAAGCGGCCGAAGAGACCTCCACTCAAGGAGTTCTTTGTGGATGATTTTGAAGAGATTGTTGAAGGTGAGTGGCACTTTGAAGTCTTTGGGAATGTTTTCCCTCAGTAGCCAAGTGGGTAAAGACCTGAGAGTGGACACAGGCTCGAGGCTGTTCCTGATTTCAGTCTGGTTAGCAGTTACAGTAAATTCTGTGCAGCACTTTGAGACGTCTTCCCAACACAAAAGTTTCTGTGTCGAATGCAAGGATGATTATAACGTGGTGCTGTCCCTTCTGATCCAGTTCCACAGCCAGACCCTAATCAGCCGAAACCAGAAGGCCGGCAGCTGACACCGGTGAAAGGGGAGCCGTTGGGAGTGGTCAGTAATTGGCCTCCTGCATTGGAAGCAGCTTTACAACGCTGGGGAACAACGCAGCCCAAAGCCTCCTGCCTGACAGCCCTGGACGCGACTGGGAAACCCGCCTATACCCTGACCTACGGTGAGTGAACTCCATATCATCCCAGGCAGTATTACATGAGGATTTAACCATCAAAATGCTTCCATCCCACAGTCCCTTTGCCTTTCCTCCCGTGCCCCCCACTCCATGCCTCCTTCACGGCTCTCCTCTTCGACTGCGCCTTTGAACACCCTTCTACCTCAACCCTCCCTGCCCTCCCCACCTCCTTATCGCATTCCCAGCTCAGGTCCAGTCAATTCACTTTACAGTATATTCTGTGAAGCGCTTTGGGACGTCCTCCCGACGTGAAAAGCGCTATATCGAATGCAAGGATTATTATTATATGTGAAAGGTGCAATACAAATGTCATTTGTTGTTATAAATAATCCCTACATCTTTTCTCTTCTCTTCCTCAGGGAAACTGTGGAGCAGGAGCTTGAAGCTGGCCTACACACTGCTCAATAAGCTGGGGGTAAAGAATGAGTCTGTGCTGAAGCCTGGAGACAGGGTGAGTTTGCTGTCCTGGGGAGCAGACAAAAATTAAAAATTGTGTCAATAATTCAGGCCCCCGATGTTCACAGTTCTGTCAGTGGGGGAGCTGGTTCCTATATTAGCTGAGATGGGGGGTTATCTTGTTGATGATGGAAAGGACGGACGGACAAGTATGTGCTGGTAATTTCTCTCTTGACCACTCTGCTTATTCTCCCTGCAGGTGGCTCTGGTTTATCCCAACAGTGATCCTGTCATGTTCCTTGTGGCTTTTTACGGCTGTCTGCTGGCCGAAGTCATCCCTGTGCCCATTGAGGTACCTCTGACGAGAAAGGTTAGTGGTGATTAGATGGTCCTTTTGTGCTTACTTCACCCGTCACGTCCTCAAACCCTGCTCCGTGGGAAAGCATTGTGGTACATGGAGCATTGTGGTACAAATCCCTGAATGTCCAGCGCCCTGGGATGTCCTCCCAACGTAAAGGGCGCTATACAAATGTAATTTGTTGTTGTTGCTTCACAAAGAGGCTGATGTGCCATGCATTGTTGATAGGAAACGGAACAAGAGAGGAGATGAGAAATATTTTTACACAGCAAGTTTATTATGATCTGGAATGCACTGCCTGAAAGGGTGATGGAAGCAGATTCAATAATAATTTTCAAAGGGGAATTGGATATGTACTTGAAAAGAAAACAATTGCAGGGCTATGGGGAAAGAGTGGGGGAGTGGGACTAATTGGGCAGCTCTTTCAAAGAGCCAACCCTGGCATGATGGGCCAAATGGCCTCCTTCTCTGCTGTAAGATTCTATGATGCTTTGTAGAATAACCAGCGGACTAACGGCTCAATTGTGAGGTTCTTAGAGAATCTATTGTGGGGAAATAAAGAGGCTGTTGAGGTTAGCGACTGGATAGAGGAGGTAGTTAGCGATGGGAGAGAATAGGAGGTTTCACTCTCTTGCAAAACGTTTCTTATTTAAGAATTGACATCCAAATCCGGTGACCTTGCTGGTGGCTGAATTGGTTTCGCTCTGTGGTTAATGTGTTGTCTCCTGTAGGACACCGGTGGACAGCAGATCGGTTTCCTCCTGGGCAGCTGTGGTGTGACTCTGGCTCTCACCAGCGAGAGCTGTCTGAAGGGACTCCCCAAAACGCAGAGTGCTGACATCGTGCAGTTCAAAGGTAAACTTGTCGCCAATCTAGTGTTGGTCTGTTGCAATTTTGTGAAAAGGGTTTTCGGGTTTGCATTGCTGAGGAGAAGCTGTATCATTCCTTCTGATTTCTGCAGGCTGGCCTCGGCTAAAGTGGGTTGTCACCGACTCCAAATATTTGTCCAAACCTTCCAAGGACTGGCAGCCCAACATCCAGCCCGCTGGCAGTGAACCAGCGTACATTGAGGTGAGGAGACGGGGAAGCTCAGAACAACCAAAACGTGGTGCTAATGCTATGTATGATTGGGAGGAAATTGGAGAAGAGTGTGTGTGGAATTAACACCTGTCTCAGCACACGTGTGTGGAGGTGGGGTGGGGGGGTAGTGGACATGTTTGTGGGGGGAGGGTTATGTTTTGGTTGTGGAGTAGGGGGGAGAGTGTGTGTGTGTGTGTGTGGCATGTCCTGTGAGGAGTGGACTATGGCTAATGCTGCTGCCTTTCCCTGTGCAGTACAAGACCAGTAAGGAAGGGAGTGTGATGGGAGTGGCCATCTCTCGAGTGGCTATGCTGCTGCACTGCCAGGCTCTCACTCAGGCCTGCGGCTACAATGAAGGTAAGATCCACATGCTCCTCCTCGGTATTGTTTTAATGAAGCTTTTTAAAGCCTCTTCACCCCACCTCCCCCACTTCTCGAGCTGCAATGGTGGGATATTCTGGATTCCAGTCACTGGCGGGGAGGTTGGGTAGTACCCATTGTGGAGGGTCTCTTAAAGGAGTCTGGGTCTCCGATGTTTTTCCAGCCACTTATGATCATGTTAATGACCTTCATACTCACAGAAAGTGATTGTTTCCTGAACAGGCGAAACCCTGGTGAATGTGTTAGACTTCAAGAAGGACGTGGGCCTCTGGCACAGTGTCTTACTGGTGAGTGAGGCTGCATTATTCTTGTTTTAATCTGCAGAGAAACGCTGTATTGAGTTGTAGACATCGATATCAGATTGAAGTGGCCATTTGAAGGAAGTTAAATGGACTGTTGGGTGTTGGTTTCGTCAGGCTGGAAAGCAGGTTTGTGAGATTGAGTCCAGTTGGCAACTATGTGTGATAAAGTTGTGATTTTCTGTTGCAGAGCGTGATGAATAAAATGCACACAATCAGCGTCCCCTACGCGGTGATGAAGGGCTGCCCTCTCTCCTGGGTGCAGCGAGTCTATTCCCACAAGGGTAAGTTAGTCCCATCGATCCATTCGCACTATCCTCATCCCCTCCCTTGCCTCCTTCAAGGCCCGTCTCAAGACCCTCCTCTTCAACCACGCCTTCAGTCACCCTCCTATCCCTACCCTCCTGACCTCAACCCCAACTGGTCCAAATTCTTGATTGTCCAGCCCCTTGGGACATGAAAGGCACTGTTAAAATGTCAGTTGTTGGTGGTGGTTGTTGCGAGCTCAAAACGGGGAACATAAACCTTTGGGATTGGATCTGCATTCTCCTGGTTTGTATGGCCTTGTGGTGCCCTGGACATTTCAATAGTACTGTGTTAGGTTGTATTTTGCCTTATCTGCTGCAGCCCGGCTGACTAGCTGTGTGTGTTTCCCCAAACAGCAAAGGTGGCTCTGGTGAAATGCCGAGACCTGCACTGGGCGATGATGGCTCACCGGGACCAGCGAGACGTCAACCTCAGCTCCCTCCGCATGCTGATTGTAGCAGATGGAGCCAATCCATGTAAGTTCCCTCGGAGTCTCTAATGAAGCAGTTGTCAGGCAGGCGTTCCTCAGGCACCCTAATGAGAAAGTGTGACTGAACGCCGTCTGCTCAAAAAACACTCATCTTCAGTGTGTATTTGTGAGACTTTCTGCCCTCAAGGCACTCGCTCATGCTCATGTTGCATAGGTGCTGGCATCTGAATAGGCCTCCCACTTGTGAATGTAACCTGTTCTCTACCTTCCTTTGCCCACAAATATACAGTCAATTCACTTCACTTTGAGAAGTCTCGAAGACGTGAAAAGCGCCATATCAAATGCAAAGATTATTATTACCTGGTTGTGAGCTTGGCTCAACCCTAAAGACTTTCTTACAGTGCTTTCAGCCACGATGCCCCAAAACTCTGGAATACTCTTCCTCTATCCCTTTGCCGTGCCCCCTCCCTCCCCATCTTCAGGGTGCACCTGAAGCCCTTCCTCTTTGACTATGCCTACAGTCACCTTCCCTCTGCTACACGTCGTGTTCCGCCACTGTCAAAAGGCTCTGGGACGCTACATGTAACCCGAATGGCAAGTTGTTGTTGTTCTTGCTCTCCCACAGTTGCTGTTTCTCACAGTGTGCCGTTCTGTTCTCTCTTCCAGGGTCTGTTTCATCTTGCGATGCTTTCCTCAACGTCTTCCAGAGCCATGGGCTGAAACCCGAGGTCATCTGTCCATGTGCCACTTCCCCAGAGGGGCTCACTGTGGCAATCCGCAGGTAACAGGCAACACTTCCTCTTATGTTATCACTTAGTTGATGGGTGTGTGACATGTGTGATTGATACAGCGCCTTATCACACAGGCAGGTTCCTAATCTTCACCAACTTTTGGGGCTCACTAAGATATATACAGGTCACAATTCCAATATTCCTTGGGCCAAATCCATGATTGTCCAGCGCATTGGGACATCCTCCCGACTTGAAAGGTGCTGTGTAAATGTTTGTTGTTTAACGTTGTCTCCAGCTTTTCTGCAGCCTTTCTCAGTGGATCATAGAATCATAGAGACTTACAGCACAGAAGGAAGCCGTTCAGCCCATAATGCCTGTGCCAGCTCTTTGAAAGAGCTACCCACTCTTACCCTATAGCCCTGCAAATCTTTCCGTTTTAAGTACCTATCCAATTCCCTTTTGAAAGCTATTACCAAATTTGCTTCCACCTCCCTTTCAGGCAGTTCATTCCAGATCATAACTGGATGAGTGAGTTGTGAACGGAATTCTCACTGTGTGTTTGCTCTTTTTTTTCCCCCTAGACCAGGGCAACATGGAGCACCGGTTCCTGGGCGAGCGATTCTCTCAATCGGCGGTCTGAGTTATGGCGTAATCCGAGTGAACACCGAGGAGAAGAACTCTGCTTTGACAGTGCAGGACGTGGGACATGTGATGCCTGGAGGTACGTCAGCGCCAAGCCAAACCAAATCTGTCCAATCTGTAACCGAGAACCGGGATGGAGGCTTTTACCCTCGGTTTCCTTTTTGTGGTGGGGGTAGGGGGGCAGAGAGGGGGGATGGAAATCTTCCCTCAAACTCTCTCCATCGTTCTCCTGGAGGTTCAGTCATATGGTTTGCAGTTCCCTGGGTGTCGTGAGGTTCCGTGTTTCCTTGAGCCAATTTACTGTAGCCCTGATAGTGGCTCCCGCCTGACTCAACACAGAGCAGTGACTGAACTTGGGACTAATTTTATTTTTGGTCAGCTGGGTGTCTACCACATGCATCTCCATACTTAAGACTATCCAATCCAGGCTGAGTTCCACAGATGTACACCACCTACACATGGAAATTTTTTGGCGTCTGGAAAGGAATGCGTAGTCTCTACCTGGAGGGATGCAATTTACTTACCAGCTCAGGCTGAAAGAACTGGGTATTTACCTGGTCAGCCATGGGAAGTAGGTCTGCTCAGTAAAAGAGGTCCTCTTCAATCATTCAGTGTTTAGAATATAGCCCCTGTGATCTAATGTCCTCTTCAGTTGTTCAGTGTTGAGCGAAGCCCCTGTAACTTGCCGTGTTTTGCAGCGTTGATGTGCATTGTAAAGCCGGAGGGGTCTCCGCAGCTCTGTAAAACGGACGAAATCGGCGAGATTTGCGTGAGCTCTCGAGCAAGCGGATGCATGTACTATGGACTTCCAGGAGTGACGAAAAACACCTTTGAAGTGAGTATGTCGTTCATCTGTAGACTAGTATAACTGCAACAACTTGCATTTATATAGCACCCTTCACACAGGACAGTGTCTCGGAGTGCTTAAACTGACACCGAGCCACTTACAGTATATTCTGTGAAGTGCTTTGAAACAACTCAACAACCTCTATATCAAATCCAAGGATTATTATTATTCTAAACTCTCGCTATCCCCCACTTGGCCAGAGGGCAATGTCATGTTCAAGGCTGACCGATTTTCTGGCTTGTGTGTGAACATCTGTGTCTTGTGTTTCTAGGTTATCCCAGTGAACTCTGTTGGTGCTCCTACTGGTGAATTTCCATTTGTCCGATCGGGATTACTGGGTTTTGTGGGTCCGGTAAGTTTTTTTTTGTTGTTGCAGTGATCCTGTTAGGTTGGTTGATGCCAGGATCCTGTCTATATCCTGACCCCTTTTGGCTGTAACGTGAGGGATTTATTGAGGGATATCACCTGCTGACGTTTGTTTGCTATCATTACCCCAATGCACAATCTGGGTATATTGGGCACTGAAGTTATAAAGGGGAATGCGTTGTTCCGTACTCGAGAACTCGAGTTCAAAGTCCTCGCTTTACCTTCAAAGCTCTCCATGGCCTTGCTCCTCCCGAGCACAGTGACCTGCTAACGCCGTTCAGACCTATCCGTTTCCCTCTGCTTAGTGGTCTCTGGCCTGCTCGATGTCCCCCGCTTAGCCCGCCCCAACAATGGTGGTTCAGCCTTCAGTCTTTCTTTCCCCACCTTTAGAACTCTATCCCACAGTCCCTTTCCCTTGACCCTCCCTTGCCTCCAAGTCCTAATTATATTATTATTATCCAGTACCTTGGGACGTCCTCCCGATGTGAAAGGCGCTGCACATATGTAATTTGTTATTATTGTTCTAACTCGGGCCCTCCTGCGCGTTCAACCCAGGGTAGCCTTGTCTTTGTGATTGGCAAAATGGATGGCCTCCTTATGATCAGTGGAAGACGACACAATTCTGATGATGTGGTAGCCACAGCCCTAGCGGTGGAGCCAGTGAAAACTGCTTACAGAGGCAGGTTAGTACTGTCGTAGAGTTCGACGACACTTTCCGCAACATAGCATCCTTCCAGTCAAAGAATAATTCAAAGACAACTGACGAATCAGGTGATAGATCCAGTGAAGGTAATTCAGAGATTTGAAGAAGCACATCTTGATTTTGAAGGTGGGGAGAGAGTGCGAAGTATGGAGGCAAAGTGGGTTTGGAAGAGAGTTCCAGAGGATACGTATCATGCTGGCTAAAGATACAGCTACTGACAGTATCACAAAAGCGATGGGGAAGATTGCGATAGAAAAGGTGGAAAAAACATGGAGGGATTTGTAGACTGTGACAAGGTTCTTAAGCTCAGCAGTAATGGGGAACTGTGGAGCTCAGCAAGGAATAGGATCAGATTGATCATTACTGACAGTCAATCCAATGTGGGTTGTTTTTCTTAAGCGAGAAAGACTTGGAAAGAGCACAAGTAGTATGTTGATCTCTTGCATGAGTGCATGACTTGGGTGGGGGGGGGTGTATATATATATCTGCATTGGCTCATTTTATCAACCAGATAAGGATGTGTTTTAAAAAATAACACACATGAAACACTTGCATTTACTTGTAGGCGATATTAGCTCCTCATACTGGATGTGAGTGCCTCATACTGTCTCCTTATTCTCTTAATAAGTCAGATTGCTTCAAAGACATTATCTTTAAATGTCAGCACCTCGGGGAAGTGTTCCACCAGCTGCTTCTCTGAGATCTGATTGTTGTTTGTGGTACAGGATCGCGGTATTTTCCATCACGGTGTTTTATGACGAGCGGATCGTGATCGTGGTGGAACAGCGACCAGACGCTTCTGAAGAGGACAGTTTCCAGTGGATGAGCCGCGTTCTGCAGGTAAGATACCTTACTTTGAGTCCACTGGAAGTTTGTGCCAGTTTTTGTGCACTGCACAAAACTGGCCCCTTGTCTTGCCAGATCCCGCTCTCTGTGAGTGGGTGATTGCCAATGAACGTCAGAATGAAATTTACCTTTCTTTGCCTTTCTCCAGGCCATTGACAGCATCCACCAAGTGGGCGTGTACTGTCTCGCCCTGGTTCCTGCCAACACACTCCCCAAAACGCCGCTGGGAGGCATCCACATCTCTCAGACTAAACAGCGCTTCCTAGAGGGAACCTTGCACCCTTGTAACATCTTAATGTGTCCTCACACCTGTGTGACAAACCTTCCAAAACCCAGACAGAAGCAGCCAGGTAAGCGAGGAATAGTCTTTAGGTAGACTTTGATGCCTTTTTTACACCTGCTACAGAACATTTCTCTCTCAAATAGATTGGACTAATTTGACAATTAAACAATGTTTAAGACTGCATGAACTGTAAATTCTTCTATCACCTGATCTAAGGGGCAGTGGTCCTGCACCACAGTACTTTCAATGGCCTTTCTCAGTTGGTCCCTTCATTAAGATATAATAAAAATCCTTGCATTTGATATAGTGCCTTATCACGTTGCTAAGATGCCTCAAAGTACTTCACAGAATATACTGTAAAATATACTACTGCACGTTCCTGTTGCAGTTAGCCGTTTGAGGTCTCCTTTGAGTCCATAGTGACTTCATCTGAAAAGGGTAAAGGTATCTCTTCGGACTAGGTCTGAAATCGGACTAGGTCTGAATGCTCCTGGTTGCAATGCGGTTGGCCCACACATACACCGAATAACTCTTGAACGCTTGATTTCTTCAGCCGGTGTGGGACCAGCATCGATGATCGTTGGAAACCTGGTTGCTGGGAAGCGTATAGCCCAGGCCTCTGGGAGAGACCTCGGCCTGATGGAGGAAAATGAGCTGGTAAGAAAGGTGAGACTTTCTTTGAGCCGATCAGCAGTCAACTACATGTTGTGGGGTTCCTCAGGTCAGAATGTTGTGGTGTAATGTACACGTTGTGCAATAAGAATCATCCTTGCATTTGATATAGAACCTTATCACGTCTTCGAGAAGTCCCAAAGCGCTTCACAGAATATGCTGTAAAGTGAATTGACTATGTAATTTTGTGGGCTAAATGCGGCAGGCAATTACACACTGCATTGTCCCACAAACAACCGTGGATTATAAGGGATGGAAGGTGTGACAGGATAGTGGGGAGGTGGGGAATTAAATTTAAAATGCAGATAAGATACAAAGTTAGGGCATTGGTAGGAACAGTCACCAAGAGTGGGAGGAAGAGTACTGTATTCAAGATGGAACTAATAGATAGGTGTAGACAACAGTGAAGTGACGCTGATCGCAAACTGTTAATAATCGTGGAGATGTCAGCCGTTCCCAGACAGATTTTCTGCATTACCATCTCATGCTTTCTAACCAACAGTTCCAGTATCTGGCGGAAGTATTACAGTGGCGGGCACACACGACACCTGAGCACCCTCTCTTTGTTCTACTCAATGCCAAGGTATGTTCAGAATCTGATAAGAGAATCTCGCACTGGTCAGAACAGATTGCAAGCAAAAACCTAACAGCAGCCCCACAGTTTGATTCCCTCCACATCAACTCTAGCTCCTCGCTCCCTACAGCCATCAGCTGGGAATGAATGCGTATTGTAGGGCAGCAGTGCCTAAAACCAGAACACAGATCCAGAGTCTTCATAATAATCAGAGGAATAGATGACGTAGGTAAGAAAGCAGTTAATTATCTTCAACTAAGAGCAGAACCAGCAGGTGTAGGTTTAAATGGGGCTAGAGATTAGAACAGTTTATTTTCCCTGCAGACGAACACATATATATATGGAACAGACTCTTAAAATAAGCAGCTGATGCTACGTCAATCAATTCCTCCTCCCCCAAAACTACGTATCTGGTTGAGTCCTGCAGGATGTAGGGCTAGGTGCTGACTGTGATGGACACAATCATTACTGTGCATCCGTCTATAGAATGCTCTCTATAGAAGGAAGAAGGCCAAGTTTGAGTCATCCAGATATAGGAACAATGAGTTTTATCTTAACAATAAATAACAAACTTATACTAGCCCCTTTCACAACCAAGCAGTTCACTGCAAAGCGACCCAAGTGCTACTACATGGTCGGCAAACATGGCAGCCAATTTGTAGAGCAATATCCCACAAAAATACATGAAATGAATGACCAGTTTTATTTGTGGGGTGGTGGGGGGGGAATTGTCCGCCAGGATAACAGGGCAAGGGAGAAAATCCTTTCTCTTTTCAAACAGAGCCTTGAATGACCTTGGTGTGGTGTGGAGCTTTCCTGTCAGAGGAAATAGAGGAAAGCAAAGCCTGTGAGTGGGTGTTGAGGGAGCAGGTTTCCTGAACTCAGTGGCAACTTGTAACTGGACTGATCAGTGCCCTGCTGCTGATTGCTATGTTACTCGTGCTCCTCCCGGGTTTGAGTTACAAATAACACTGTTTAACTCTGATTAATACTGTTGCTAGGGAATGCCTGCGAGCACCGCCACGTGTCTTCAGCTCCACAGGCGGGCGGAGAGGATTGCCGCCGTTTTGTCCGACAAAGGCCACCTCAACGCCGGCGATGTCGTCGTCCTTCTGTATCCACCGGGTAAGGAATCGTGTGGAGAAATACCAGCCCACTGGATCCTTTATCATTTATTCCCATTCCTGATCCTGGACTTGGAATAATTTATGCTCTGCATCCTGGCCCTATGTAATTGGTGATTACCCAAAGGCAGCAGCATGGTGCTACCATCTGATAAAATGTGGAGAGATATTATTGATAATAAACCTTGCATTTAATATAGCACCTTATCATGTCTCAAAGCTACACAGCATATATTGTAAAGTGGATTTTGTGGGCTGTAACGCAGCAGCCAGTTGCAAATAGTTGTAGATTGAATGACCAATTTTTTTTGGGAGGGATAATTACCTCCGGAAAGCAATCCGCCAATCGACTAACATCCAGGTTCCTACTTACTGCTAAGCAAACAGAGGCGTGTGGAGTAAGGAAACATGTCTAAGGTTTCTCCCCATCCGGTGGTATATTTGTGTGCTTGTTGTTTACATTTAATTTCAGGTTGACTGAGACGGTCTTTTAGAGAGTATTTTTTTGGAGACTTACACTGACATGGATTTCTTGTTCCCTTAGGCGTAGAGTTGATCGCTGCTTTTTACGGTTGCCTGTACGCTGGCTGTATTCCGGTCACCGTCCGTCCTCCTCATCCTCAGAATCTGTCTGCCACCCTTCCCACAGTCAAGATGATCATTGAGGTACGAGCTCCCGCTTTTGCTCCTCGTCAACTCTTGTACTTTTCAGCCATTTCTCTCTTGGCAGTGGCGTTTTTTGTGGCTCCTGTTGCCTGAGATTTCATGGTGTGGGAGAAGTTTACAAAAAATGTCTGAAACTTGTGGCAGAAACTTAAGGTAATGGATAGGGACCGATCCCAGGATGTGCTGTTTTGTGACAGTTGGCCTGTTCCTCTTTGGTCAGAATATATTCCTTGGGGTCATTTTAACGGATTCCAGGACGGATTTGGGCCCTTCAAGGGGGAAGAGTTACTCCCAAAATAGTATAAAAGCCTGTGAATTCCTGAGACCTTCTGCTGTTATGGAGAAAATGCTGAGTTAAAGTCAGGCTGAATAAACTCCTTGGTTAATTTTGATGTCTGCCAATAATTGGATCATGTCTCTGCATTCTTCCAGGTCAGTAAGGCTGTCTGCACCTTAACAACACAAATTATGACAAAGCTTCTGCGTACTAAAGAGGCAGCTGCTGCAGTGGATATCAAGACATGGCCGATAATCATTGATACAGGTAAGAATTGGAAACGTAAAAATAATAATCCTTGGATTTGATACAGCCAGCGCCTGATCGTGCCTTTGAGAATATACTGTAAAGTGAATTGGCTGTGTATTTTGTATTTTGTGGGCGAAAGGCAGCAGCAATGTGCACACGGCGGTGTACCACAAACAGTTGTGGATTAAGAATGGTGTAAATGTGAAATGCTCCGATGGAGCTTGCCTGGCTTCAGCCCGTCTGAACACAGGAATGCGGAAACTGGGCCGCTTTTCTCTTAAGTGAGGTTGAGGTGACTTAACTTCATTGACTGCTCACAGAACCAGTGCAGGGGGATGCTGTTGTCAGCAATTCTTGTTTTTAAACCCCAACCATGTTTACCATTGGCGGGAGGGCCTTCAGCCACTCTGCCCCCACACTCTGGAACTCCATCCCGCAGTTCCTCTGCCTCACCTTCTCCCTTGCCTCCTTCAAGACCATTACTAAGCGCCTCCTCTTCGCCCCAGCAGCTCGGGTCCGAAACACTGACTGTCCAGTGCCTTGGGACGTCCTCCCGACATGAAAGGCACTTTACAAATGTAATTTTGTTATTGTTGTTTACTATATTGCGAGGCAGGATATCGATGGGAAAATTATTTACAATGAGGGGTGGGGGGAGGGGGCGGAAAATTGCCATTGAATTCAGCCAGAAAATGTACCGCCTGAAAAGAACATCAGTGGCGTTAAATAATGAATGTATTCTTTCTGCTCTGCAGATGATCTGCCCCGTAAGAGGACATCAAACATCTACAAACCTCCCACCCCGGAAATGTTGGCGTACCTCGATTTCAGCGTCTCAACAACGGGCATGCTCACTGGCGTCAAGGTACAACCACATGGTTTGGCATCAGCTTTGCAGATTGAGAACTATCAAGAGATACATGTAATCGTCACCTTTACTGTACTTAGACTTTGATGTGACGAGTGTGACATCCAACCACCACATCCTCAGGCACACCCAACTGATTAAAAACGACTGTTATTCTGCTTTCACAATGGCTGTTGTTGAATTTTTCATCCTGGTTAGTGGCTAGTACTGTGTCTTAAATGAATTAATCTCACCTCCCAGCTCATTCCATGCTGTTCTTTCTTTCAGATCTCCCATGCTGCAGTTAGTGCTCTGTGCCGGGCGATCAAGTTGCAGTGTGAGCTGTACTCATCGCGACAGATTGCTATCTGTCTTGACCCCTACTGTGGCCTTGGCTTTGTTCTCTGGTGCCTCTGCGGGTAAGAGCTCTGCTCCATTTTACCTTAAACGTTCTGTGCTATTTAATGGGCCTGAACCCAGGTCCTTCATATTTATCTGTGGATGAATTTATTCTAACCTATGAAAGACTGTGTTTCATAAACTGTCCCAAGTGTCATGGGAGAAACTGAACCAAGATGAAAGAAACCAAAGCTTTCCAATTTGGAAAGAAGAGAATTTAGAGTGGATTCAAGTATTGGATATGGACCACATCAACTCAGACAATTACTACGAATTAAGACAAAGTGGGTCAGAGGACAGTAAACGTAGGAGGATGGCATCCTTACTCAGAGTAATGAATGTTTGAATAATAATTTAATAGATGACCTCTCACCCTGAACTTCACTTGAGTTTTATAAATCTCTGTATTTGCATTTTCTGCCTGAACACAACTCGTCTTCTTTTCCACAGCGTTTATTCTGGCCATCAGTCTATCCTGATCCCACCCCAGGAGCTGGAGACGAATCTGTCACTCTGGCTCTCTGCCGTCAGTCAGTACAAAGTTCGCGACACATTCTGCTCATATTCAGTGATGGAAGTCTGCACAAAAGGACTCGGTATTCAGACAGAAGGGCTCAAGGTAAATTTGTCTCTATCCTTCCACCTTGCTCCCTCTCTGTCTTTTAACTACCACCTTAAAACCTACCTGTTCGACTACGCCTTTTGTCACCTACCCTTTTCCCTAGGTGTAGTATCCAACCCCACCACTGAGTCACTCCAAGACATTATCCTATGTGAAAGATGCTGGTTGCTGTTTGTGATTCATGTTGGCTGGTGTTGCCCCCTGGTGGCCAGTTCAATATCAATCATTGTTAAGTCCAGTATGTGGCCGTATCAATGGTTTCCAATTTGTTTAAGAAAGAACTACGCCCTTGTAATTGGTTATCTGCCATGATGATGCAGTCAGTATTTTTAGAACAAGAGTCACTTGAAAGAATATAAATAAACAGGGTGATGGTCTACAATGCAAAACCTAGTGACAATAGGTCCCGGCACTTCGCTTCTCCTGATCCTGACCATACTTTCTGGGAAGCCAGACACTGTTCTACAATTGAGTTAGAATTATTTACCAGTTTCTGGTGCAAGAGTGCCATTGAAAAAGACCAGACTACCCACCCTGGTAACAATGTGTGTCCTGGGCAGTCTGGACAGAGGGAGGAGCACTCAAACTGCTTGGGAAGTCTTTCTCTTTTGTAGGAATCATGATTTGAAACGTAAATGCTTATTGGATGCAATGGAAGTTGTCGCTTTTAGTGACAACTAAACTTCATCTCTGCACCCAACGCTGTATGAACCATCATATTTTAGAGCATTTACTGATGGCTAACAGGGAAATCATAACTTCACTCTTAACGTAATCTTCACAGACTCGGGGAGTTAACCTTGCTTGTGTTCGGACGTGCGTGGTGGTAGCTGAGGAACGAGCCCGAATTGCACTGACGCAGTCCTTCTCTAAACTCTTCAAAGATCTTGGTTTGTCTCCCAGGGCTGTCAGTACCACCTTTGGGTCCAGAGTTAACCTCGCCATCTGCCTGCAGGTAGAGTATTTTAATGGAGTATTGTTTCCTTGGAAGAGAAAATATTACAGTATATAGTTTGAGACATGACATGTGAATGCGACTGCCAGGAATGGTGGAAGGCAAATGGATGGAACTTGGTCTTCTTCTGCCTAGCAAATTCTTATGTTCTAATATTGCATGTATAGTGGTAACACTGCTCACAGTGCTTGTGTAATATTGATCCTATTGAAAACCATAGCCATGGTGGATGGTATCTTGGGTGAAGGGTGTCATGGCATGATGGATCATTGCAGGGTGAATGGGAAGCTTTCTCCTGTTCCTATTGCAGATATCCTGGGTGTTGTTGGGATGCAGAGTCAAGTTTCTTGGGTCAGTTACCGACCTGAGACTGGAATGGTCATCACTTATGATCACGTAACAGTTATTTGAACAATTAAAGTTGATCAGATGCTCGGAAATGTTGCTATCAAGCGATGCCTTTCATGAGTGGAAATGAAAAAATCCTTGTGGAGCAAGTTCAGTTGGTGCAGTAAGTCCTGAGTTAGTGTTACGTTTATCTAACTATCTCATAGCTCCATCACTAATCTATACTCCACTTGTTTCCAGGGAACCTCAGGGCCTGACCCAACCACTGTATTCTTGGATATGAAAGCACTTCGACACGACAGGTACATTTTACAGCAAGGATTTAGAACTGTTCTCTAATGGTATTAGTACTGTGGTTGGCTGTCTGTTGTTAGGAACTGATCACTATCTTCTTGTTGCGATTGTCAACTGCACCAAATCTGCTAAAGGTTTCCTTCTCTCTTTTCAGAACTTCAGAGCTAGTTTAGTTGGATCAAGAGCTTAAAAATGTTACAAGTTTTACTGTACTGAAAAGTGTAGTAACTGTCTTTTGTAAACAAACTTCATTTTTTAACCACCCCCTAAGTAGTTTTGAGATTTGGTTGATTACACAGACCAACAATTCTCCAGAAAAATTTGTCACTGTGTGGTGTTTGTGAGTTAACTGAGCAAATTGGCTGCTGCACTTGGCTACAAATAATACATGTGATAACAAGTGGCTGTGAAGTGCTTTGAGACATTTTGATATGTGTGTTATATCAAATATAAGATATAATAATAAAAATCCTTGCATTTGATATAGCGCTTTTCACGTCTTCTAGACGTCTCAAAGCGCTTCACAGAATATACTATAAAGTGAACTCACTGTATATTTTGTGGGCGAAACGCGGAACCAATTGTGCACAGCAGTGTCCCATAAACAGTTGTGGATTGAGGAATAAATTATTATTGTTTTTTCTTGAGGGATTATTATCAGGCATCTTATTACTAGACTATCAAATACTTGAACAGAGCAAAGCCTGTGTGCTGGTGTGAAAGACGGTGCATTATTCCTATCGCTTAACTGTGCGTGCAGGATCTACTCAATTAACTACCGCGGTATGAGAATACCAGCAATGCAAGTGTGGTTCCACTCTTGTGACCTGCACTAAGTGATTCTTTTTTCAGAATATCAAGTAGCAGTAATCCTTACAAATATGTTGCTCCATCCTTCTGTGTTCCTGAGCGTTCACATCCCCATATGGCAGCGCCAGGGAAGTCAATGTTAAGGTGTCAAGTCTATGAACGAGGAATTGCGTTAAGCGCAGTTGGCAACACATTTTGAGCCCAACACTGGATGTTTCCATGGTTTTTTGGGAGGAATGTGGCTGATGATGATTTTCGCACTGCTGAGCTTGCAGTTTGAAGCTTTCTCATACTCGGCTGTGTTTACTGTAGGGTGCGTCTTGTGGAACGAGGAGCCCCCCAGAGTCTTCCACTCATAGAATCTGGCAAGGTGGGTGTCAATCTTGTTTTCTCCTGTAAACCCCATTCATTGCACTTGCACTAGGAACAAAGAAAAAGGAGTAGGCAATTCAGTCCCTTGAGCCTGTTCATGGCTGATCTGTCCCTCGATTCCAAGTACCGGCCCTTGCCCCACATCCCTTGATACCCTGACCTAACAAAATTCTATCCACCTCAGTCTTGAAAATTTGTCTCGAGAATTCAGTGTTACCGGACTCCGCTCTTTTGTTTTTATTTTTGTTGCTAATCTCACTGCTTCGGGATCACAACAGAGTTGGAGATGATCAAGGCCATGGTCCATTTGATCATTAGAGTCGATCTGTTACTTAATGAGTCCAGTGTCATCCTTTCTTGTAACCTGTGTGATTTCCTATCTGAACCCCTGGCTTGGCGTCAGGCTCTGCCACTAAATGCCTGCGTGAAGGTCACTATATAAATGCAAGTTGTTGTTGCCCTACTAATGAGAATGCTGTTACCCTTTATGCAGATTCTACCTGGTGTCCGGGTGATCATAGTGAATCCTGAAACCAAGGGTCCTTTGGGAGACTCGCACTTGGGAGAGGTGAGTCACTGCTGAGAATGTTGAGCTACTAGAGCCAAATGATCTCCATTTCCTGTCAGACTCATTCAATAGGTTGTAGCTTTATTTCCACCATTTCTTATTATTGAGGAATAACGATGAAAGCTATCAGCTGCGCGTCTAGATAGCCTTTTGCTTGTTCTGTATACTGGTTAATTGGTATTGTACGATTGAACTGTGAGGTTAACAATGTGATGTATTTTTCAAATATATGTGAAGCTGCGGAACGTCTTCATTATGCTTTTGCTCGGGGTCAGAGTCTAAAGTCGAGTGTAGTATTCCTTTGCTCCTGTGGTTGGGTGGGTTGGTTGGTAACTAACTCAGCATAAACCAGGATTCAAATCTATAACATTCCTGGTCTGTTCAGTTCACCCATTCAGTGAACTGTTTGGAGGTAAAATCAGCAAATTGTCTTGTGAGATGCCTATTAGTTGGCTGTTGGAGTTTCTGGCCACGAGAGATGGCTGGATCTGAGAGATTGATATGTTGCGTTTCCCTGCAGATCTGGGTCAGCAGTCCTCACAATTCCAGCGGCTACTACACGATCTATGGAGACGAGAGCCTGCAGGCTGACCATTTCAATACCAGGCTGAGCTTCGGGGACGTGCAGACCCTGTGGGCCCGCACTGGCTACCTGGGATTTGTCCGCAGAACAGAGCTGACGGATGCCAGTGGAGGTAAGTGTATTCCTTGAAATTGTGAGTAGACTGCTGGCCACAGGGAATCATTTCACTCGGCTCCTGTTAACCCTGCAAGCCAAAACCGTGATGGCTAGGCTGTACTTTGTCAGAAATTGTGGGCAGAAAGGAATGCTTTGCCACTCCAGGGTACATCGTGTTAATGGTCCAGAAGCTTGTTGTTACAGATCCGCTGAAAGTCACTACACTTGCCAGTTATTACTTGTAAAGTAATTATAATAACATAATAATAATTCTTGCATTTGATATAGCGCTTTTCACGTCTTCTAGACGTCTCAAAGTGCTTCACGGAATATGCTGTAAAGTGAATTGACCATATATATTTGTGGGCGAAATGCGGCTGACTATTGGCTGTGAAATGTAACATTCTCTGGCTGGATTTTCATGCTAACCAACAGCATGTGTCAATAACATTGTTTTTTTTTAAAAAAGTCACATATTAATGATTTCCCCCCTTACCTGTCCACAGATCGACATGATGCACTTTACGTGGTTGGAGCTTTGGATGAAACGCTGGAGCTGAGAGGCTTGCGTTACCATCCCATTGACATTGAAACATCAGTCTCCCGAGCGCACAGGGGCATTGGTGAATGGTGAGTAACTGCACCCACCCACACTAGGCTCCTTCCAGCCTGCCAGCAACTTGGAACAAGTTGTAAATCTGTATCACTGGAGTGGGTGGACCATGCTACCCACCCTGACGAGCCTCACAAGAGATCAATTGTGCTTTATTCACTTTACCAGTACAGGACACCAGCATTCAGATGATGCTGCTCTGCTCTACGTTCGTCAATTTCTCTTTCCCTCTAAATGCTTCGTGGATGTTTTGTAAACAGGTTAGACGAGCTCCCTTGGAGGTTGAAATTTTCAGTTGAAGGGTTATTCTGTCACATGGATGTCCATGAAGTTTTTACACTGTCACGTATGGTATGGGTTTGATACACTTCAGTTACTGTTGGAAAAGAGAGTAACTGATGCAGCCACCCCTTCCTGACCCCAACATCCAGCTCAGGTGCACATCCTCGACCATCCAGTGTCTTGGGACATCCTCACGACGTGAAAGGCGCTATGTAAATGTAATTTGTTGTTGTTTTGGTCACTATGTAGTGTGATACAGCGATCAAAACAACACTTGCTTTCCTCTCTCCTCAGTGCTGTGTTTACGTGGACAAATCTGCTAGTGGTGGTCGCTGAGCTGAGTGGCTCTGAGCAGGAAGCACTGGACCTTGTGCCCCTTGTCACAAATGTTATCTTGGAGGAACACTACTTGATCGTGGGAGTGGTGGTGGTAGTGGATCCTGGAGTTATTCCCATTAATTCACGTGGAGAAAAACAGCGAATGCATTTGAGAGACAGCTTCCTGGCCGACCAGTTAGACCCTATCTATGTTGCTTACAACATGTAATGCTGGTTGGACAGCCAGAGATGCTGGCTTGAGCACAAAGCACAGACTGAAATTGTAACTGACCGAATGCAAAGGGCCATTGCAATGAAATGTAACGGACACTTTACATTCAGCAAGACCTGCTTTCAGTGTAATAGGGTGGGGGGGGGGGGGGAGATGGGATGGGGTATGCGGGTGGGTGGGGAGGGGAGAAACTGAAATTCTGACATATTTAACTTGAGAGTTGTACAGTTTAACACTTGCAGTTCATTTCCTTGGTTCAGTTTGCTAGCTGTTGCAGGTTGGGACGCTTGTGGTTCTGCTGGAGTGAAGGAGCCACTTTTATATGTAGAGCATTGTGCGAAACGGAGGCTTTTACTCAGAATTCCGGCCAGCTTCCTGAATGGTTTCAATTCAACCTCAAGTAAGGTGTATGCTCTTACTAACACCATGAACATTGAAATGTGACACAGGTTCCTCTTCCCTAAAGCGTAAGAGGTGCTTGGCCTTGAGAATCTTGCTGACGATTGGCGACTTACAAATTCACTTGTAATGTGCAGAAAAACCTATGACACCACCCCCTCTCCCCAATCCCAATCTCGGTGTTGGCCACTCGATGTCCAGTTGGCCAATCACTGCCGAGTGAGATGTTTCCTACCTGAGTCTTGATGCTGGTGCTTTGAGATTATGGCGTTCACTTCAGCGCTTGTCAACATTTCGAAGTCGCATCATCTTTGCAATGAGACTGTGGCCGAGTACTGCAGTGGGAAGATGACCAGGGCACAAGACGTTGCTGGGGATCCTGGACAGAAATTACAAGAGTTAATGGATGGACGGACAGACACCAGAGTGGCATTAGTGAGAACAGCGCTGCTCAAGTGGATTATTTTCAACCAGCATTTTCATGTGTTAATTTTTCATCCCACAGCTCAGTTTGAAGAGGCACCCACAAATAGAAATTGAGATTTACTGAGGGGCATTGACAGCAGCAATGTCAGAAATCTTTGAGGGTCATTGTTCAAATTTTCCCTTTGTTTCTGATCAGGTTCTTCATAATATTAATAGTGGAACGCGACGGCCCTCATCAAATGAATTATGTTATGGGTCCTGTTTTATTATCCTGTAATTGAATCCATTTATTCCTGCCTTAACAAAAAAAATCTCCATTAAGCAACTGCTCAGTTTCTCCTTGTTAAGCCAAACTATGTACCATAACACAGATACCGATATTTCCTGATGTAAAATTGTGTATAAAGCTTTCCTTTTTATTTATTTGAATTCAGGTTTGCAATAGATCTCCCTTAACCCCCCAATATCTTTCTGGAGCACCGCTTATAAACACATTGTGTTTTTGAGTATAACTTGAACTCTTATTGTACTGTACTTTGTAGACTGCTTGGAAAAGCCCGAGAAAGGCATGGCACCCATTTATATATTAAGTCCAATCTTAGTGCCATGATGCTTTGTGTGTGGCTATGTATTTCAGTTGAAATAACTCATTGCGTGGCTGTGTTGAAGACCAGACAGTAAAATGCTGTAGCTCCTGTCCTCTTCCCATCACTGTGGAAGCAATTTTTGGAAGGTGGCTGCATCAATAATGCAGGACCCTGAATGGTTAGTAATATCTATCCCATGTGAAGCAACAAGTTTAGCTTAATTTACTCTGCCTCCTCCAATACATAGACAAAATTGAGAACCCGAGTACTGTAAATGTAAAAGCCTGTGTGGCAAATTAACCTTCAGTTACTATGTCTTGCTTGAGAAACTTTAGCTTTGCACACTAACATAAATATCTTATTTTTTCCTCTCCCCCCACTTCAAGTTTCTCCTTTTCTTGAAGGCCGACTCCAGCACGAGAAATTTTATGCCAGCTGCCCTCTGGCATCTTGCCCAAGTGGCCACTCTTAATTTGTCAACCATAAGTATGCTGGCAAACTATTCAACAAGTTATCACTGCTGAACCTGATGTTCACATACTTCCAGCAAGGTTCGTTCAATAATAATTAGAAATGGGACACTGGCTGATTTTATTTCTCTCCCCAACCCCCCCATATCTTGGGTTCTTGACAATTAACTGTAGCGCATCTGCAGCTGAGATGAGATAGTACAGATTGGAGATTGAATACAAGACCACTCTTGGCAGTGGCTTTTATCAAAGTTTCTTATAATCATTTCATGGCAGACTTGTATTGAGTTTTTTTTAAAAAACTCCTAAATTGGTAATGCCCCATGTATAATTTTTAAATCGTATTGTACTTGACGTCTGTGGGCCCCTCCAAGAGCACAGACTGAATTTGAGTGCTCATTTTAAATGTCTGGAAAATATACTACTATTAAGAGGCACTGTATTGATGTGTATGTAAGTTGCACAACCATGTGCATAATGGTGATTTTTATGAGTGTGAGAGGCAGGTGCAACATTTGCTACCCAGTATTCCAAATCCTTTTTAGAACATTGTCTTTCCACTGCTGAGACTTGCATTTCATATATTAAGGATGTTTCCTGGAAGGGGTTTGGGGAGGAGGGGGAACAATTGCTGGAACACATCTGTGGAACATATATTTTTAAAAAGATTCCTTCCCAGATTTTACATTTCTGGAAAAAGCAGCCTGGCCTTGAAGTGTCCCCTTGAATTATAGCATTTGTCTGTCTGGCCTTAGCTATGGAATTACACACAAGGATATTATTCAGCACCTGACGTCTAAGAGAAACTGCTGGAATACATTTCTAGGACCACGACTCGCTGATCAATGTGAACTAAACTCTGGGGGGGGGGGACCTTGTTTCTTGTGTGTTGGTCCTGCCAATGTACAATTATTTCACCTCTGTGAGAGGATGCTGTGAAAGCTGCAAGACTTGAATAGGAGCCATTGTATCTTGCTCAGATTGTGCTTTTTTTTGCTCAAGTTTTCAAGGTATCTGGTTGCAAGCTCAGATAACCTGCACTCATTTTATATCAATTTTGAACAGAAAACAATAATCTTTGCTATTCTGGCTTCTGAGCTGGAAAAAACATACACGTCTGCAAAGATTGGAAAATAACTGTTCTGAGCATTTGTGATTTGTTAGAAATATATCAAGTTAAACCGGTCACTGACTTGTAATCTCATTTGTAATTTTTTCTTGAACAATTGATAGATTTTGATAATTTTCAAATCAGGATTTAAGAAAACTAATCCCTCAATCTCTTGAGTGCTGTGTGCTGTAATAATGCTCCGTTATTTGATGGTATTTGCCTAACTACTGCTTATTGGTGTCTGTAAAACGCCGGTGAAACTGCTTATCTCTGTGACCGTAGCAGCTGTATGGGTAAGAAACTCAGTGAATAGGTTTGCTTAACTACTCCAGATAGTTTTCTGAGTCCAGCAGGCAGCGGGTAATTCCAGCCTGCAAGCATTCAGCCATTTGTTTACATTAACATTACAATGCATTCAGACCAATTTTTAAGAGTCCGTTTGCTTTGCTAGAATGATTTGGGAGCAAAGTTTAAGGTATTGGAACTTTGGAAGTTGCACAGAGTCAAACACACACATTCAAATCTTCTGAAGGCAAATTTTGGATGTAACGTAAGCAGCTGTATTTACTGAGTCACTATGTGATGCTGACTTGGTCAGTACTTACAACCTGTTATATTTAAGTCTGCTTTTAAATGAATTTATTTTGTTTGTGTGTGTTTTGTACCTGATCTAACTTATTATGCATATGACAACAATAATTCAAACTTCCAATGTTAAGACCCTTAATCCCCAAAAGCAGCATTATAACTGGTAATATCTTCAAGAAACTGATTTTTCTTCTTTCCCTCAACTTCCCCCCACCCCTCCCCCCACCCCGTGACTCCCTGCTTCTGTACTTTTATCCTGAACTGGATTAGGTATTTTGGTGCTGAGGGCTATGTCATTGTAAAAGTCTATTAGGCTCATTCAAAGAGTGCAAGAACAACTAACTGTACATATTTAATAAAGACAATAGATTATTGGATTTATGATGTGTGTGCAGAGTATGGGTTTAAACCACCTAGCAGTAGGATAGGAATGGAAGATCCTTGGGACTTGTAACTCCCAACGACTCTGATGTTTGTTTAGCTTGTACTGTATATATAACTACCCATTTTACCACCTTTGGTGCGACCCTTCAAAAGATACAAGAGTGGGTATGCAATGAGTCACTATGCAATGAATTGTTCAGAATAGCCCATAGTCACACCCTTAAGGCTGGGGGGTCCTTGCTACTGTATCTGTCTTTTTATCAGGTTTTGGGGGGGAAGGGAAGAGAAGAGGGATACAGTTCAGGATTGTTCAGCATTTGCACAACCATATCAGAACTGAAAGTTGTGCAAGCCATGCCAATTTGTTGTATTTTAGTTTTAAGTGTCTCCTAATTTGATCTGGTGGTGTATTCCTAGTTTAACAAATCTCTAAATGGTTGTGGGCAGCACTAACAGACTGAACACAGAAGCATTCTTTAGTTTCAGTGAACGTTGAAATATCTGATATTCGTTCTTTAGGTCATTCTGTTCATCTGACATATTTTCCTTTTGTACATTTGTGATAATTACTGTTTTTGTATTTCAACGGCAGAAAATTAAAGGCTTTTATTTTTGCTGCAGTGTGAGTTTTTGCATTTGTTTAATATCCCTCTTTTTAAAATAATTTGCACACATGATCACTCAATCCATGATTGTTTGTGGCACACTACTGCATGCAATTAATTGGCTGCTGCGTTTCCCCCACAAAATACAGTGAATTAACTTTATAATCTATTCTGTGAAGAGTTTCGATGACTTGATATGCACTATGTCAAATGCAAGTATTATTTTAACAATTTAGGAATTTCATTTTAGAAATTCTGGATCCCTCCCCCTACCAAGATAGGTTGCCTATCATCTTTACATAACAGAAGCTCCGCTTGGCTAATGAAGCATTTTGGTAGTTTTATTACAACATCAATGAAAGCTGTTGCTGGCTAACCGTTACTTGCCAGTAAGGCAACACAAAAAAGTATACTATTATACTTTAATCCCAATTTGACCATAAATGTTCTGGAATCGGTGAAACTTAAAGTCAGGATCAAAGGCTGCACCGTTTGTTTCTGTATGCATGCCACGTGCTCTTTAACCTGAAGGATCAGATTGAATTTTCCAGGAAACCCCTTTCTTTTGTTGATCTTGTTAGCATCGATTCCAGAGTTCATCAGAAGTACTTCGGTTGACACCGTTGGGTAAAGTAAGGCACGTGGTTAATTAACTGTCAACTGAAGCAAGCTGTGCGAGTGAGATTATAGCGGTGGTGTGCGCTGAGGATCCAATTTCTCAGTGCTGGAGGCTGAACGCTTCACATTTTTTGACACCGATGTCAATTTTTGTTTAAAAAAATCGGGTTGGTACCGCCATAATAAACCCGTCTTAATCTTTTTGACTTGGCGCTCGATGCGAGTGACTCGCCGGTTAACGATTAAAGTGCTGTGCTTTTTTTTTTTTGGGAATGCGCTTTGGAGCTGGTTTGACAGCAATGGGGGGAATGGTCAGTGCGACGAATGAATGTGGAGTGTAATCCTGATGGACATTGTGGGGCGAGTTCGGGCTGGGGGGAGGAGGGGGTTGTCGTTGTTACGCATCTGCTGAACGTCACCACCCTCGCCGGTTATTACCCGTGAAGCGATTCACCGCCGTGCGCAATCGGCGGTTGCGTTTCGCCCACACAACGTGACGGTCCCTTCGCTTTACAGTGTATCCTGTGAAGCGCTTTTGAGGCGTCTCGCCCAAGTGATGTGTAACAAACGCAAGGGTTATTATACATTATTACTGCTATTATTATATATGATTCCGGACAACCCGTCCCCCCTTCTATGGGTGGCTGAGGAAAGGAAGGGGGGGCGGGGGTGGGGGGCTTTTGCTTGTTAGGGGCACTTTTCAATCAGGCTTTCCAACCTTCTCTTGAAATCTTCTCTCTCTCCGCCGTGGCTTCATCCTCTCAGCGAAGACCACACTTTTATCGAAAGAGTGTGTGTGTGTGAGGGGGGGGGTGTGTGTGTGGGGGGGGGGGGGGCGATAAATCTCTTCAGTTTCAGACGATTTGAAGCACGGGATACCTGTCCTTTTTGAGGGAGGGGGTTTGGTGAGGAGAAAAAAAAACTTATTTATAAAAAAAGTTGAGGTATTTTTGCCCTTTCGGCCGTGGGTGTAAGCGCGGTGTGGGGGGGATATTTATGACGAGCTGAGGTACTTTGGCGCCTTTCGGGCTGCGGATTTTCGCCGTTATTTTTTGAACGGCTCCGTCCCGTTCGCGCGCGGGATTTCGCTCGAACGCCCTCCTCGCCGAGTGGCGGAATACACGGCTCGCGCCCGGGTGAGGCGCCGCCTTTTTTTTAAAAAAACGAAAACTCGAGCCCGCCTGAAAAAGAAGTGTGTGGAGTGGGGGGGGGGGGGGGAGAGAGAGAGGAGGGGGTTATAGCGGGCAAATAAACTAGACATTTTTTTTTTAAAAAAGTTTTTTTTGGGGGGGGGAGATGGGACTACTTTGCGCCTCCGCGGAGGGGGGGTGGGGGGGTGACGGGGCCGGCTCGCGCCCTCTCGGCCAATGGGCTCGCGCGCCGGGGCGTCACGTGGGCGCGAAGGGAGGGGGGGGGAGGGAGGCGGCGCCGGCGAAGGCCTATGTTTTCCTGCGAAAAAAAATCGTCGTTTTATTATTGTTGTTGTTGTAATCCGTACAATACATATCATTTTTTTTAAAAAAAACGGAAACGAACCCCCCCCCTCACCACCCCTCACACACACACACACTTATTGTTGATATTATCACCTGGTCCGTGTGCCGGAGAGAAAAAAAAGAGAGAGAGGGGATTAGGGAGGGAGGGAGGGAGGGAGGTTGGGTTGACGGGTGGGGGGGGGTTGAAAAGCTGAGGTAAAGTCGGGGGTGGACGGCGGCTGGGAAGGCGGGAGGCGAGGCCAGGCCCAGGCCCAGCGCGGACTCCGGAGCTGACCACGGAGCCCAGGTACAGAAAAAAGGCGCCATCCGACAGCTTTCTTCCCCCCTTCAACCCTCCTCCTCCACCCGTCGCCTCTGCCAGGGTCGTCGTATCGTTCTCCCCGCCTCCTCCTCTCTCTCTCTCTCCCTGTCTGTCTGTCCCGCCCGTCCTCGGCTTTGCTGCCTGGCTCCAACATGGCGGTTCTCTCTCTCTCACTCACTCACTCACTCACACACACCGTCTCTTTCTCACTCCCCCTCCTCCGGCTCTTAATGGCTGACGCGTTGTTGACGCGGGTGCTGCGTGTCCGGGCGGAGTGGAGACGAGAGGAGCTCTCGAGAGCCCTCTTGACACTCTTTCCTTTACCTCTCCCCCCCCCAACATCCCCTCTCTCTCTCTCTCCCCCCCTCCCTCTTGTGTCCGAGTCGCTAGTGCTCTCTCCTCTTGGGGTGGGGGGGGAGGTGATGGTGGTGGTGGGTTTAGGAGGGTCGTGGGCTCAAGCGCCCTTTCCTTCCCCTCTCCCCCCCCCCCCCCTCCATCTCTCCCTCCAGCAGTTCCCTACACAAAGAGGCAGTCACTACACTTTTGACAGTCGTTGCCTGCTTCCCAAAAGCTCAGGCCCTTGAGTTGTTTACCTATCAGCACTGTTGCTCACACACACACACACACGCTCCTTGGTTCAAGTCGAAGGTAAAGGCCAGTAAAAGGCTACTTTCTGGCAAAGGGTCGGTTTGGTCTTCAATTCCCACATTTAACACCTGTTAAAATATTAAAACAATAATCCCTTGTGTTTGGTACAGCACTTTCACGACCAGAGGACGTTAAACTGTAAAGCGCGGGGACTGTATTTGGGAGGCAAACATGAATGAGGATTTTTAAAAAAAAATATGGATTTCTTTCACTGAGATTAATGTTCTGTTTGGCAGCATTTACTAATCACTGACGAGGAGAAGTTTCATTTTAGTCTCCTTTCCTTGCTGGTCCTTTCCTGGGTTTCCCCAACTTCTGACGGTTGAAACGCAGTATTGCTCAGTATCTCGTGGGTAGAGGATGCTTAACCAACCTTAAGGTGGTGTCTCTGCCAATTTTTCTTTTCCTCCTCCTGTCAGCTTTGGCGCTTTGTAATCGGTGAAGAAGCCCGCCAAAAAAAAGGTTGAAACCCAGTTCTTCCAGTATTCTGTGGACTAATTTGTTGTACCACCAGACTGCCAGTAATGAAGGCTTACTTGAGAATGAAAGAAAATATTTGCATTCTGCTGTTAGTGCTGTCATTTTTGATTTGTCTACGGATCCATCAGCTTAGCTGAATTTAATGTAATTGATTCTAACTTGTATTCTTTACAGTATAGGTAGATACAGTGTGTAGTGACTTGTCATATATACATGCGCTCGTGTTTAAAGTCACAAGTAAGTACAGTGCTTTTGCAGAGTAACATTTGTGCAATTGTGCATGTATTAATTGTTTTATTTTGAACAATCAAACTCCCATTTGTTTTCATTTCTCCAGCAAGAGAAATTTTAAAACCATGTGGTCCATGTGCTCAAACTGTTGACCTCTTTGGGTTCTGAACAATCGTAGAAAAGAGTTTAGCAGCCTGAATGTACATTGTGTCTGCCTGAAATTGTATATCACTGTCTTTGAACCTCGTATTGCTTCAAATCACTTTGTACATTGAGTCTACTGTCTTTCTAGGGGTTGGTACCTTAGTCCTATTAGTCGAACAGAATTACCAAGCACCTGTTGGCTAGTACAGCATCAATTGGTGGACATATCAGATTCCACATTTCCCCCCCCTTCCCCAAATTTGCCGCCTATTGTGAGCAATTGATTTTCAATATTGTGCGTACTGTAGGATTTCTATGGTCCTGTGACATATTTCGTTATTTTGAAACTGAAATTGAAAGTTTAGTTTGACAACTATTTTTTAGCCTGCAAATTGAATTGCATCTTCAGTTTTAAAATGATGTACTCTGGTACTGCAATATTAAGCATGTGGGATGTCGTACTGAATGGGAAACTTTGGTTCATTACAAATTACATAAATGCTTGGTGATTTTATGTGGATTGCATGTTTTGGGGGGAGAGTGGTTACATTTACATTATGTAAGGGTTTTCATAAGGCACTTGATAAAATTCTGCTTGTTACCCGTAAATGTGTTTAAAGCTTGCCGTAGTAGAGATTTTTTTTAAAATCACTTTCGCAATTTAGAGATCAAAGTTCTGTGAGACTTTATTTACACGTGATACTGATCTGTTCTCTGACCTGTTGATCTTGGGACTAATCAACTGAAGCATTAGTGTAGAGCATCATTTGTAAACAGAAGAGTCATTGGCAGATCCAGGCGCCACTTAGCACTGAGCCGTGCAGAGCGAAAAGGTTCTGAATTTTAAGTTATTTGCGATAATACAGCAAGTGATCTCACCATATCTGGGTTATCAACTCGGACCTCTATTCCTGATTGATATTGTGTGCAGGACTGTGGTTGGATTGAAAGTAATTGTGGTTGGATATTGGTTAAGAACAGGATTAGATTTGGCCTTGATGTCCCATCGGCAATATTCACTGGCTTGTCGACGAGGGTGAGAGCTGCCATTATCATGAGATTTAACTACAGCATGAGTCACAACCTTCCAGGGAAGTTGAAATAAACATTACACAACAAACTAATGCATGAGGGGGCCAAACATGTTTCATGAGGCATGTATGGATTAGTGTTCTGACCACCCTTTTCCTAACATTGCTTTGTTGCTTAATTTGTGGCTTCCCAGAAAAACTGGTGACCAACCTGGTAGCCAAGGCAATTTTTGATGGTGCGTAATAAAAAAAACAAGCTTTAAGAACTTTTTTTTAGAATAAAACAGTTCTTTCTATCTAGTTTAAAAAATACCTTACATGTTTACAGCGCATTATCATCTCGTTCCTGTAGAATAAAACAGAGGAACATAGAGTGATGGAGACAGACTGAGAGTCCGCATTGTCGGATGACATTTTGTGACCATTTGTTGGAATATGTTTTTTTTAAACACAGAATGATTTTATGATGGGTTCAGCCACATGGTGTTCACTGTAGATCACCGTTAGTGTATTTTAGGTGGGAAAATTACTTTTTTTTAATCAGGCTAGCAAGTCCCTTCAGTCAACAAATCATTTAGGACCAATACATTTTGCCCTTTTCTGACTTTTCACCATGGTGCCTTTAAGGCAGTGGAAACTGCATCTGAGTCATACTTCCCGTTTGTTAAGCGTCAGAAGCTACTGAACTAATAGCTTGGTGTTTTAAGAATAGTTTACGAGAAAGCAGAGTCAGTGACTCATTTTTTTTCTATTTGATTTTTATAACGCAGGAGCATTTTTGTTGGTTTTCAGGCGATGGTTTAGTCTTTCCGCAATTAGATAAATTCCCGTTTTATGAGTTTTTAAGAATGAACTCCTGTTTTTCATAATAAAGATGTCACAGTAAAGTATTAACATGTGCAGAAACCACAGTTTCACCTGATGAAAATGCTCAGAACCATGAGAATTTCCCCCATCCATCTTTGCATTCAAGGGAATGTCCTTAACTTCCTAACTAGTTAGAAATTTAAACCTGAGAGTCATCCTTCATGGAAGCTGAGGAATGCAAACTTGTTTGTTCAGCCTTTTAGAAATTATTCAAGGCTCCCTATTAAACTTGTCACCTGGAATCTGTGAAATATTTAGTGCGAATGAGGCCATTCTCTCTTTTTTAAAGTTGTTGTTTCTGTTGAATGAGGTGACTTTCCGTTGTTGGCCACTTCCCTCTGACTCAAAAATCTTGTGGGGTCCTTTGGCAAGAATCTAGAATTTCTATTTAGAGAGATGCAGTGGATTTTCATTTGTTACTAAAGGTTAGAATTTTTTAACATGTTGTAACCTACACGTTAGGTTTGAGACTTTCCATTGCTGGCCATTTTCATCTGACTCAAAAATCTTGTGGGGTCACTGCTCCGAGTGAAGGGTGCTTTATAAATCTAAGTTGTTGTTGTAAAGGTAAATGATAATTGTTGCAGTTTTCTGTTTTATGTTATAAGATTTACAATAGGATATTTTAACTGCAACGCTGAAGTGTTGAATTCTTGACTAATCATCTTGTTTATGGTGAGTCCCTGTGGCTCGAGATCTAAGTGGCACGAGTGGATTGAGTGTCATTGCCCTGTTTAGCAGCCCATGAGTGTTTTTCATGAATGGTTTATCACAAATTGTACACTTGACATGTTGCAGAATGTTTTAAAATATATTTTTTTAAATGCAGCCTGGAAAAGAGGTGGTGGGTGTGATTAGCACCAGAATTGTACCTGGCTGGAAGGGATTGGAATGGGGGTTGAAAGAGAGAAAATTACGGTTGTGAATCTATTTGTATGAATCTCCATTGATGACAATTCAGAACAAGTTGAAGTATTCCAGGCTCTCAACAGACTCTGCATATTGTATCCTAGTTACATGACTACCAGCACATTTAAAATAAAAATATTAATCCTCAAATCTTTTAACATGGGTTTTTATAGTTAGGGTGAGTCTCCTTTGTACACACACCATTGCTCTGATATCCTTCCTAATGGGAATTGCTAAAGTATTTTTACAATACGTGGTGTGTGTTAATTGCTCTATAGTTCTGTATGGTAGACTTTAAATGAGCTTGTAATTAGCTGCCGAAGGGGTGGGACAGACATTTTCTATAGAACATCTTCCTCTGTGAGCTCATGAATGAGCAGTGATGCTCACAATCCAGGGTCATCATTCATGATGTCACATGAAGAGGGAGGGTTTTTTTTTAAAAGTCATTTTTCTTTCTATAGGCACTGACTCATTGTGGGTACTGTTCCATGGGAAATCTCTGATACTCACGTGTTCACATGTGAGGCTTGACATTGAGTATCACGAGACTGTTCAACTGTGTGAAAAATTACAGCTAAACCAAAAATTGCCTTCATCTTACTTTGCACATATACTTTCTAGCAGGACTGGATACAGAGTAGGAGCAGAAACCTGGCTGATTTTCTTCTCGTTTTCTCCGCTGTCCTCGAGGCTAATTGTAGACTCTTTAAGGGGAAGTTACACACAACATGTCTGCTTCCAAGCAGCTTCTCACTTCCAGATCTGCAGTCTAAAACATGGTAATATTGGGTCACTGTACAAATATTTACTTTTGTTGTATTTAAATATTATAACCGTTCAATGCATTGCCTTTTAATTGGTATGAATGCAATATTGATTTGTGTTTTTTTAAAAAAGATTGGATGAATATTTGTTAGATGGGATTGAACAATGTATTGGTGTAGACAAAGATGATTACATATTCTACACTAGTCCAAGGTCTGCTGGGAATCGGATGTCTTTTTAAGTGTGTGTGATGAAGCTGGTCTGGGTTGAATAATATAGGTATTTAATTTTATAGATCAGAGTTTTACCTATAGTTATGTATTTTGCTCAGGAGATTAAAGAAGATGCAAAAACTGCATATTAGATCCTAGTACGTTTGCATTATGCCCTTTCAGTGCTGGGACTTGGGTTTGAATCCAGCCCATGGGGTGGAATGGGAGAATTTCTGCCGTTTATAACATACTAGGATGTGTTTGAACTGATTCAGCAAGTTCCTTGAGACTTTGTCTGCTTAAAGCACACAATTGTCCACTGTTTGTGGGCAATATGGAAAGTGGAAAGATTCATACTGGTGTAGCTCTTCTGTCGTTTGTGTTTAAGCTCGGGGGGCTTTTATTCTCTGCATGTTGGCTATGTTTATCTTGGGAGTGTGTAATGCTGACAGTGGAAGCCCAAAGTAGAAAATGTACGTTTCCCAGAATCAATATTTATTACAATGGTGAGCACAAAACTTCAAGTCTTATGTGCTGTGGAGCAGGCAAATGGCTTGGCTGGTAGTGGTAGGCTGGTAGGGGTAAAAAGTATGAATGAAGCATCAAGCATGCAGTAGTACTATGACTTTTGGGCAGTCCAAAAGTCACAGTACTAATACATGGTTGATGCTTCATTCATACTTTCACGAAAAGACTAGAGAGAGTTTCCAGCCTTAAAACCCAGAAGATTAACTAATGAACAATAGACTTGTTGCAAGTGCTAGGTTTTTTTTTCCCCCACAGTGTTTATTTCCACTTCGTGCCATTCCAATTTCTTTCTCAGACACTTCTGTGTCTTTTTGTCTCTGTTCAGTGGGCTGTACCCTAGTTTTAACTGCCCTATGGAGCAACACTAGCTAGCCACAAACTTATTGTAACACCATCTCAACTGTCACTGACATTTCCTCTAAATTTAAGGATATTTCCACGCTTCTATAACTGCTTTGTAAAAGCTTTTGAGTCGTATCAAATTCTGCATTTCCAGTTTGATCAAGTCAAAAACTGAGCTTAAGAAATAGTTTGCCTGGTCATCACAGAATCGTACAGACAGACAGACAGACAGATTGGTTCACTTCACCCACAACCCTTTCAGAAACTGCTAGGAGTGTTTTGAAATCTGGTGGAGGAATGTTAATATGAACAGGATTCTGCTGAGATTATTTGTAAAGCAGTGTCAAAATGAGAGTCTCCGTGTCTCTTTCAGGTAACACATAATGGAGGAGGTGCAGCACGATGGCAGTAACAGCACGGATGCAGGAACACAACAACACCTGACAATACAGGCTTCACAGCTTTCCCAGTTAGCACAGCAGGTAAATGCCATTCATTGCCTCAAAGGAAGTTATACTAGTACAGTTAGAGGCCCTTATTGTCCCATTGGTTGACTAGCTGGTTGTGTGCATGATTCTTACATGTGTTGTCTATTTCTCTTTTTGCCAATTTGAGATGAGTGTAGGTAATTCTTTGCAAAACACAAGAGGCAGGAGTTAAGAATTATAACTATATATAGAAACTCTACCTCCTCCAACCTCCTTTTGGCTGAAGGATGTAATGTTTGCATCCAGCAATTGTATACCGTATATTTGACATAGATCTTCTTGGTGTTTAATTGGGGATTATTTCTTGATTGATTTCCAGCAATTATATCACATTTGTTAAAACTTTTATGCAAATGTTATCAAGCAATAAGGATATGGGCTGCTACTGGCTCACAAACAGAAAATGCTTCCTGTCCGCTGCCCCCACATGCTCATGTAAAGTAAAAGATAACAGTCGTGATCATGAACTGTTTGTGTTTGATTTTTTTTGTTCGCGTTGTGGGATGTGTAAATGGATGAAGGCAAAGTCATCCTTTTCATTACCCTCCACCCCCAACTAAAGTATATCGCTTGCAGTGCTTTGTCCAATCCTAAATGAGTGTTTATTTGAAGAATTGGGATAATTGATTTACTGGAGCACACAGTAACGGGATTAGAGTTAAACAAATGAGTCAATTTTTTATCCAGTCCCTTTTGCTATCCTGGCTCTTGAAAGTTTGACACAGACAGGTGATATCAGGAACTTGGTGGAGGAGGTCACTATTCTGTTCTGCTTTCCCCCGTACCCTCTGCCTAGTGATCTTTTATTGTACTCCATGATGGACGTTTCCATTTTATTGTATTTGTTTTTCAGTTGAAACAAGACACTTAATTGTAAACATCTTCTACTTTAGGTCCGTTTAAGTATGATATGTGTACAAAAAAACAATGTTAAGCCCAAAAGAGAATATCTAAATGGATAGTTTGTGTGTTTGTGTCAGAGTAATGGGCTGTGAGAGGAAATATCAGTAACACTACGCGCCTTTGTTTAGGTGTCAATGGGCGGTTCGACTCCAGTAACAGTACTTCAGCTGCCTGGGGGACAATCCGTCCATGTCCAAGGGGTAATCCAGACAGCCCAGTCATCAGTCATCCAGGCCCCACAAATACAGAGTGTTCAGGTAAGCCCTACCAACAGAGAAACTCTCAAAGGACATAACAATGTAAGGTTTACGTTGACTGCTTCTAAAACTCACAGGGCAACTGCAGTGTGCAAAGTGTTCCCAATGTTGCACAAAATTAATGTTTTAAACACAATTATAAATATTTAGATTAGCTGCCTTATCGTACTTTACAAATAAAACTTGCGTGGTGAGTTTTTAAGGCCAGGAAACATTGCTTTGAGTTTATAGGATTGTGATATGATTTAATTGTTTCTCAGCAGAGAAATTTTGGTCAGGAACCATCATTCTTATTTATGCTGAATAACTAGCAGAAAATAGTGCTTCTACACTTCGATGATTCCTTCCTGAGTTGTCTGGTTCATCTGAAATTAATGTTCAGCCAGAGGCATGTTTCATCAGCTGTAACTTGCAAGATGGCTTGTTTGTGGCAATTTACTGTAATCTCTTAGCCCAAGTGTTGAATTTCACAGTCTAGTAATTGAGGCCTGGGCAGTGCAATGGGGGAGTGAAGAGTCAGCTCGATATGTATGAATAGAACGTTACTGTGTCCTTAGCATTGGCCCCAGGGTGTCAGACCAGGAACTGATCCAGAGAAAAAGAAAATAGTTTCTTACAAATAAATCCACAAGAAAACCAGACCACTGGAGCTAACCCTGCCGGTGACTTTTATTATTGAAATGTACTTTGTTGATAACTCTGGCGAAGTTCCAGATCGACCCTGTTGATTGTGTTTCATATGGTCTGTAAGAGAGAGTGCCTTGTTGTCCCTGCTCATGCCATTCAATCCAATACTCGGTGCTGAGTTCCTCGAAGGTGTTGAATTTTAAGAGCTGATTGTTTATTGCAGACATGGTGGAGAATGGCGGTGAAGTGCTTTGAGGGGAAGCTCACAATTGTAGCTGAAGACTTTAGTTCTCAGACGGGAGTTCTATGCATAAACTTGCACGCATAACAATCCTCGCATTCGATATTGTGTATGTAATGTTGAAACTTCTCGAAGCGCTCCACAGGTAGTTGCTGTTAAGTGTAGTGACTGCATTTGCAGCCAAAGGCAAGCAGCCAATTTGCTCAAAAAAAGCGATGAAGTGAATGACTAATTAACCTGGAGGATTATTAGCAAACCCCCCCCCTTCCTTTTATGGTATGGAACCCTAAACACCTAAATAGGGAAAAGACCGAAGAGAGCTGGGAGTTGCAATCCAAAATTACATTTGCACAGCGCCTTTCATGTCGGGAGGATTTATTTCTTTTTGCTGCGAGTACCAATGTACTTGTTGAACTGCTAAATGCACTGCCCCCCCCCCCCCCCCCACCTCGAAACGAGGACGTTTGACGCGAAAGTGACCAGTCCGAGGGAACGTGGGAGAGAGGTTCCGTTGCGTTGACTCTGAGCGGATTTGGGCTGCAGTGGCAACGAGGTGCCGCAGGAGGGGCGCTCTCGCACAGAGCAGCCGGTCCATCTGGCCGAGGTTCCCTCCCCCCGCAGCGCGCGCGCGCGCTCCGCCGGAAGTCCGGGGGGAACCACGTCACAATTCCCACAATTCAAAGCGGGATGAAGAAGCAATGGCAGCTCAGACAGGAAGAGGAATCAGGTGGTGGGAACCAGGAAATGACTGAAGAAACTGACGAAAACAGCCTCGTATGCCCCAGGAATCTGACGACGTTGAGCAGATCAGTATGGACCACAATCAAGGAGGTCGGGGAGCAGAATCTTTTTGTCTGCTTTTCTGCACAACAAGGCGACGCACACGCGTAGTTTAAAAACATCCTGAGAATCTTTGTGCAGAATTTCAAGCAAACAACAACAATTTGTTAGAGAAGGGCTCGGACTGGAAATCTCTAAACTATAGTGCATCAGAGGATTTTTTTATTTAACATGTCTCAACCGATGGAGGGAGTACGGGCCTAATCCTGTTTGCTCGAGTTTTGCATTTAATTTGGATGGTGTTTTAATGTATACACAGAACATTGTCCATGTTGTCTGTTGCATAAATAACGGGCTTTACTCACCTCAAATTAAATTGCAGTGAATTGTTCTGTACTTTGCCCTGGAGTTGTGTCTTTCTCTCCTGTTGCTGCCAATAACTTCCCTCGCTAGTGTAGTCTATGCAGCAGGAACCCACGAGCAGTCGTCTTCTAGTAATGCATAGTAGCCATGCTTCATGCAAAGTTTGAGGCCACGTGAGTGTGGGGACTAGCTGTTAAGGTTGTATTTACAGAGTGCGGTCATAAATTAGTCAGATTTGAGGAAAGGCGGTGGGGGGGGATGCAATTTCGGGATTGTGTTAGGACAGCAATCTGTAAATAAACCAGCAGAGGGTGCTTTGGAACATGTAGTTGGGTGATTCTTTCAGAGCAAGTCACCACATAATTCCAGTTGGACTTTGCCCGTTTGAAATCTACCGCCAGCGGGGATTCACAAATGTTAGCTCTCGCTGTCCCTCGTGCACCACGTCTCTTCACTGGTTTATGTTTCTCTCCTCGGCAGTAAGTTACTTCTTTTTCTCCCCCTCTGCCAGGCTCCTTTGATCTTATGCATTTCCATGATTATCAGCCATCTATTTAGCAGGAGGGGCTAAAGAGGTTCACTTGTGCCGCTGGGTAATGTGAATTTGGTTAGTTTTGTTTAAGTGCTTTTCTACAATTCTGGGCTAATGGTGTCAAATATTTAAGCTATGCTATATTAAGAGTATGGGGGATGTGTGCTGTGTTTTCAGTGCAGCGCTTATGTTTATCATGGGGGTAAACTATGTGGATGTGTATTTATGATCGGGAGCAGAGAGGGACTATTCTGACAGGGGCTGATATATTTGGGTACCAGACAGATCGTGCTGTGGGTCGGGAGTAGGTGTCTGGTCTGGCAGGGGCTGCATGATTACTGGCTCCTCCTGACATGAAAGGTGCTATACAAATGTAATTTGTTATTGTTGTTACTGGTATAGTATAAATCAAAGCCACAGTTCTGAATGACCTGAACCTTTTAGCTGATTTGTCCTGTAGGATTAGCATTTGGGATCAGGAACGATGCATAACTCAATGGTGGCTGGTTAAAGGTTGGCCCATAAGATTTCTAATCTGAATTTATCTTCTGTTCAGGCAACTCATATCTAACAAGTTGCTGTTTGGCTGTTGTGATGGAAAATGTTTCTGCTCAAGTCGGGGGGATTTTTTTAAAAACATTGCGTGCTTGATGAGAACACTCGAGATTGAAAGTCCTAACCCCCCCACCCAACCTTTTAAACTAAAGAATAGTGTTCCCCTTTGGATTGATCCTTGTAGTGGTGATGTTTTGTGAATTCACTTTGACAATGTGTAGTTATAATGGGATTTTCCGTAATAACTGTGTACATTGAGAAAGTGAGGCATCATATCATTTGTGTATGAGCTTTGCCTGCCAATGTCCAACAAGTTTAAAAGTTTACTCAGCTGAAGTAAGTAAGCATTATGTACCTGTTCTTTTATTTATTTAAAAAAAAAGGATTAAATTAACATTGTAGGCATGTTATCCACTTGGTCAATGATTTGTCCTGATAGAGACAAACTTCACGAGTTGCACACTCAGAAGTGACACCAGCATCTGTCACTTAGATCAGGATGATTCCCTGACCAAGTAGATAACATGCGTATAATGCTTTCACAGAAAAGATATTGTGAGTGATAGTGTACCGGTCACTTAGAGTGGTAATTAGGCTAGACAAGACTTTTTGTTTTAAGTGAAAACCAAGTGAAATATTTGCTCTTGTGTGTTCCTAATAGATGGATATAGAAGGACCTTGATATCTGTGTGGTCCACATGCAGATGATTCTTTTAAAGCCATAAAGTGAGTTAAGAATGAAATCTAAGCAAAGAGTGACTCATTTGAGCATCAACACCAAAGACTGCATTTCCGTTGCACAGTCTAGAATAGTCCAGATTATGCATTCAAGAATTGCTGTGTAATCAGCCATTCACTTGCTAAGAAAATGTCACTTGGCTTTTAGCTAAATGTTTTACATTCTGAGTCACCAGCAATTCTTAAAAGTAGTTGGTTTAATTTACCTCAAATGGTTATTTCACTGTCAGTGAATATTACACTTTATCTTGAAGCTATAAAGGCTCAAAAGGCATCTCTTCAGATGCAAGTTTAAAAAGCAAAACCTACAACTGGATATTATCTACAAGTGGACAAAGTATAATTACTGAATTTTCAATAAAATCATAAAAATAGGTAGGAGTGGGCCATTTCCCTCTTCAAGCCTTCTCCACCATTGTATTGTACCTCTAATTCTGTTTCTCTTCTGTTTTTCAATATCTTTCTCTGTCTTTCTCCCCCACCTCAGTTGATTAGTACAGTAGAGTGTTCCAACTGGTGGCCTGTGGGCCGATTTCATCTGGCCACACTAAATGTTATGTTTCTGGAAGGGAAACACAAAAATATTGCTTATGCAGCCCGTGATGTTTCCCAAATAGAGCATCCAGCCCTCAGCAGATTAAAGGTTGGACCACCCTGAGCTATAGCTTCAAAATTAGTCAGTTCTAAATTCTCTTATCCTTTGCATAAAGAGCTTTCTTTTTCTGGATTTCACTTTAACAGGCACAGCTTTTCTATCAGGAAATAGNAAAAACTACAAGTCTATTATAAATGATGCTCATGATTCCTGTTTTCCTTTCTCAAGGTATCAGCGTTATCAGAGAGTGAGGATTCCCAGGAATCATCCGACAGTGTATCATCATCACAGAAATCCAGGGAGATTCTTTCCAGACGTCCGTCATACAGGTAGCCCACAGCGCACGATATGGAAGAATTCTAGAGTTGTTTTCTGCCACCACCAGACTTAAAAAGTATTGGTCATTCTTTTGCAGTTCAGAGGATTGCTGCGAGTTGTGTGCAATTATCTTAAAAATTGGACGTTGTACAAAAATATAAAACTTCTCCAGTTTGTACAAATGAAATCTTCTTGTGTAAGCACTTGTTTTGTTCATGCTGACTGGATGCTCTTGCATTTTTCTTTGGACTGTGAAGGAAAATCCTGAATGAGTTATCTTCTGGAGACTCAGCACAAACAAAGAACGAGGGAAAAGGTGATGAAGAGGCTGGTGCTACTCCCATCACCACCATGACTGTCCCAACACCCATTTACCAGACCAGCACTGGACAGTACAGTAAGTACTAGACCTGACTACTGTTGAGTGACTTATTAATTTGCAGAAATGTGTAGTCCTAGATCTCACAAGGCCCACGTAGCTGCTTTCCCAAGTGCCTGATGTTGAACATTTTAGTCTTTGTGGGACACTGCTGTGCGCAATTGCTGTGCCACATTTCACCCACAAAATATACAATCAATTTGCTTTACAGCATTTTCTGTGAATCGCTTTGAGATGTCTCTTAACATGTGATACCAAATGCAAGGATTATTATTGTTGTTACCATCACAAGTGCAGTAACTTGCGTATGTTAGAATTGGATAGGTACTTGGGAAGTAAGGGTTTTAAAGGAATAAGGAGAAAATGCAGGGATTAAACAGATTAAAAGATCTTGTAAGTGCCCAGAAGATGAGCGAACTCCTTAGCTGATGTTTGCTGTTTATTCTTATAGTTGCTATTGCACCCGGGGGAACGATACAGCTTGCGAGTCCTGGGTCTGACAGTGTCCAGGGCCTCCAAACGCTCACCATGACTAATGCTGGCGGCACGCAGCAGGGAGCCACGATTCTACAGTATGCACAGACTGCAGACGGACAACAGATACTCGTCCCCAGCAACCAGGTGGTGGTACAGAGTGAGTGAGATTCTTTATTGTCTCCCACATATTTGTGTGGGCAGGAGATGGGGGGGTGGAGAATGGGAACATGTTCATTCGGGTTCGAGGTGAGGAGTGATGCTGTTTTTTCAAGGTTTCTCCTTGGAAATGTTAGCTGTTTTGGGTAGTTAGACTTTTTCCTTTGTATATCGGCTATGAAGCATGTCTATTTCTGACTAATGGTACATGTGGGCTTTTGGCAGCTTGTACAGAATGAAAGGACAACGTACAATCCTCAAGTGTTCGTGTTATAATAAAATATTGTGATTCTGCTTCCGATCACCAGTCTCACGACTTAAACTCGTGCATTCGTGATTTGTGCAGCAGGTCCCAATGCAGTAATTAATTAGGTTGATGTTTGCAAGTGTTCAAGTGCATTGAATCGACGGCAAAACGTAGATATGTTGTGTCATAATATTGTCTTTGGGCTTTCTGATTGCCAGCGGCCTCGGGCGATGTACAAACGTATCAGATACGCACCACTCCCACCACCAACTCGCTCCCCCAAACCGTGATGATGACGTCGCCAGTCACCCTCCAGCCCCAATCGACAAAGGCAGAAGACGCAACCTTGAAGCGTGAGATTCGGCTAATGAAAAACAGGTCAGCGCTTGTCCACACATTTGTCGTTTGTCTGTGCTCTTTACAAGAATCTGGCATTGTGCTGTGGGAAGCCGATCAATGCAATGTGAGCAGAGCGGTGATGATGTGTCCCCTCTGGAGCACTGAATGTGATGAAATTCCAAGAGACAAGAGGCAATTTGTTTCTTTTAATGTTCACGTTTCCATGGCAAATAACAAAGAGCCTCTCCTTCAGCTTCCCCTTTGTTTCTCCCGCACAACACCAAGTCTCTCAAGAGACCAGGTATCTCTCCTGTTTCTGCAATTGCTAGTCTGGGACTAGGTGCTAGGAAGTATGCAGTGGTAAAGGCTGCTTTGTCTGGAATCATGTGGGAGCCTGAAGGACCACTGGCCTGCAGGATCACAGTTTGTCTTGCTTACTATTAAAGATAAGTCACTTGAGACGACACCTGTTGGAATTTGAATCGTGGAATCCTGTAGCAAGCGAGACGACCCAGGCAGGTCGAAACGTTAGGCAAGTTTCCTTGTTCCACATGCCTCTTGTTTATCTAGCAGTAAGTAGGAACCCTGTTGTTAGTTGATCAGTGGATCGCTCTCTGGGAGGTATAATCCCTTCAATTGACTGCTGCGTCTCTCGCCCACAAAATATAGAGTCAATTCATTTTACATTGGATTCTGTGAAGTGTTTGAGACGTTTCAATGATGTGATAAGGCACTATATCAAATGCAAGGATTATTATTATGGCAGAGGCTAATGTCCTCGGTGGGGGAAAATACAATCCTCAGAGTGCTGTCATACATTAAATATACAAATGTACATCAGTAATAGATAGGACACAGAGAGACTACCAGTCCTTTCAGTGTGCTTACAGTGGTGTGCAGAATGATGTCCCACTAAGATTATGCCTTTTGCAGTAACATTCACATTTACGTTGCAGGGAAGCTGCACGCGAATGTCGCAGAAAGAAGAAAGAATACGTCAAATGCCTGGAAAACCGTGTTGCTGTATTGGAAAATCAGAACAAGACCTTAATTGAGGAACTGAAGACCTTAAAGGACCTTTACTGTCACAAATCGGTCTAACTCTTTCATAAACTCTGGGAACATGAGTCCTATGGACTATTAGACTGAGGTGGGTGGGGGGGAGGGAAGAGCATTTTTACATGGATTTAATACGAAATGGTTTGGGAATAGAAACTGAATATAAATTCTGTAACCCTTTTGCATGAATTTAATGAATTTATCACAAAAAAGAGGAAGCAAGAGAGGCTGTGTTAATGTCTGACTGAGCAACACCTGCAGAAAAGAGAAATCCTGGAACGCCAGCAAAAAAGGATTTGTCTGGGTCACCTGTTGGGACACGACTACGTTTTGGTGCGTGACATTGTAACATGACCACGTCGACTGGAAGTTCATCTCTTAAAATGGCTGAATTCCAATAATGAAGGGAGCAGTGGGGGGGGTCTGCCTCCTCCGCTAGAGAGATACCACCAGCAGACAACTGTTCACACCAGGATCATTGCAAACCACCACAGTGTTTCCTGTGGGTCTGTACGTCTGCATATCATGTCTTGAAAGTTCCAACAGTTTCTGGTCTCGTAGTTTTACCTGAGGCAAGGACCAGAAATATTATTTTAAATAACATTACGCCAGCCATCAACCAAACTCCATCGTCCCCCATCCCCCCCCCCCCCCACTTCCAGCTCCCCAGGATTTTATGCCATTTTTATCCGAAGATTATACTCCATATTTGATGGTTAACCTGGAACTGGAAATTCAGGCAGAAACTGAGAATGAACTGTGGCTTTAATATACATTCCTAGCTCACTTCTAGAGGGTTGTGTGCGTGTGTTTTTTTTACCACAATAATATTGTATGAAACTTACCTCCTGTTGTCTAATGGAGTTTCACAACAGTGGAAACCAGATGTTACTGTTAAGTGGAGGGTTTCTTGAATAGAAACTTGTCCCAACTTTCATATGTCGCTTTACATTGGTATGGCCTAAAGCACATGCAGTACTTTCTATTAAATTTTTAATAAGGTCAACGTTGACAGGTGTCAGTCACTATATATTGCTGTTACGACATGCACTGTAGGACACTGTACAGCTCTACAAAGTGCACTCTATGTGCTAAGATGTATGTTTCATGAGTTACTTGTTCTTCGTGTGTGCTCATATCAACTTTGTTAATCCTTCGGGTATCATGGGAATGTTTGGGTTGCAATTCCGTATAATATCTTAAAGGGAGAGGAGTGTTTGATTCTTCTTAGCACTTTTTTTTCCCCCCCATTAGTTCCAGCCTGGTTCAATCGATAGCACTCTCTCTTGCCTCTGGTTCAGAAGATTCTGGGTTCGAGCCCCCACACCAGGAGCTCCTGATCAAGCGAGTGCAGTATTGAGAGAGCAAATTCATTGTCCTTCGGGTGAGTTGTTAAACCAAAGCCTCACTTGACGGTTCTCAGGATTCAAGTGCATACTAAGGGCACTATCAATGGTGCAAGATGAGCTCCAGCCAAGATTCCTTCCTCGCCAAAACTCCCTGACAAATTGGCCGTTCACCATATTATTGTGTGTGTAGCAAGTTGCTGGTGTAGTTTAGCTACACAAATTCATTGTGTGAACCACTTTAACCTGTCTCAACAGAGAAGCAGAAAGGTAAATTTAATTAGGCAATTAGACAGAATTTGTCATTTGTTTCAAGAACAAATTAGATTTCTGCAATTTCTAGTTTGGGACCCGACTGCCAGATGGTGGAAGGAAAACTAGATGGCCCTTGGTATTCTCTCGCCTAGCGAATTCTTATGTTCTGCAGATCAGTTTTGCCATTTAAAGAATCTTGCTATGGATTGAGATAATTGTATATTTTGACTGTTCAGTGCCTTGGGATATCCCTACAGTGCCTGTGTTCAGTGCCATAGGATGTCCTCCCGACGTGAAAGGCGCTGTACAAATGTAAGTTGTTGTGTTGCAGGAAAAAAACAAGAGAAAGGTGATTAGATCAACTGGCAAAGTATGTCCTCTCTTATACTGGGTCGTCAATTGTATGCTAAAAGAGTGTTAAAAGAATTAAACACGTAAGTAGATTGTTTTGGTTGGTTAGGTAATGATTCAGCTTTTAGCTCTCTCCCATCCAAAGGACAGAATACAGTGTGACTTTTCACAGGTTGTCACGGGATAAAACAATTTGCCCAGAAGACATCTGTGCCTGTGCCTGCTGCTCTGGAAATTATTTATGACGTGCCTTATACACTTTTTTAAGCAAGAAGTAGAATTTCTACGTTTTGGAGGTAAGTGATCTTCTTATCTCGCCTCGCAAGCAAGAGACCTGGGTTCAATTCCTGGCAGGGCGAAACCTTGGGCAAGTTTCCTTACTCCACATGCCTGATAACAATCCCTCGCCCACAAAATGTACAGGCAGTTCATTTTACAGTATATTCTGTGAAGTGTTTTGAGACGTCTAGAACATGAAAAGCATTTATCAAATGCGGGGAAGGGTTATTGATTATATTATGTTATACACTGTAAAGCGTAGTGACTATTTTGTAGGCAAATTTATAGCTTACATTCCCTCCCTCATCAGCACAGTCAGGATACATGTGAAAAAACATATAGTACAGTTGGGACAGTTCCCATTCAATAAATAATAATTCTTATTGAGAGCCGACACCCCAATGCAACGCTGAGGGTGTGTTGCGTTGTCGGAGGTGCTGTCCCTCGGATGAGATGTTACACCGAGATCCCGTCTGCTTCTTCAGATGGATGTTAAAGATTCCATGGTGCTATTCAAAAAGAGAAGGGAGTTTCTCTCCCGGTGTCTTGGCCAACAATCCCCCAAGTAAAAATCGGTCGCTCACTTCAAGGCTGTTTGTGGGATATTGCTGTGCGCAAATGGCTGCTGCGTTTCACCCACAAAATGTACAGACAATTCACTTTGCAGTATATTCTGTGAAGCGCTTTGAGACGTCTCAACTACATGATGAAGAGCTATATCAAATGCAAGGATTATTATTCCTCCTTTCTGAAATTTAGAGACCAAGCAATAATTTATTGATTCAAACATCCATCAAGTTTATAAGGCTTATAGTTGTCATCAGTGGTAGTCAATCAAAGGTAAACTGCCAGACACAATAGGTATGTCAGGCATGATGAGGTCAGGAAGATGCTGCTTTGACTATTTTTTATTTTTTTCAACCAATCTTTGAAGGTTGATGTGCGCATGTACACTCCAGTCTTGAAAGGCAGCCCACAGCGGACCCCAAAACTGGCCACGCCCAGCAGGTAGAAACGTTCGTTCAGAGGACTGAAGCACTGCAGAGGACCGCCACTGTCTCCCTGAAAGGCACAAAATATCTTCCACATTTCAGGTTGAACATTGCGGTCACAAAGCAAAACGGGATTCAAAGAAGAATGGCAGACATGGGCTGGAGAGGGAGAAGACGAGGGCAGGAACAATAGATGAATTTACACGGCGCCTTTCGTTGGGAGGACATCCCAAGGGCAGGGTGGAGGGTGGGCGGGCGTTGGCGTGACTGAAGGTGTGGTCGAAGAGGAGGGGGGGTCTTGAGAAAGGCCTTGGAGGGGGCAAGGCGAAAGGACTGGGATGGAGTTCCAAAGGGTGATTTAATTGATTTGAAGTAGTGGACATGGAAGGGACCTGGCCATGAAACTCTCCTGTTACCTGACAGGTATCGACTCCACCTTCCTCATAACCAGCGCACTGCATGTTTGGCTTGATTAACCCGTTGTACCATTTCGCCTGGTTGCAGACCGAATTCGGAATCAACTTCACTACAGCTTCCTGCAAGATGTCTGTTTCTTTTCCTACGAAGGAGCAAAAGTGCAAATACTTACATTTGTTAATTTTCCACACACACACACACACACACACACACGCCACCTCATTCCTCAGCACATCTTCCCACTTTTTTTTAAAAAAAATCCCCCCCCACCCCCCAAATGTGTCTGCAAATGTGGGCTTCCACATTTGCGGACGCTGTCTGACCCAAAAAAAATATAGAGAATTGCAGCACGAAAATGAACCAACTTGCCATTCACATGAGCCCCTGGACCTACCTCATAACCCCCTCTCCGTTACCTAAGACAACTTTAAATTGACTGGAAATTGTCTGCCTCACTGGTACGTACTCAGTTGAGGGATCGAAAAAGAGATGGATCGTTTAATTTCGTTTGGGAAAATTTACCGATCCTAAATTCAAACTTTTCAAATCACAAAGAGCCTTTTATTGGTGGGACGTTGCCGGGAGCAACATTAGCTGCTCTGTAACAGCATTCATTTCACTTCTAGTTAAGTACATTCCGTCAAGTGCTTTAGGACGTTTCTCTCGGATTGAAAGTTGCTATATTGGTAATAACAATCGTTGCATTTTGACACTGCGTGGGGTCCCTGGAAACCTGCTGACCCGCCAGGCTCAGGAACCAGACTGCCGAGACTACCACTTAGGAGGTAAGTAGCCACTTTCCAAACAAGACTCAGCTTACCTCCCCGCTAAGGAGGACGTCCCAAAGTGTTTCATAAGATTTGTTGTAAAGTATAGTGATTTTTTTTTGTAGGCGAATGAATGCCTGTATCAATGACTAATGTAGAAGTGAAATGCTTACCATTTTCTTTAGTCACACCCCACCCAGTGATGTAACATAAATGCATGCTGTCTATTATGGTTTTATTAAATGGTAGGCACACTGGCTGTACATAGTCATTGTACTCAATTTTCTTTGACAGCTCTAGAAGGCTCATGTCATTTTGTAACGTGTTGTGGTCGAAATCGTAATGAAGAAAAATCCTCTTCAATTTCATAACTTTGGTCATGCCGTTTCGAATCGACCTCTGATGTAATCCGACCACCACTACCCAGTCCTTGGGACTCCTAGAGAAATGGACAATTGAGAATAATTGAATATTTACAAGACTGAAGAGGTGATTTTTCTTATTGTGTTGGTGCTTAGGCCTAGTTCCCCTAATGGAGCTATACCCTACATTGTCTTGTTGATGTTCTTATCACTTTCCCCACTGGGGCTATTATTTCTAACCTAATTCCCCTCCTTTTTCTTTCCCCACATTGTATATTTGCTACCCCACTAGAGTCATCTTAAATTCAGTCTTCAGAAAATGTGGGAAATGCAAATAGGATTAATCAATTGATCTAATCAATTGGTGGAACAGGCTTGATGGGCTGAATGGCTTCCTGTTCCTACTAAGACCCCCAAGTGTACACATATTCTACAACACTGTGTGATCTTAAATTTTACGGCAAAATATCTTGCAGCCCATAAGAATGGGTGAAATTCCGGGCCTCTGGAGCAGGGCAGATTAGGCTTTTGCCCTCTCTAATCCAACAACAACAAATTACATTTGTATAGCGCCTTTTATTGGCAGGAGATGTCCCAAGGCACTGAAGCAATCATAGCTCCCCCGCCACCCCGGTACTCACTAAAGGAGCTAATCCAAATAGTCAGCCAGTCACCTGCTTGCCTGAGAGACGCAGTGCGCAGCCGTCAGCACCCACCGCGTGTCGATTATTGACCCTCCACATATGTGCAGGTAGCTGGAATCGTGCCGCATTTGAACACTGACTTGCCAGGGCCAGTTGCCGGGGAGTGCTTCCTGACCACCGATGACACGCATCTCCACAGGAGGGTCCATCAATGGGCGCATTCCACACCCTGAAAAGGCACAAGATGAACAGCCTGAGAGCAGTACACTGTCCATAAGTGATAAGAACATCAACAAGACAATGTAGGGTATAGCTCCATTAGGGGAACTAGGCCTAACCTGCCTGGTCCCTCTGCTCAGAGGGCTCTATCCTGCTTCATGTTGAGTCTTGGCTGTTGGTGAGTGGGTCTTCTGCCACTCTACCCCCACCCTCTGGAACTCCATCCCGCCGTCCCTCCACCTTGCCCCCTCCCTTGCCTCCTTCAAGACCCGTCTCAAGATCCTCCTCTTTGACCGTGCCTTAAGTCACCCTCCTTACCCCCCCCGGCCCTCCACCCTTCCTGATCCCGACCCTCAGCTCGGGTCTGAAACACTGATTGTCCAGGGTCTTGGGAGCTCCTCGCAACGTGAAAGCCGCTATACGAATGTAATTTTGTTTTTGTTTTTGTTGCAATCAGTGCTCTGTGACGCTGCCCTGCGTGAAGGATGCTATATAAATGCAAGCTGTTGTTGTAATACACATGTGGAATAGCCAACTCTCCTTTGGAGGATTTTAGCCTTACATCACAGAACCATAGTAATTTACAGCATACAAGAAAGAAGGCCTTTCAGCCCATTGTGTCTGGACCAAGCAATTCTTTTTCGGCCTATTCACCTGTCCTTTATCCCATCCGTGGTTCACTCGTACTTTATGTGGAGCTAGCTAGTTCTCTTGTTCTAATTATCCAGAACTTGTAAGAAAGAGCAGTTCGTGCCTTTGGGCAGAAGGTTGTGGGTCTCATCCCCCTTTTTCATCTCCTCATGAAAACACGTTTCATGTTTACTTGGATGCATTTCTAAAGGCCTGTATGGTAGGTACCTCACCCTAGGGGCTATTGGTTCACGTTTCAACCGCCTGGGGGGGGGAGAGAAGCATCACAGGCAAACCTAATGTTGCCTTCACAAAATTCTTTACCTAAATCCTTGTTCACGGATATTGCTGTCCCCCCGAGACTCGCTAACAAGATCATTAACTTCTCTAGCTCCATCTTTCCGAACCTGAATCCCTGGAGCAACAGCCAGCTTTATAAAGTCAATTATTAAACAAGTCTTACTAAACATGTTTCCCTCGTCTCACAAACTATCTTTATTATGCACGTGAGCCCTCTGATGAGATCATCCTGCTCAATGCTGATCACCGACTATACCTGGTGAAGTGTGATCAGGTTGGGTTTACTTACGTGTTGGCCTGTTATTCAGAGGCCTGACATTTTAGAGTCTTACTTACCTTGCAGGACACTTTTGTCTAAGTTTAAGGTGCAGTTTAAGATAATAATTATAATAAATAATAATAATAATCCTTGCATTTGATATAGCTCTTTTCACATCTTCTAGATATCTCAAAATAAAAGGTACAGACTTGTGGAAAATTCATAGTCCTACAATGCAATTTATATTTATATAGTGCCTTTCACGTTGGGACGACGCCTCAAGGCGCTTAAATCACAGAAATTTAAAACGCAGGCCATTCAGACCATCGAGTTTGCACTGGCTCTCAGAGCAAAGTGTCAATCAATCCCAATGCCCTGCCTTAACTCCAATACCTCTTCAAGACTCAAATTAGTCTTAATTTGGAAGTGGCAAGTTCTTAAAAAGAAACGAGCTTCCAATTAAAGACTGAATCCTTCTTCAATTCTCCCAAGTTTCAGACAAAAGGGTGTTTACAGGCTAAGATAAGGTAGAATTTGGGGCTTCTGAAGTGCTCTGTTAGGATAATCAATGATCAACAGATGGCTGCGATTGGTCTGCAGTTGGATGACTGCTACTTGGCTGTGTGACATCATTAGCTCCTGTGTTAGGTGCTGATGATCATGGCGCAGGATCTTTAATGTCCTTAAACTTGAGCAAAAGCCACGTATGGCTCGGCCCCGGGATCCGTCATTGCGAAGCGCTCTGAGACGCCGTCCGGCTTGGAGGGTGCTATATAAATCCAAGGTGGTGTTGATTGAGCAAGCAGACAGGAACCTCCCAGCACTGGATTGGAGAGACAGCCAAGGCGGTGCGAATTCAGGGACCCACTATTGGGGCTTAGACCCACCGTTGAGGCTTGAACCCGCAGCTTTCTCACCCACGCGGGAGTGCGACCATCTGAGCTTGGATGATGCCCGATTGCCCGTTTCTCTTTGACCGAGCCTTCAGCTCCCCTCTCGACTCTCTTCCCCCTCCTCGCTCCCTCCCCCTGACCATTTCCCCCCAATGCTCGGGTCATGACCCCACTGTGCAGCGCCTCGGGACGTCCTCCCGACGTGAAAGGCGCTTTATAAATGGAATCTTCTTGTTGTTGTTGTTGTTGTTGCTCGGCCCCCAAACCCACCAATCGGCTGCCCCGTTTAGCCCATAACCTATTACAGTCGCTACACCTTACGGCGCGACCCGCGAAGCGCTTTGAGACGTCTCGAAGACGTGATGAGGCGCCGTGTCCAATGCCAGGATTATTATTATTATTATTATTATTATTGGTGAGAAAAGAGCCTCAGGACCATCTGGTGCCCCACCTGTTGCTCACCAGAGCTCCGCGCATGCTCACTGTTGGCCCCGCAGGCAGGGAGGGGGACGAACCAATCAGAGAGCGGCAAGAGGCTGGATTGACCAATCGGCGAGCGGGAGCCGCCGCGAGCGAACCGGCCAATCGGAGCGCCGGAAACAGCGGGCCGCGAGCAGGGACTGACCAATCAGCGAGCGGGAGACGGCGGGGGTCGCGACCGGGCCGACCAATCCGCGAGCGGGCCGCGAGCCAGCCGGCCAATCGGAGGGCCGGAAACGGCGGGCGGCGAGCGCCGTCGACCAATCGGCGAGCGGGAGACGACGGGGGTTTGAATGGCGAGAAGCGGGAGAGCGAGCGGCCGCCGTGAGGCCTAGTGACGGCGGAGGAGCCGCGGACGCTACAGCCGAGCGGGAGCGGGAAGTGGTGGTGGTGGTGGGGGGGAGGAGGAGGGAGAGAGCCGCCGCCGCGCGCCCCTCGGGGGGCGGGAGGCCATGTGGGGCCGCGTCTACGCCGCCGTCAACTGGCTGCTCAGCTCGAAGCCGAGGCCCGAAGCCGCCGAGGCCCAGTCGGCGGGGAGCGGGGATGTCCCTGCGGGAGGCAGGAAGAGGCCGCGCTTCAGGTAAGGTGTTGCCTCCCCCTCCCTCCCTCCCTCCCTCCCCCCGGGGGTGGGGTGTGTGTGTGTGTGTGTGGGGGGAGAGAGAGAGAGAGAGTCCCGGCACCGAACCAACGGCCACCAGACGGCGGTAAACGGCGTCTCTCTCTCTCTCTCTCTCTCTCTGGGCCTCGGAGAGAGATCCTGATCCCGGCCGTCACCCCAACAACAACAACAACAACAACTTGCATTTATATGGCGCCTTTTCACCTCCCAATGGTCCACCCGGTAAGAAGGGGCTCCAACTCCCTCCCCTCTCCCACTCCCCCCCCCCCCACCCACCCCTTTCCTCCTCCTTCCTTCCTTCTCCTCGTCAAATGACCCAACTAGTCCTGCGGGGTGGGAGGCGGGGGGGGGAATGGGGGTTTAATGCCAGCGCAGGGAGGTCCCGGGTTTGATTCCCGGCCGGGATGAAACCTTAGGCGGCTTTCCTCGCTCCGCGCGCACTCCGCACACTCGAGCGTACGCCTCCGTGAGCAGGAACCTGGTTGTCAGTTCGATTGGCGTTTGGCTTTCCTTCCGAGGGGGGGGCCGGGGGGAGAGGCGGGTAGTAATGCCCTCGAGCGGTCACTCGGTCCACGGCTGTTTGTGGGACGCTGCTGTGGGCCGTTGGCTGCTGCGTTGCGCCCGCAATATACCCGGCGGGTGGGGTGGGGCGGTGTCTCCTCGGAGTTTGAACTGGCTCCAACGTGACATGTCTGGCGACTGAATACCAGGATCCGATACAGCCCCTGTGACGATCTCTAGTCCGGTTCCTGAGCCAGGAGGGTCCGCAGTGTCCCACTGCTGATAACAGCCCAGCCCACAGCCCGGCTCATCGGCAGGACCTGGAAGGACCGACCAGTCACTTGAGGGCAGTGATAATTCCCACTCAGCTCCTGTTAACCCCGCAAGCCAAAGCCCGAACGGGTACGTGGTGCAAGCAGCGGGAACGCTTGCCAGGCCAGCGCTCGCAATCGCAAGTTGCCGTTATAAAACCGGCGCTTTGCTTCATGCCTGCGTCTCAGGCGTTACTCTGCGTTTGCCTGCACGGCGCACTGTCTCAGCAGGGAAATTCACACTTCAAGCTGTGAAGCGCTCCAGGATGTTTTTGATGCGATCTGGCTCTGCGGCAGGTTATTGCATTACTCACTTACTTTCTTGCATTGGTTGTGTGCGAGTTTGCCTGCAAAGTACACACTCGCTCCACTTAACAGTGTATGCTGTGATTTGGTGTGAGATGTCCTCCTGAAATGGAAGGTGCTGTATCAAATACACTGATTGATTTCTAAACCCCCAGCCTACTTGAAACATCTTTGAAAAGATGTTTTTTGGGGAATAGGCACTGTATATCAAGTATAAGAATTTTTTTTATAAATTCAGTTTTATCTGTATACGTAAACGTAAAGCATTTTGGGCTGTCTGACCAGAAAGCCTTTTTGGTTTTCTTTGGAGATTACTGAGTTAAATGCTCTCAGCTGGAGTAGGGTGAGGGCATTACAATTAATGACTGACAAGTGTTTTTTTTGTGGGGAAAAGTTGCATCCTGGTTTGCACATAGCAAACTGAAGTTTGATCTGGAGGATTGTTGGCCGGGAGAAACTCTCCTCTCTTTTTCCAGTAGAATTGCGGAATCTTTCCAATGCACCTTTTCTGCCTATTGTGGTGATAAGCGCTCCAGGATACTGCCCCGGGTGAAGGGAGCGATACAAATGCAATTTGTTGTGGTTGTGGTAAAATATTGTACACTCTCACCATCTCATGATCAGCCTCTAATAGAATGGCGGAACAGGCTCGAGGGAGCGAATGGCTTACTCCTGTTTCTATGTTCCTTCTTTTCTAACCACCAAATACAGCAGTAAAATAATATTCCCCGCGTTTGATACATCTTTCATGCCGGGTGGCGTCTCAAGCGCTTCACAGGGTGTACTGAAAAGTGTAGTGACCGTGTGTCTTGCAAGTGAAATCCGCGTGCCAGTGTTTACTGTCCTTGTGGTTTGTTTCGGGACCGATCGCTGATGAGAATGTGCGAGCTGTGAGAACATGCTGTGCTGCTGGACAGCTTGTACTGGGAACAGTGTTTGACCATGTGCCTTTTTCTCTGAAATGTTTGCTTGCAGCATCCAGGAGACGGGGGAGCAGGGTGACGGAAGCGTGAAGAGATTCAAAATGGGTACGCCGCTCGAGTAATAATAATAATAATCCTTGCATTATTATCCTGGGATGTCTCAAAGCGCTTCACAGAATATATGATAAAGTGGACTAATTGTGAATTTTGTGGGCAAAATGGGACAGCCAATTATGCACAATAGTGTCTCACAAACATAGTGGATTGAATTTTTTTTGAGGGGATTATTACCCCGGAAAGTGATCCGCCAATCGACTAACAACTGAGTTCCTACTTACTGCTAGATAAACAAATACATGTGGAGTTAGGAAACTTGCCTAAGGTTTCGCTCCGTCCGGGAAATGAACCCGGGTCTTCTCACTTGTGAAGCGAGCGCGCTAACCACTACGCTGCGGGTCTCCACAAATGTAGATTTTGAATTGAAAGTTGATTGTGGGGGTTTAATCCTTGTCTGTGTTTTAAGGCGATCTTGTGGACTCCGTGAAAAATACAGCAGAGGGTGTGAAGCAGACCACTAGCATGATGTTCAGCTGGGTGAAGAGCAGGACCCCTTCCTTCAGCTCTGGGCTTCCAGCGTTACCTGCTCAGCAGAGATTACCGATCAGAAGGAGGAGGCCTCCTCAGTCTTGCGTTCCTCTTCCTGACAGCGAGGTGAGTCTTAATAATAAACCTTTCATTTGATCTCGCGCCTTACGTCTCAAAGCGCTTCACAGAATATACTGTTGAGTGAATTGACTGTGTATGTTTTGTGGGTGAGACATGGCGTCCCACAAACAGTCGTGGATTGAGCGACCAAATTACTATTTTTAATTTAAATTTTAAGGTAGACAGACGTGTAACAGGCGTGTGGAGTAAGGAAATTTGCCTAAGGTTTTGAACCCAGGTCCTATCACTAATCAATACGCTACAGGATTCTGCAGTGATTAGTGAGAGTTTAAAGCTCTTTGGAATTTAGTGGAGAATAGCAGCTGCTGAAAAAACTGAAGGAGATCCAAAGCCAGTAAATGAGCTACTAGAGACAGTGTATTGGCATTTAATGACTTGGGTGAAAAGCAGTATATGGATATGTCATTAATCACATTGGCTCTATTCCTGACTAACTCGATTTTCTTGTGTTTGGTTTTTAGAGTTCTTTGGGAGAATCGTTCGTATGTCCGTCGAGAGAACCACTGTGGAGATCACAGCCCAAACCAGGTAAGGACCGTTCTCCCCCTTTCCCCTTGCACACTCTCGCTCTGTGTTTCTATCTTTAGTCAACAATCCCAACAAAATGACATTTACATAGAGTCTTTCATGTCGGGAGGATGTCTTAAGGCACTGGACAGTCGGGGATTGGCACCCGGCTGGGGGTTGGGATCAAGAGGGGAGGAGGATGGGGAAGCTGGAGGTGGGAGCGTGCTCGAAGGCTGGGTCGAAGCGGGGGGGGGGTTCTTGAGAAAGGAGTTGAGGGCGGCAAGGGAGGGAGCGAGATGAAGGGAGTGTGGGATGGAGGTTCAAAGGGTGGGAGCAGAGAGGCTGAAGGCCTGACTGCCAATGGTGGGGCGGGCAGTCAGTACAGAAGAGGATACAAAATCCATTGAGTTTTTTTTTTACACGTGCGTTTCCAGCTCACGTAGACCTGCCGACGGTGGAGAGTTTCATGGCGACTGTTGATCAGAGTGTACTGGTCAAGCGTCCCCTACACAGCCCGCGAACGTTAAACCGAGCCAACGGGCACTCGAGGAATGGGGCGGCCATGCCCAGGAGCCGGACACAGAAACTGAGGCTCGGGAACAGCCTGCATCTTCCAGTGCGGAAAACACCCAGGTTAGAAGTTCTCAACTGCACTGACATAATTCCCTTTATATAGCGCCTTTCACATCAGGAGGTTGTCCCGTTAAGGTTCGTCAGGGAAGAGCGGGCTGGGCGGAGGGGGGAATAAAGGTCTGCTGTATTACACAGACTAATAGAACAGACCACTTACCTGTCGCTCAGTGGTTAGAGCATTCGCCCCGCAAGCTAGAGGACCCAGGTTCAATTCCCGGGCAGGGAGAAACCTTAGGCAAGTTTCCTTACTCCATACACACACACACGTGTCTTTTTTTACCCAGCAGTAAGTAAGGAACCTGGTTGTTAGTCGATTGTCGGATCTCTTTTCCAGGGGTAATAATCCATTCAGCTTACCAAACAGATCACAGCAGTGGACTCGAAACCGCATGAGTCACTTTGCTGGGGCAAGGCCTGAAATTCCGCCTAGCCTTAGCCTTTAAAACCATTTACAATGGCGACAAGTTAAACTTACACAGTGCCTTGGGAGGTGGTGGGGGGCAGGAGGCGAAGGGACGTTGGGATGGAGTGTCAATGGGTGTGGGCAGAGTGTTTTTAAACCCTGTGTTGCAGAGTGTTTTTAAACCCTGTGTTGCAGTCGGACGGTCTCCATGTACACCCCAGTTTACGACAAGACCTTCTCTGGGAGACGGGCAGACAGCCCCCACCGCAGCAGCTCCACCCAAACCAGCCCTCTGACGCAGAGGAGATCAACCGGCAAATACCTCAGCACTGTGGAGGAGGTGAGTCCTTGCACCACTTTCAGTTACTACTCCCCGAAACTCTGGAACTCTCTCCCTCCATCCGCCTTGCCCCTTGCTTCCTCATCAGGTCGCGCCTGAAGACCTTCCTATTCGACCGTGCCTACGGTCAGCTTCCACCCCACCAACCGGCTCGGCTTCTCCGCCACTGTTAAGCGCTCTGGGGCACTACCCTGCCTGAGGGGGTGCTGTGTAAATGCAAGTAGTTGTTGTTGTTGTAACCACAATCCCAGATCTCTATGCTCCTCGGAAGCAGACATGATAATAATAATCCTTGCATTTACACAGGGTTTACCCACTTAGGGCCTAAAACCACAACATTCTAAACCAGAGGTGAGAGCGTCACTGACTGAGCCAGACTGACTGGCTTCAAAGTGAGCTGTGCAGGCTCGGAGGGTGGGGCGAGGTGGGGGGTGAAAAGGTATCTGAATCGCTCAACATTGTTTCCTCTGCATTTATTTTCTTTCAGACCATTCGCAAAGAGGAGAAGGAGATCTACCGGCAGCTTCTGGAGGTGGTGTCCTCAAACCACAGTAACAAGCTCACCCTCTCCAGAGTGTCTTCACCCCTCTCACACCGAGAACTGTGAGTAAACTCCCAAGCGTTAACCTCCAGCCAAGAGAAATGTCTCCAATGGGATTGTTCTCCTTAGAGCAGAGAAGGTCAAGGGGAGATTTAACAGAGGTGTTGAAAATTATGAGGGGGTTTTGATAGAGTAGATGGGGAGAAACTGTTTCCTCTATCGGGTGTGTTGGTAACCAGAGGACACAGATTTAAGATAATCGGCAGAAGATTAGACAGGAATTTTTTTTTATGCAGAGAATTATTGCGATCTGGAGCGCACTGCCTGAAAGGGTGGTGGAAGCAGATTCAATAATAATTTTCAAAAGGAAATTGGATGGCTAGTTGAAAAGAAAACGGCTGCGGGAAAAGAGCGGGGAAGTGAGACTAGTCGGTAGCTCTTTCAAAGAGGCATAGGCACGTTGGGGGTCGAATGGCCTCCCGTGCTTTGCTTCTACGGTTCTATAACAATATCATTCTCTTGGCCCGTAAAGTAGTCCTGGTATTCCATTGGCAGTTTAGAGTTGTAGAGAGAGAGAGAGAGAGGTTAGAGTAATGTTTCGGGCTTGACAACAGGCCCTTTTTGGGGACAAAACCTTAGTTTGTTAGATTCAGAGTAAGTAAACTTACAGGCGAGACTGAAATCGTATTCCGAAGACTTCAAGCTATAACGTGCGAATTTGGTACAGCGCCTTAAATAATAACATTTGACACGATGCCTTTCACATCGGGGAAGACGTCTCAAAGCGCGTCACAGGATTTATCGTCGAGTTCGATGGTGTTTTAACCTCGCTGTCTTATTTTCTTGTAGGTCCAGTTTCTTCAGCTCCAATCAGCACTTCTTCCAGAAGATGGTGTCGGACAGCGACCAGCACACGGTGGAGAGCAGCTTGGTCAGCTCCGACCCGGGGTCTCAGCCCCTGTCATGGGCGGACCCCTCGTGCAGCCCCCTCGCCAGCTCCGAGGCAGCCTGCAGCCCACCTCACGCTGGCAACCACATCTCCAGCTCCAGCTCGCCTCGAAGCCTCACCCCCAGCCTACAGGACTCTCTGCCTCTCGCTGACACCACATCCACAGGTACGCGAATGGGCGGCACCTCGTAACACACCTCAGTTTTCTCTCAAAGCTCTCCACGGCCTTGACTGCATGATTTGTGGGAGAACCCGGCAGCAACGTTCTGTAACTCGTGCTGAACTCTTTCTGACTTGCTCCGCTCCGTTTGTAGGGTCGGATTCCGAATCGGTGATTGTTGTGAAGGTGAAAGAGGCGCCAAAACGTGATCGTGCCAGGTAGGGAACACTGCCTTACAGTTGCGTCTCCCTGGGCAGTGTGCTTGTGTGTGTGTGTGTGTGCGCGCGCGTCTGTGTGTGTGCGCGCGCGTCTGTTTCTGTGTGTGCATGTCTATGTATGGGTACATGTGTCTTATGTGTTCCCGTGTGTGTAAGCGCCGTGTTTGTGTGTGTGTTTCTGTATGTCTATGTGTGTAATGTTGCAGCATCTCATCTGTTGACTTCTCACTGTGCCAGCCGGTACAGAGCATTAACAAGCTTGTGTGTTGTGTTTTTACAGTGTCCCTAGGTTTGATGCCGTGCATTGGATTAAAGAGCTGTAAGTGTGATTCCCGCCTACTAATATGCAGAACCCAAATGTTGCTCATTTCTGCTATGCTGTTGTGAACCTCGCGAACCGTGTTGAGCCAAAAAGAATAGGAGGTTTGGGATGCAGGTGGAGAGAATTTAACTCTATGGAATGCTCTTTCTGTGTTGTGCATGTGCTCCATATTGTGTTGTAACCAATGTGTGACTATTCTGTGATACGATGTGGGTTTGAACTTACTCTCTGTGATGCACTCTGTGATTCACGAGTTAGTCAGGTTTGCTGTATTGCAACCTGGCTCATCACTGGCATTTTACAGCCTCAATACTCACTAGGGGGGACATCAGCCCATTTGATCTGTATGGGTGGGGCGGTGTATGTGGTGTGTGTGTGTGTATATGGGCTGTGTGTGTATGGGGTGTGGTGTGTGAGGTGGAGGTGTGTGTGGGTGGGGGAGGTGGGGGGGGTGTGTGGTCCCGACACTTGCACAGTGGACGTCTGGCTTTAGAGGTTGAAGCTGTGCTATACGATCGAGTTCTATGAGGGTCAGACATCATGTGAACTGACCTGAATGAACATGTCCATGTTATAGTATATTCTTGATAACTCGTGACTCCCAGGGAGAAAGGAGTCAAGTTATCAGGAGCGGTGAGTTAGGCATATGGATAAATAGATAAATAAATGCGGCCGGGACATTGATGGTGATGGTGACGGGTTCAGCCATGGTGGAGTTATCAGGGGATTTACTATATTCTCTCTCTCTCTCCTCCCTGGGCCTCAGCACCAGCATGTATGACTCCCGGGCACGTGACAGGCGACACCTCATCGATGAGCAGGAGGCTTTGGCAAACCGTCTGAGACAGCAGGTACGGGCAGGGCCGAGGGCTTGGTGGGTGATGTGTAGCCACGGTATTATGAAGTTCTGTGTGTGTGTGTGTGTGTAGTGCTCAGTGAACACCCCATCCAGCCCCATCCTCAATAGGAGACCTTTCACCCATTCTGCCTCCCCCCACCCTTTCCTCGTTCCTCCCACTCGTCCCATCCCTCCCTCTTTCAGACCCCAAGTCTTGCCTCAAGGAGCTTGCTTTTGATCATCACCCCCGCCCCCACCCCCTCATCTGTATGTATGAGTGTTCACGTGGATGCCAGGAGTCCGGAATGTGGTCAGGCCTCTGTTGTCTTGTATATCTCGGTCAGAGATCAGAGAGGAGCACAGAAAGACTCCCCACTTGGATGTGATGCCAGGAGTGGGTGGGGCTAGAGGCTGGCCTCGTATTTTGGGTCGCCGCTGGGTTATAGCTCTGAGGCGCTGCCCTGCACGAGGGGCATGATATAAACGCAAGTTGTTGTTGTTGCTGACATGTGTCTGTGGGGCGGCAGAGGCTGGAGGACAAGGACTTGTTGCCTCGGCGGGTCATGACTCCGTTGCAGGTCATTGTGCCTCTGGTTGAAGAGATTCCAATCGAAGAAATCCTCAACCACGAAGAAGAGAAGGCGGAGGCGAAACCAACGGATCGGGGCACAGGTGGAGACGACTCCTTATTTGTCCAGCTCACTGAGGTACTGTCTGTCGTGTGCAACGGATTCCTGACTTCATCCTGAGTTACCTGGGAATCTGGTTTGAGGGGAGCTTGGTTGTATGGTGGAGTTTCGTAGAGTGCTAGTTAGAGCACTCGCCTCGGAAGCGAGAGGACCTGGGTTCGATTCCCAGGCAGGCGGGAACGTTAGGCAAGTTTCCTTACACCACACGTGTGCCTCTGTTTACCTAGCCGAAAGTAGGAAGCCAGTTGTTAGTCGATTGGCGGATCGTTTTTCCGGGGGTAATAATCCCTCCAAAGAAAAAAAATGTAGCTAATATTAAAAAATAAATTGGTCATTCAATCCACGACTGTTTGTGGGACACTGTTGTGCGCAATTGGCTGCTGCTTTTCGTCCACAAAATATACAGTCAATTCACTTTACAGTATATTCTGTGAAGTGCTTTGAGACGTCTCAAAGAGGTGATAAGGCACTGTATCAGGTGCAAAGATTATTATTATTATGTCTTGAGCCATGATGATTCAACTCGCAGCCATTCTGACCCAGAGGCTAGTGTGCTCCTAACTGAGCCTGGCTAACTTTATTAGTTAAGAAAAAACAGTCCAGGGTATCGTTTGTATAGGGTGTTCACAAAGTCCTGTTACCCCCATGTTTTTTTTCCTACAGTGCACTGACCAACAACTGAGATGTTGTTGAATGATGATGATTGTAAATAGAAGTGCAATACAAAATTACATTTACACAGAGCCTTTCACATCGGGAGGACGTCCCAAAGTGTTGGACAGTCAGGGATTTGGACCTGAGCTGAGGTGGTGGGGGTGGGCTGGGATCTGGAAGGGTGGAGGGCAGGGAGGGTAGGTTGGTTGCCGAAGCCTCAGTCGAAGGGGAGGGTCTTGAGACGTACTTCATTGTATTCGGTACAAGTATTTAACTGTATTTAGACATAGGATCGGTGTGTGTGTGTGAATGTTAGCGACGTAATTTTCATGGCAGATAATGATCCGTAGCCATATTTTGTGCCACATCTTCCGTAACGTGGACAGAGTGAGTGAGGAGGAAGTGACTGGTGTCAGACATTGTTACACTCACAAGCTCGGGTTTTCAACTGTTGCAGGAAATGGAGGAGCAGGTGAGTCGGGCTTTCCGCCCCGGCCACCCTGACGAGATCCTGAGTGAAGCGTTCAGGTTAACTATCACCCGCAAAGACATTCAAACCCTCAACCACCTCAACTGGCTGAACGACGAGGTAAAGCATTCACCGCTCTTCCTACTGGGACGCAGAAAATAATATCTCGGGATACAGTATATAGTTTGGGACAACAACTTTGCATTTGACACGGGGTAGCGTCCTGGAGTCTGACCCCAAACCTGGGAGTAGGGGGAAGGTGACCGTAAGCACGATCAAATAGGAAGATCTTCGGGCGTGACCTGAAGATAATAATGGTCCTTGCATTTGATACAGTGCCATAATCACGTCTTCGAGACGACTCAAAGGGCTTCACAGGATACACTGTAAAGTGAATCGACTTGAGTATTTTGCGGGGGAAGGAAGGGGTAAGGCGGAGGGATTGAGAGCCAGCGTGTTGCAGAGATTCGGGGCGTAGGGGCTGAAAGCACGGGAGAGTTTAAGAGCTGCTGACCCGTTGAGACTTTTTTTTCCCCACAAACCCACAACTTCTTAAACGAAAGAAAAGGTGGAACGTGAGAATTGAACGCGTCCAGTTTTTTTTTTGTTTATTTGGTTATTTATTATGTATGGGTGTGTTTTTGTCCTCGCAGGTGATTAATTTTTACATGAATCTCCTGGTGGTGAGGAGTAAAACCAAAGGGCTCCCCTCGGTTCACACCTTCAACACCTTTTTCTTCCCGAAAGTGAAGAGCGACGGATATCAGGCGGTGAAACGCTGGACTAAGAAGGTGGACGTGTTTGCCACCAACATCGTTCTGGTGCCTGTCCACCTGGGAGTGCATTGGTGCCTGGCAGTGAGTGTTTTTTCCCTCCATTGGCCGTGTCGTTGAGAGTTGGCTTTCAGATCACTTCAGGCCCTGCCTCTCTGCCCCCCCCCCACCACCCATCCCATGGGAACTCCATCCCACAGTCCCTTCCTCCCTTGTCTCTCGGGTCCTGACCCAACTGTACAGCGCCTTGGGACGTGAAAGGCGCTCTATAAATGGAATCTTGTTGTTGTTGTTGTCAGCCTGGCTTACCCGCAATACCAGACTACGGCCACCAGGGGGGAGTCCGACCCTGCAATATTAGTCAGTCCCCTGGAATTGTTGCATGTGCCTCTTATCGGTGCTTGTCCCCCACCACCGGTGGGGTGTGGGCTCTTTAAGGAACCTCACAAACTCATTGTAGTTATGAGTAACAACCAGTACGTTAGACACATCAGCAGCCTGCATTATACAGACCCTCTGGAACTCCATCACACATTGCCTTTGCCCCGCTCCCTCCCTCGCCTTCTTCAAGGCACGTCTCGAGACCCTCCTCTTCGACCACGCCATCGGTCACCCCTCCCTTCCCTCCACCCTCCCTTATTCAACCCCTCCCGCCCCACCATTCATTGCAGAGTGAAATGACAAGAGCTGCTTTCTTACTCCAGGTCATCGATTTCAGAAAGAAGACCATCACCTATTATGATTCAATGGGCGGCTGCAATGATGAAGCCTGCAGGATATTACTGTGAGTACAGTAGCCAAGGCACTACAGTGTCCTGTAGCTCAGTGGTTAGAGCATTTGCCTCAAGCGACAGGACCTGTGTTTGATTCCTGGGCGGGCAGGGCAAAACCTTAGGCAAGTTTCCTTACTGTACACATACGCCTCTGTTTACCTAGGAGTAAGTAGGAATCCAGTTGTTAGTCAATTGGCAGATCGCTTTCTAGGGGTNAAAAAATCCCTTAAAAAGTATAAATAAATACACAAATAAAATAATAATTTAGTCACTTCATCCACGACTGTTTATGGGACACTGCTGTGCGTAATTGGCTGCCGCGTTTCGTCCACAAAGTATAGTCAATTCACTCTGTGATGCCCTTTGAATCGTCTTGAGGATGTGATAAGCCTCTACATCAAATGCAAGGATTATTATTATTACAGTTCAAAATGGAGTCCAGGTTTTATCCCATGTTCCCCAAATCCCCCTAAAATGACCTCTTTAACCATATCTTTGGTCGCCTTCCTCTCCCCCTACCTTCCCACTTTGCTCTGCGATCCATGCCGTTTATTGAGATGTCTTCCTTGTGAAAGGCCGTGCTTTCAGCGACAATCAGCCAAATCTCTAGAGCTCCCTGCCTCGATCCCTCTGTCTTGCCTCCCACTTTTTGCCCATCTTCAGATCACACCTGAAGACTTTCCTCTTCGACCGTGCCTTCGGTCATCTCCCCTCTCTTTCCAGCTTAGGTCAAACCATTGTTAAGGGCTGTTAAACGCCAAGACGCAACTTGTGAGAAGAGCGCTGTATAAATGCAAGCTATTTGTTGTTGTATGTAATAAACTTGTTGTTATTCCTATTTACAATAAGTCCACGAGGCTTCTTAAAGAGCCCACATTCCCAATTACTGAGACAACAATAACATCATTTATACAGCACGTCACACCCAGGGTAGCGTCTCGGAGCGCTTAGGAGATGCAAATAAGAGGAACCATTCAATAGCCCTGTCTGTCTGTATGTCTGTCTGTCTGTATGTCAGACTGAGGACTGTTTGTTCTCCAAAACTAAGTGTGTCTTTCATGTTACTGCAGACGATACCTGAAGCAAGAAAGCATCGACAAGAAGGGGAAAGAGTTTGATACGAATGGCTGGACACTGTGCAGCAAGCGGAGTCAGGTGAGTTGATCCATGTCTGTGCTGGTCCTCGCTCCCCACACTGGAGCTCCCCACTCTTAACCTTGTAACCCCATTCCCTTGTGCTCGTTCCTTACCACGTGTGTAATGCTGCTCCCTCCATCGCTGCAGATCTCGTAATTCAAACACTACTTTAAAGTTTTGGAAGGTTGAGTGTAAGAGAAATCTTGATGAGCACGAGAGGGGAGGGGAATGAAAATGTCTCTGATCCCGACTGGAGGACAGGAGAGATGGGGGCTGAGGTGCTTCTAAGCAGGTTCTGTGCCTGCCTCGTTGTGCATAACGATGGGGGTGGGGGGGGAGATTGTGATGTAAATTAACCCTCAACTGCACAGTTACCCAGCTGATTCCTCATCCCTTTGTAACAGGAGATCCCTCAACAAATGAACGGAAGTGACTGCGGAATGTTTACTTGCAAATATGCCGACTACATCACCAAAGACAGACCAATCAAGTTTACTCAGGTAGTGCTTACGCTGCGTACCACTCTTTGACTGCGCTTTCGGTCATCGTTCAGGCACAACCTGAAAAGAGGTAAGGAGGGGTCAAAGCGGAGGGATCGAAGAAGAGTGTTCCAGAGTTTCAAAACTAATTTGAGGTGAAGGGTTGTGCCCAAGTGTAGCAGAACAAAGCTATCTATTTGTGTTTCCCTGTTTGCCATTATCTCTGAATCAAAGGAACAGGTAATTTTTTTTGTAATTTAGGCAAGTTTTCTTATCCACACGGCTCTGTTTACCTTGCAGTAAGTAGGAACCCGATTGTTAGTGGATTGGCGGATCGCTTTCCGGGGGTAATAATCCCTTTCCCCCAAAAAAAGGTTTTTAAAAATAATAATAATAATTTGGTCACTAAACTGTTCGTGGGACGTCGCAGTGCGCAATCGGCTGCCGCGTTTCGCCCACAAAATGATACAGTCAATTCACTTTACAGTATATTCTGCAAAGCGCTTTGCGACGTCTCAATGTGATAAGCAGCTGTGTCAAATGCAAGGACTGAACTCTTACCTCTCTTTGCAGAAGCACATGCCCTACTTCAGGAGGCGAATGGCGTGGGAGATTCTGCATCAAAAGCTCCTTTGATTGTTTTCCTGGCCAGTCCACAGCCTACCCTTCGATGGGAGACATTCCATCAGTCTGGAGGTGTGTGTGGGGGGAGGAGCCGGGACAGGTGGGACATTGAGGGGAAAAGGCCCCCCCGCCACCACCCCTCCATCCCTCCTTCTGCCTGTACATCATAGCAATGAACCCAGGACTCTACTTTCGGAAAGGATGGAGAGAAAGACTCGCCTCCATCCCAAATTCTCAGGCAGTCTTCCTACAGGTGCTGGTTTCACGGCAAGCCATTCGCAGTTTGACGTGGACTTTTCCCGGCGTTGATGGGTCCTCGCTCCCGTGTTTGTGCCACGTTTATCTGCGTGTGCGTGCGCGGGTAAGGCGGCCGGCTGGCGGAGAATGATGGTCCAAATCGCCAGCACTGGGATGATCCAAATCCAACGGCTTTGACGTCCTTCCAATTCACTAACTATCCGGAGTGCCGCCACCCTGCCAACAGGTGGCACTAGCGTGATCAGTAAGTAGAGTCGATGACAGTACAGTAAATGGGTCTGATTCTGTTGCGGAGGGAATGACTGGGGTCCCATGAAACAGCCCCGAGGGTCAGTTAATTCATGCAAAGGGTACCCTTACCACCTACCAATGGTTTCGACTCTACTGTATTGTCGCGCCCCAATTTCCTCTTTACGGTCCGTCTCCCTGCCCCCATCCCCCACCCATCTTGCCTCTTGGAACAATATGGACGCGACACACGCCGTCAGGGCTGACCGCTGGATTTTTCAAGTCCGAGGTCCTAACTGACGCCATGGTAGCCGGGTGGGATCATCAGGCCGCCGGGTGTGGGGAAACCATAATGACCGGGTAACCAACCGTTTGTGCCTTGTGATCAGCACCGGTGTGAGAGGGGGAAACCCCGACACACACACACACGCAGCTGTTTTCTGACCTGTTGCAGTCTCTGGTGCATCGTGGTTGCTTTGTGACAGGGAGCTCTTCAGCTGTTATCAATTCCAAAAGCCATCCGTCCGTCTCTCTCTCTCTCTATATGTCTCTCTGACCGCCTGACTGACATCAATGAATACATTTGCTTCCTGATGCCCCCCCCATCCCCACCTCCAGCCCCTCACCCCTTCCCTTCCTGCTGGTAGCAGTATGTTCTGGGCTAAGTTTGACGGACGCTTGTAATCCGTTACCTCCTCTTCTTTCTCTCTCTCCCCACGAATCCTGGCCATGACTGGAGAACACGCTCCCCCAAAGCCACAGGCCCTGACGTCCTAAGGTTAATCCAGTCGTTGTGCTCGTGCGGAGGGTGTGCGCGCGTGTGTGTGTGTTCTGGTCGCTCAATGTCGTGTGTTCCTGAAGCTTGCGGTTTGCAGGCAAAACCTCATCCGCCACCCAGCCTCCCACACCGTAGGGACTTGGTTCTCTGTCGCCTGTGTGGAGCTGAGTGGGTTCCCCCAAGAACGGGTGGGTGGGTGGCTGGGGGGGGGGGGGGGGGTGGTGGTGGGGTGGTAGGGGGCAGCTCCTGGCTTGTGTGTGTGAGCGACTGGGAGGATAGAAAGCGCCTGGGTTTGAGTTTACGGAGGAGGTAGAGAGAGAGAGAGTGTGTGTGTGTGTGCCTGAGTCACAGCCCACCGTGTCACTTTGCTGCTGGCTCTGTTGACGGGGTTCAAGGCCTCCACCCAACACTAAACTGTAGCCTCTCACATGAAATCCCACCCCACTGACTGACTTAATTGCACTCTTTCTTACTGTTTATACCTATTTAATAGAACTGCTTTCAGAACAGTCATGGGACGCAAAGGGACATAAAACGTGTGACTCGCTCTCATCTACAGACTCCGCCACACCCCAAGGGTGCCCAAATTCCTCCTCGTCTTAGCCTGTGAGACCACTTTAAGATTTAAGGTGCTGCAGAAAATTTTAATAATTAATCATCATCATAATACTCCTTGCATTTCCCCAGTTTTTTTTAATAGCACCCACTTGTACAGTGTATCCTGCGAAGCCCTTTGAGACGTCTCAGCAATGCGATAAGGCGATATATCAAACACAAGGATTTTTATTGTTATCATCAGAAAAGCTTTAGCGTTGCAGCTGAATCCTAAAATTTTGAGATGATTTTTTTTTTCTCTTAATCTCTGCTCCATTCTTATATTTTTGCAAACGGTGGCACAGGCTCAGGCCGGGTGGAATTTCGGTCTCAAGGCGGGACGAAAGGTTTCGCCAAGAGGGTGGGTGGAAGTGGGTGAGTAGGGGGAGATGTGCAAGTGAATCGGTTGAGGGTGTGGGGGGGTGGGAGAGCGAGAGAGAGAGAGAGAGACGCCTCAGTTCAGCCCATTTCTAATGAAAGCACTTGGAGTTGGAGATTTCTGGTAGTTTTGTATTCAAATTATTATTCGATTTACTTACACACATTATATAATATATATATTATGTATATATATATATATATTAAAAACTTTTCTCTCTCTTCCCATTTCCCCTTCTAGCCGGCCAGGCTGAGGCACTTAGTATCCATGCGGCAATGTAGCGGTGATCCAGTGTTAGTTGGACTGAGAGCTGAACCGGCTCCAAGCTGACGTTCCTGGGAACGGAATGTCGGAATCGAGCCGGCCCTCTCTGCGGCGGTCTCTGGTCCCGGTTCCTGAGCCAGACGGGTCCGCAGTATCCCAGGGCACAGCCCAGCCTGGCTCATAGGCAGGACCTGGAAGGGCCGACCAGTCACTGGGGTCAGGGAGTCATCCCACTCGTCTCCTGTTAACCCTACAGCCAAAGCCCTAACGTGTAGGGTGGCCCTAGCTTGCCAGACAGCGAAGTTCAAAGCTTCGGTCCTGAGTGGTCAGTCTGCCCTAAGCACCTGAGGAGATATTTGGCAAACTAAGCCGAGGGGAGCCATGGGTTGGGTTGGTGAGGTGGAGCGGAGGCCTTTAAGACCTTGCCAGAACTTTGAAAGCTCAGTTCATCTGCTGCAAGGCCCTGGGTCCCATCTAGTCCCTGGTCCTGTGCAACTATCTCATATATTAAGTCAGCGTATCTGTCTATAAGTGGTGGTAAGTGATGTGTACCAGCCTTATAGATGGTGACTGTCTCCCACAGCCCGACCAGGGAGTAGATGTCTTAACATCGACCGACCGGTGTGAGGAGAGGACAGAGGAGAACAAGGATCCTGTGTTACCCGGCTCGTGCCGACTTCTGTATCTGAACGCAGACGGCAGGGAGGTTGACTATCGCCCTCTTTAACGTAACTCCTTACACTGAAGGAATTGCGTTCACCTAGTGCTTTTACCCGTTGTTTTTTTTGAACCGTTCCCAGTGGCGCGCTCCATACATTAGGAGCTCGGAGTGTGTCTCTCTGTGTGTGTTTGTCTCTCACCCTACGCGCGAGTGTTTCTCTCGCTTTACGTGTGTGTGTCTCTGCGTTTGTGTGTGTGTAACTCACTCGGTGTGTTTCGCTCCCTCTGTGTGTGTGTGTATCTCTCTTCCTCCTTCTCCCTCTGTGTGTGTCTGTCTCTCTCTCTGCGTGTGTATCTCTGTCTGCGAGTGTGTGCAGTTCTGTGTGTGTGTCGTCTCTGTCTCTCTCTCTCTCTGTCTCTCCTGTCTCTTTGTCTCTCTTAAGCGGAGAACCTTCTGACATTCTCGACTTGCCTACGTAGAGGTGCCGTCATCGGCTCCAAGTGTTGGGCTGTGACAGGAGGTTGAGGGTGGAATTCTCTTCCCTGGGGGGGGAGTACAGAAGCGGAGCCCAAAGAACATGGACTTCCCCGGGTTTACTTGTGTCTCGGAGCCCTGGGAGTGTCCTCAGCTTAGCCCAGTTACACACATACACTCACACACATACTATATCATATACACACACACACACACACACACACGGTCTCCAACACACAAACCAGCATAGTGATTCTCCCCCCAACCCCCCCCCCCCCCCCCCAAACCTTTGGATGTCTTCAAACCTTTATTTTGCCCCTCCATCCGACAGAATGATTTTGTATGTAGCGAAGAGAGGAGTGGGGGTGGAGGGGGGAGGGAAGGGGAAAGGAAGGGAGAGTTCAAATGTTCTAGATACACAGAGCATAATTGCAATGTTTTAGATATACAGAGTATAATTACAAGCGCAGCTTTGCAACTCGAAAACAATAAAAACTTTTGTAAATCGTTTTTTGGAAGCAAGTTATAAGACTAAATTATGCAATTTTTTTGTAAGGAGAAAGCTCTAGTTTTTTCTGCCTGTTGTGTATTTTACAATGTATTTTGTACCAGGTTAGTGTGTATTTTTAAATTCTTTTGTAAGTTACCGACCGACCGACCGACTGGGTGGGTGTTGAATCGAGGACAGCCCATGTCTCACCGGGGATTCTGTAAACAGCTTTAGAATTCAGATTTCAATAAAATTATTCAATTGTTTTTTTTTTCATGAGTGGCAGGTTTCTGAATTCGAGCGGGTTTTGTCGGTTTAAAGGCGGCACCTTTAAGGACACATGAATTTGCCGGGCGAAAGAAGACCGAGGCTCATCCAGCTCGCCTTCCACCATCCTGGCAGCCGCTTGACATGTCGCGTCCCAAACTATGTCTCGTATCTATCCCGAGGTATTATTTCCTAACCGGTGTCTTGAAACCAGGCTCACGACGTCTCGGACAGACGCCAAGTGTGGAGCAAATTTATAACGGGATTACACATATTCGACTCCTCTCATATCGGGGGTGAGGAGGGGCAAGATGACCGAATGCATGGTCAAAGAGGCAATTGGCTGCCCCGTTTCACCCCCAAAGCACAATCAATTCACTTTACAGTACAGTCTGTGAGGACGTCTCAACGACGCGATGAGGCGCTCTTATCAAATGCAAGGATTCGTCGTCGTTATGACGTCTTGAGACGGACCGTAAAATTCTGTCACTGACTCACGTCAACAGTTCCGGTGGGAATTATACACCCGCCGTTTCCCTTGCATGTGCCTGTACATCACACGGCACAAAACCCTTCACCGTGAATCTCTTGTCAGGTGCTGTGTCTGCATGTCGATAGGCAGATAGAAACAGACATGAGATGAACGACCGATGTCCAGTGGTTGTTGGACGGCGAAACGCGAAAGCCAGTTCTGCTCACAGCGACCTCCTGCGAACAGCCACGCGCAGTGAGGTGTTTGTCACAGGCGAGTGACAGGTGCGTCATGGCTTGGACATGGAAAGGACACGTCATAATAATAACTAACATACCAGCTGGAGCATCACGGAGACGCTTTCCAACGTCGGCTCTCGGATACGTTCGCCTCCATCCACCAGCCTCCGGTATCCCCGGGCGACAGACAGGAATATCGCGAAATATCATTCAGCGAAAGAATGATTATCATAATAATTATTCTCGCAATGTTCCTTGCATTTTTGATCCGGCGCCTCTCGTGTCGGGAGGACGTCCCAAAGCTCTTGGCGTGAATTTACCGTAGGATGGAGTGACTGTGATTCCGTCTGTGAGCGTGAGTGTGCGCGCGCACAGAGCAGTGTCCTACGAGTAACCATCAAGCCAACAAGTGATTTGTTTTATTTGGAGGATTGTGGACCAGAGCAGAGAGAGAGGGGGAGAGAGAGAGAGAAAAACTTGCTTCTCATTTCCAAAACGCCCTCGTTGAGAAGGTGCCCTTTGTACAGCTGACTCTCGAACGATGCCAATCCTTTACCCAATGGAGACTCTTCTTAATAAACCAGTTTGCTTTGAATCCTTGTTTGGGCTCAGAGAGAGAGAGAGAGAGAGAGTCAGAGGGCAGTGCCAATGTCAGTCAGTCGCTTTCCACACTGAACTGCCTCAAGACTTTTGATCCCCTGTGATTTCCTTATGCCCTGACCATCCATCTCTCTCTCTCTCTCTCATCGCCTCTCGGACTCCTAACGCAACGGACCCGAAGGCAATTTAACATTTAAGCTTAAAAGCAACTCGTGCCGAAATTTCTATGTGAATAGAAAAGTCAACTCCGCTAACATGGGGTGTGTGTTTGTGTGTGTGTGTGTGCGTGTGTGTGTTCTAGGGTGGAAGGGGTGGAGTGAGGGAGGAGGGGAATAAGGGCATGGAGTGATACAGCAGATTTTAAGAACACTCCATTATTACGCTCACAAAGCAGGAAGCGTCTAATCAAAAGCCAAATCGGGTTGGAATGTAAATTTTAATAACCCTGTGTGGATGGGGCGTTGTGTGTTAAGTAATCCCTATAGATAGCTGGACTTTAGAGGACGCTGGTGAGGAGTGAACCATGTGGGAGGTAGTTGAGTCCTTGCTTTCATTGTTCGTGTCGGTTGGTTTAATATTTGCTCTGTGCAATTTACTCCCTTCTGCCACCAGAAACCACGGGGCAGGTCTGTATCTGATTTTACTTGCAAACTCTGGCCGGCTCAACGCTTACGTCGAGCTGTCATGTCGCTTTGTTGCTGCTGATATTTTCCGGTTGCGGGGCGAAACGCGAGGCCAGTTAAGTAGGAACCCAGTTGTGAGTCGATTTGGCGGATTACTTTTCCAGGGGGTAATGATCCCTTCCAAAAATAATAATAATAATAATAATAATTTGGTCACTTCAATCCACGACTGTTTGTGGGGACGCTGCTGTGCGCAGTTGGCTGCCTCGATGCGCCCACAGAAACTCATTGAGGCGTCTTGTAGATGTAAATCGAACGCAAGGATTATTATATTGGTTGTATTTAACCCCTTCCTGCTGTTAAATTGACGCCGCGAAAGGATCAGAACAACAGAGCGAGCGAGTGAGCTGAAAGGGAGAGGCTTTTGAACATGGCTGGGGGGGGGGGGGGGGGGGGGCGGGGGGGGTTGATCCGATTTCCGGAGCCCCACCCCTCCCCTCAATCACTTTCACGCAGTCCGATGTTGTCGGTGTCTGCGTGTCACTCTCTCAAGAGACGTGCACAGAGAAGTCAGCTCGCCTGTGCTCGCGGCGTACAGCGGAGCACCTGTTCGTTTTAACCCTGTGAGTGACGAATCCACACTTTCTCTGTACAATAAGAGGGGAGAGCGCGGGTGTAAAAGAGAGGGGAAGAGAGTGGGAGAGGACAACGTGTGAAAGGAGAGAGAGAATGCGAGAGTGTAAGAGAGGGGTGAGAGGCACAACTGAATTTTTACTCTCAACTAGGTTAGACAGCAGTAATAATAATGATAATAATAATAATAATAATAACCCTCGCATTTGAGATAGCGCCGCATCACGTCGTCGAGACGTCTCCAAGAGCTTCACAGCGAAGTGAATTGATTGTGTATTTTGTGGGCGAAACTTGGCAGCTGACTGCGCCCGGCAGCGTCCCCGCAAACAGTCGCGGGGCTGAGTGACCAAACTATTGTTATTTCTGTGTACGTTACGTCGGTTGTGTCCCCTCCGTGGATTTCCGACGCGGGAAACGGGTGAAAACGTACGGCGCAAAAGTTTAGGGCAACTCTTTAAAAGTTCTTTTCTCTGCTGTGAGTGTTTCGGTGTCAAAAGTCGGTGTGTGTGTATGTGTGCGTGTGCGTGTGTGCGCGTAGGGCTGTGTGTGTTTGAGTGTGGGGGTGGGGTTGCTGTGTGTGTGCGTGTGTAGGGTTGTGTGTGTGGGGCAGGGGGAGTGTGTGTTGGGGAGGGGGTGCTGTGTGTGTGCGGGGGTGGGTGGGGGGGGAAGGAAGGAAATCGCTCGCTCCAAATTTTTTTCTTTGGAGACGCTACGCCTATCTTTCTCTCTCCCCCCACTTCCCCCCCCCCTCACCCCCATGTCTGTGCCTTGTTCACGTGAACGTTAACGATCCTGGCACTCTGTCGGGTGGTGGGTGGGTGGGTGGGTGGGGGTGTCCTCCTGTTCCTGGCCGACAATCCCCCGAGATCATTCCCCGGCAGCTTGTTGCGCCTTCGCTGTTGTCGCTCGTGCCCCCCCCCCCCCCCCACTGCACCATCGGCAGGCGGGCTGGGCTCTCAGCCACTTGCGCCCCGAAGCCTTGGAGCTCTCTCCCGGTCCCTCCTGCGCCTTGCCCCCTCCCCTCTCGGTGCGAGAGAGCGTTCCGCCCGCAAAACCATCTCTCCGTCGCATCCTGCGACACGTTTCGCCCACAGAGACGCCCGGTCACTCCACTTTGCCGCATGTCCGGTGAAGCACTTTGAGACGTCTCGACGACGTGAGAAGGAGCCGTAGTCAATTGCAGCAATTATTATTATTACTACTACTACTACTACTACTAGCTCGCGTCGAATTTAATTGAGCGATGACCCCTCTCTCCAACACACTTTCTCTCCTCTCTCCTACTCTTACATTCTCTCTCTCTCTCTCCGTCTCTCCTCTCTCACACACACACTCTCTCTCTTTCTCGCTGACACTCACTCACTCTCTCTCTCCATTCTCACACTCACTCTCTACTCTCTCGCTCACTCTCGCTCTCCTCACACGCTCTCGCGCTCTCTCTCTCTCTCCCCTATTGGGCACTCTCACTCTCTCTATCACTCTCACGCACTCTCCTCTCTCTCACATTCTCTCTCTCCCCACCCACTCCCCACTCCCCGCAGGAAGCATGGCCACTCAGCAAGAAAGCACCCCCTACACCTTGGGCAAGGGCAGGTCCATCGCGGTGCTGACCAGTGGCGGAGATGCCCAGGGTAAGAGGAGACCCTCCCCCCCCCCTCGCTCCCTGCCCCCCCTTGCTCCCCGCCCCCCCCCCTCGCTCCCCGCCCCCCCCCTCGCTCCCCGCCCCCCCTCGCTCCCCGCCCCCCCTCGCTCCGCCCGCCCCCCCCTCGCTCCCTGCCCCCCCCTCGCTCCTCGCTCCCCGACCCCCCTCCCCGCTCTCTGCCCCCCCCGCTCCCTGCCCCTCCATCCCCTCCCTCACTCCCCCTCTCCCTCCCTACCTTGCGCGTCCCCGACATCGTTTCCTCCCCAGTCCCCACCCCCACTCGCCTTCTCTCTCGCTCCATCCCTCTCATCCCTCCCTCCGTCGCCCCCCTCGCTCCGTCGCCCCCCTTCCCTCGCCCCCTCCCTCGCTGCGTTGACTATGACCGAGGGCTGTAGATACGGTCATTCCCGACGTTGAGGACAGTTTTCCCGCCTTTGCTCTTCCCTCTGCAGGGATGAACGCCGCGGTGCGAGCTGTAGTCCGAGTCGGAATCTACACCGGAGCCAACGTATTCTTCATCCACGAGGTGCGTGTGTATGCCCCAAACCCCCCGGCCCCCCCACCTGCCCTGCCCTGCAGGCTGCGGCCTGCTCCATCTCCCCCCACCCCGCCCCCCCCCTCCCCCCCGCCCTGCCTGGCTTGCCGTTGCCATGCCCTGTACCAAACGCAAAGGATTATCGGGGTAATTAGAATGATTCTTCCTTATTTTGGCAAACCGTGTTTCTCTTCCTGTCCCCCAGGGATACCAGGGGCTGGTGGACGGAGGCGAAAACATCCGAGAGGCAACCTGGGAAAGTGTCTCCATGATGCTCCAGTTGGTATGTTGACCCTTCCGCGTCCAAACCGTGTCCAAGCCGCGACCCACCTTCCGCGCACGCGCCCGTGTGACGCGCGAGGATTATCGTTGTCGCAATAATAATAATAATAATAGCCTTCGCGTTCGACGCAGCGCATCGTCGCGTCTTCGAGGCGTCTCCAAGCGCTGTAAAGTGCAGTGACTGTGCATTCTGCGGGCGAAACGCGGCACAGCGGCGTTCCCCCCCCCCCCACCACCCACCGACTCGATTTAGATCGAGTGACCAAATTATTATTATTATTATTATGGGTTAACAGAGGCACGTGCGTGGAGTGAGGAATGTTGCCTAAGGTTTTCGTCCGGCTCGGGAATCGAACCCCAGGCCCTCTGGCTTGTGCGGAGGGAGAGAGAGAGAGAGAGAGAGAGAGAGCTCTAACCGCTGAGCTACAGGACTCCACTGCCCTATACACATTGACCTCTCGCACTGCTCTTTCCACACTCTGACCTTTGCCGTTGACTCGGGTAATCACATCCCCAGGCGAGAGGAGGGTCAGGCGAAATGTCACGCGGCTAAAAAAAGACCCATCGGGACGCGCTCGCTTTAACGCACTCTAATTGCAATGTGACGAGAGGGGTTTAGTACAGGGATCGGTTTACCCACGAGCAGAAACGAGAGAGTGAGAGCGAGCGGAGACGGGGATTGGAATAGACTGTGACCTTTCCTTCGTTCATCCTCTGTCTCCCCCTTTTTTTTTTTTTTGCACGAGGAGGACTGAGCTGCTTCCAATCCTAATAATGATCCTTTTAAATAATGATTAAGGCGCTGTGTCAACTATGAGTATTAAATCATAAATCATCATCATAATTAAATAATAATTGAATAATAATAGTTAGATAATAATGATCAAATAATTATTATTAAATAAGTATTATATAATTCAAGATTTTTAAAATGATAATGAACTCTCTTGAATTCTGTACCTCTCTCTTTATATAACTTCCCCTCTCTCCCCCTCTTTCTCTGCCTCTCTTCCCCCCCCCACTCTCTCTCTCTCTCTCCCTCTGTCTTTATCTCTCACTGCTTCCCGCTCCCCTCTCCCCTCTCTCTCTCCCCCCCACACACCCTACTCCATCCTCTCTTCCCCTCTCTCACTTTACCTCTCTTTCCACTCCCGTTGCCCCCTTCTGTCTGTCTGTCTCTCTCTCTCTGCTTCCCCTTTCCCCCCTCTCTCTCTCTCTCTCCCCCTCTCTCTCTCTCTCTTTTCTCGCCCCCTCCCTCTCTCCCCTCCCCTTCCCCCTCCAGGGTGGCACCGTGATTGGCAGTGCCCGCTGCAAGGATTTCCAGACTCGGGAAGGGCGGATGAAGGGAGCCTACAACCTGGTGAAACGGGGCATCACTAACCTGTGTGTGATCGGTGGGGACGGAAGCCTGACCGGAGCCAACCAATTCCGCACAGAATGGAGCGGACTGTTAGCCGACCTGGTCAAACAGGGTGAGTGACGGGCAGAGGGATAGACGACGACAACTTGCACTTATATTACGTCCTCCGCGTGGGGCGATAGCGTCCCGGGGAGAGCTTGACTGACAGTGAGCGAGTGACTGAGCGTGTGAGTGTGTGAGCGAGTGAGTGTATGAGTGAGCGAATGTGTGAGTGAGCGAGTGAGTGTGTGAACGAGTGAGTGTGTGAGTGAGCGAGTGTGTGAGCAAATGTGTGAGTGTGTGAGCGAGTGAGTGAGCGAGTGAGTATGTGAGTGAGCGAATGTGTGAGCGAGTGAGTGAATGTGTGAGCGAGTGTGTGAGCGAGTGAGTGTGTGAGCGAGTGAGTGTGCGAGCGAGTGAGTGTGCGAGCGAGCGAGCAAGCGCGCTGAAGGGAGGGAAGGAGAGGTTGGACGGCGAACGTTGACGCTGGGACCTGCTCTCACCCCTCACCTCCTCGCTCGCTGTTTACAGGGAAGATCTCCATGGACGAAGCCAAGAAGTCGGGGCACCTGAACATCGTGGGGATGGTGGGCTCCATCGACAATGATTTCTGTGGCACCGACATGACCATCGGCACCGACTCAGCTCTGCACCGCATCATGGAGGTGGTGGACGCCATCACCACCACGGCCCAGAGGTCAGACCCCGACACCGACCAGATAATCCGTAACATCCGCAGCCAGAGAGAGCCCCGGTGTCGGCCCATTCCCTCCCCCGTTACTTTGCTGTCAATTAATAGGGGTTCCCGGAGCTCGGTGGTGAGAGTTCTCGCCTCGCAAGCGAGAGGAACCTGGGTTCGATTCCCGGGGGTCGGGTCAGGGCGAAATGTTGGGCAAGTTTCGTTACTCCCCCCCCCTCTGTTTACCCAGCAGTAAGCTATGAACCCGGTTGTTAGTCGATTGGCGGATCGCTTTTCCCAGCGTAATAATCCCTCCAAAATAAATAATAATAACAATTGGGTCACTCAATCCACGGCTGTTTGTGGGGGTGGGACGACGACGCTGCTGTGCGCGATTGTCTGCCGCGTTTCGCCCACAAACTATACGGCCCATTCACTTTATGGTGCATTCTGCGAAGCGCTTTGAGACGTCTCGAAGGTGTGATGAGGCGCTGTGTCAAATGCAAAGATTATTATTAATATCACTTGAGTGAGTGAGTGATTGATTGATTTCTCACCATCAGTGACCGAGCTTTCAGTTATTCTCCATCCCTCTCTGGATCTCCATCCCGGATTCCCTCTTCCTCCCCCGTCCCCATTCAAGGTCCATCTCAAGACCGATCTTTCGGTCATCTCTCTCTCTCTCTCTCTCTCTCACTCCATCACTGTCTGTCTCTCAGTCTCACTCACACCCTCTCTCTCTCTCTCTTTGCCGTGTGTTACAGTCACCAGAGAACCTTTGTGCTGGAGGTGATGGGACGTTACTGTGGGTAAGTCAGGCTCACATTCGCCCACAGAATGCACAGTCACTACACTTTACAGTATATTCTGTGAAGCGCTTTGAGACGTGATAGGGCGCTGTATCAATTGCAAGGATTATTATCATTCACACGATGGAGGGCTGCGGAGTGAAGATACTCTCTGTGTGCAGTGACCTATCCTCTCTTCCCTCCTCTCTCCACTCTCTCTCTCTCTCTCCCTTCCTCTCTCCTCCCTCTCTCCTTCCTCCCCCCTCCCTGTCCCCTTTTCTCTCTCCTCTCTTCCCCGCAGGTACCTAGCTCTGGTGACGGGGTTGGCTTGTGGCGCTGACTGGGTCTTTATCCCCGAATCTCCACCAGTAAACAACTGGGAGGACATCCTGTGTCACCGTCTGAATGAGGTGAGACCCCTGGACCCCTACCATGAGGGTAGTGTAGTGGTCGAGCTACAGATCAGCCATGATCTTATAGAATGGCGGACGGGATCGAGGGGCTGAATGGCCTCCTCCTGTTTCTTATGTTCCTGTTTACAGTGCGGGGAGAGACGTGATAAGGCGCTTTATCAAATGCAAGGATTATTATTATTATTGTTAATGGCGGAGCAGGCTCGAGGGGCTGAATGGCCTCCTCCTGTTCCTATGGTGTGCCGGGGCCTGACGGAGGAGAGCGAGTGGGAGAGGACGTGACGTGTGCGTCTGTTTTCAGAGCAGGCTTCGAGGCTCCAGACTCAACATCATCATCGTGGCTGAGGGGGCGATAGACAGATCGGGTAACCCCATCTCGTCGGACTATGTGAAGGACGTAAGTGAGACATCCGGTTCCTGATCCCTCTCAACGTTTCAGAAGCCCCGTAGCTCGGTGGTTAGAGCCCTCTCGCCTCGCACGCGAGAGGACCCGGGTTCGATTCCCGGATGGGTCAGGTCAGGGCGAAACTTTGGGCGAGTGTCCTTACTCCACACACACACGCCTCTGTTTTCCCAGCAGTAAGTAGGAACCCGGTTGTTAGTCGATTGGCGGATGGCTTTTCCGGGGGTGATAATCCCTTCAAAAAATAATAATTTGGTCTCAATGTGGGGGACGCTGCTGCGCGCAATCGGCTGCCGCGTTTCGCCCACAAAAATACGCAGTCACTACACTTTACGGTGTGTCCCGTGACCCGCTTTGAGTCGTCTCGACGACGTGATAAGGCGCTGTGTCAAATGCAAGGAATATTTTCATTATTACGGTTGTGTTTCCCGGCATTGTCGGAGGAGCCAAACTCGACAAAAATAATCTCTGTGGAGCTCTTTGAGACGTTGCGATGGGATAACGCACGGTTTATCATCATTATTATTGCCCCACACTTTACCTCTAGATAAAAGTGAGAGATTGTGACCTTCTAAAACCCTTACAACCCACCCCCTCCGCTCGGCGGGCTCTGGCCTGCTCCGCAACCCCCACCTCGCCCGCCCCACCATCGACGGTTGGCCCTTCAGCCTTCCTGCCCCTACCCCTCCATCCAGGAGCCCTTCTGCCTCACCGCCCACACCCCCCTCCCGTTCCTTGCCTCCTTCAAGGCCCCTCTCGAGACCCTCCTCTTTGACCGTGCCTTCGATCACCCCCCACCACCCCTTACCCCCACTGCCCTGGACCCTTCCCGGCTGGGGTGCAAACCCTCGACTGTTCAGCGCCTCAGGACATCCTCGCATTGTGATAAGCCAAAGACCCCGATGTTGGGTGTAAACAGACCCTGGTCTCCTCCGCAGCTGGTGACAAAGCGTCTGGGCTTCGACACGAGGGTCACTATTTTGGGTCACGTCCAGAGAGGTGGGACACCCTCTGCCTTCGATCGGATTCTGGTAAGGAGATGGGCGAGGGGTGGTGGGCAGAGGGGTGAGGGGTGGTGGGCAGAGGGGGGATTTGGTGGGGGGGAAAGGGGGGGTGCAGCGATTGGGGGAGGGTGATGTCCGCTGCTTGTTACTCCACACTGTGAATCCCAACTTCTCTGTCAGTCTCTCTCCTAAGCGCTTCGAGCTGCCGCCCAGCGCCATGGCCGTTGTGTAAGTGCAAGTTGTTGCTGTTGCTGGTGGCTCTGACCCTGTTCTGTGCCCCCTCCCCCCCCCCCACCCCCAGGGCAGTCGGATGGGGGTTGAAGCCGTCATGGCATTGCTGGACGCCAAGCCCGACACGCCCGCCTGTGTGGTCAGCCTCTCGGGGAACCAAGCCATCAGGCTCCCACTGATGGAGTGTGTGCAGATGGTGAGTGTCTCTGCGTTGGGCAGAGGGCTGAGGGGTGGTGGGCTGAGGGGTGGTGGACAGAGGGGTGAGGGGTGTATTGGTTAGTGCGCTTGCCTTGCGAGCGAAGGGACCCTTTTAACTTCGGTCGTTTCGCCCGCAAAACACACAGTCACTACACTTTACAGTGTATCCCGTGAAGCGCTTTGGGACGTCTCGAAGACGCGATCAGGCGCCGTGTCGAATGCGAGGGTTATTATTGAGGGTTGCGGGAAGAGGGGTGTGAAGGGGAGTCACAGTTGACATGGGAAGTGATCACCCACCCTCGATCGGCACAGGAAGTGATCACCCACCCTCGATCGGCACAGGAAGTGATCACCCACCCTCGATCGGCACAGGAAGTGATCACCCACCCTCGATCGGCACAGGAAATGACCCGCCTGAGCGCTAATGGTGGGAAATGCTTTATTGTTATAGACTAAGGACGTGACCAAAGCCATGCAGGAGAAACGCTTTGAAGACGCCACCAAACTGCGGGGAAGGTCTGTCCAGGGGGGCGGGGGGGGAGGGGAAATGGGTAGGGGGGACAGGGGGGGAAATGGGTAGGGAGGCGGAGGATGGGGGAGGGGAAATGGGTAGGGGGCGGTGGGGGTGGTGGGAAGGGGAAATGGTAGGGAGGCGTGTGTGGGGTGGGTGGGGGGGCCGGGGCGGGGCGGGTGGTGGTGGGTTGGCAGAGACTCTGTGACTCTACGGTTTTGTTGGATGGTGACAAGATCGAACCGCGTCGAATCCAGACCTCGTGAGCGTGTTCACTGGCTTGGCGTGTTCACTGACAGTCCGTGCGGTTTGTATGTTGCAGGAGTTTCGAGAGCAACTGGAATACGTATCGTTTGCTCTCACATCATGACCTGCCACCCACCAAGGTCTGCTGGGTGGGGGGCGTTGGGTGGTGTGGGGGGGGGGGGGCCGTGGGGGGTGCTGGGTGGTGTGGGGTGGGGGGGTGGGGGGGCGCTAGGTGGTGTGGGTGGGGGGGTGCTGGGTTGGGGTGGTGATGGAGGGAGCGATGTGGGAGAGGTGATGGGGGTGGGTGGGGGGGCTACAGGGTTGGGGGGAAGCAATGTGTGTGTGTCTGTCTCTCAGTGATGGTTGGGGTGGGGGTGATGTGTATGTCTGTTTCTCAGTGTGTGTGTACGTCTGTCTATGTATGTGTGTGTGTGTGTGTGTGTCTGTCTCTCGGTGATCAAGGGGGGAGATGGTCGGCGGGAGTAGGGTGGGTTGGGTGGGGGCAGCCTCTCTCACACATGTCCTCTCTCACACATGTCCTCTCTCACACATGTCCTCTCTCACACATGTCCTCTCTCACACATGTCCTCTCTCACACATGTCCTCTCTCTCACAGACTAACTTCAGCATTGCGGTGCTGAATGTGGGGGCTCCGGCGGCCGGGATGAACGCCGCAGTGCGATCGGCAGTGAGGGTGGGGCTGACCCAGGGCCACCATATGCTGGTGGTGCACGACGGCTTCGATGGCCTGGCAGAGGGCAAGGTGGGCACAGGCAGCCGTGGCACTGTGTGTGTGCATGTCAGTGTGTGTGTGCGCGTGTCACTCTCTCCCACTGTGTGTGTGTGTGTGTGTGTGTGTGTGTGTGGGTCACTGTTTGTGTGTGGGTCACTGTGTATGTGTCACTGCGCGTGTGTGTGTGTGTCACACTCTCGCTCTCTCCCACTCTATGTGCGCGTGTGTCTCTCTCTCTCTCCCACTGTGTGTGTGTGTGTATGTGTGCCACTGTGGGTAGCACTGTGTGTGTGTGTGTGTCTCTCTCTCTCTCTCTGTCACTCTATCTCTCCCACTATGTGTGTGTGTGACTTACACTGTGTATGTCTCTCTCTCACTGCCCCCCCCCACCCACCCACCACCCACTTCCCCCATTCTCGTCTCTCCGCAGATTAAAGAGTGTTCTTGGGCTGATGTGAGCGGTTGGACCAGTCTGGGGGGCTCACAGCTCGGGACAAAGCGGTGAGTTGGGGGGAGACTGAGCGGGTGTGGGGTGGGGGGGTGGGGGGGAGAAGCTCATTTTATCTGAACAATTCAGTGATTTCACCCCCACCTCTTTTTCTCTCTCGTTCGCGCTCTCTCTCTCTCTACTCCTCTCTCTCTTGCGCTCTTTCTTGCACCCGTTCTCTTTCACCGTCTCTCTCTCTCTCACACACACACACATACACACACACTCTCTCACACGCACTCTCTCACACTCTCTCCCAGGACTCTCCCAGGAAAGTACTATGAAGAGATCAGTGCAACCATCACTAAGTTTGGCATCCACGCTCTACTCATCATTGGTGGCTTTGAGGTTTGTTTCCGGGTCAACAACAACAACAACTTGCATTTACCCAGCGCCCCTCACGTAGGGTAGCGTCCCAGAGCGAGGGGGAGGTGACTGTAGCCAAGACCTGACGATGGGGAAGGAAGGAAGGAAGGAAGAGGGCGAGGTGGAGGGATAGAGGAAGAGAGCTCCAGAGCTTCGGGGCGTAGCGGCTGAAAGCGCGTCCATCGATGGTGGAACGGAGGGCGCGAGGGACGAGCAGGAGGTCCGGAGCCAGTCCAGCGGAGGTGGTGGGTTGAGGAGTGAGCAGGTCGGTGAGGGAGGGAGGTGCGAGGGAGTGAAGAAGAGTGTGAAGATCTTGAAATCGATCCTCTGGTCTCTCTCTCTCTCTCTCTCTCTCGCTGTCTCCAGTGCCTTAACTGCTCATTTCTCCCCCTGGGAAACTTGGAGTCAGGGGGTTTGACCCCCACGGCCAGGTGACCTCCGAAGTGAGGGTGTGAGCAGCTGACCCCCACCCCCACCACAACTGATGGACACTCTCTCTCTCTCTCTCTCTGTGCCAGGCGTTCATGGGTGGGTTGGAGATGGTGGAAGGCCGGGCCAAGTACGAGGAGCTGTGTATTCCCCTCATCATCATCCCAGCAACCGTCTCCAACAACGTCCCCGGCTCCGACTTCAGTGTGGGCGCTGACACAGCCCTCAACACCATCACCTCGGTCAGTGGGCTCCCTCTGTCTGCGTGTCTCTATCGCTAACTGTCTCTCTCTCTCTATATAACTTTGTCTGTGTGTGTCTCTCTCTCTCTCTCTGTGTGTCGCTCTCTGTATCGCTGTTTCTCTCACTCTCTCTGTCTCTTTATCACTGTCTCTCGCTCTCTCTCTATCGCTCTGACTCTTGCTATCACTCTGTCGCTTTCTTCATCGCTCTCTCTCTCCATCTCTCTCTCTCACTCTCTCTCGCTGTGTGTGTGTGTGTGAGTGACGGTGTTGCCTGTGTGACAGACGTGCGACAGGATTAAACAGTCGGCTGCGGGCACCAAGCGGCGGGTGTTCATCATCGAGACGATGGGCGGTTACTGTGGGTACCTGGCCACCTTGGCCGGCCTTGCGTCTGGGGCGGACGCTGCATATATCTACGAGGATAATTTCTCCATCCACGACCTGAAGGTGAGGAACAGATGGACAGAAACCCCACCCCCCCCCCACCCCCACGACAGCGAGACCAGTTCTCCACGGTAATGAGAGATTGACCCCCCTCATGCGGGGTTAGCTTAACAGTGGCGGAGAACGACACCGACCGGGGGGTGGTGGTCAGGGGGTAGAGGAGGTGACCGTAGGTCCTCAGGCTCGACCTGAACATGGGGAAGGAAGGGGGCGAGAGGGAGGGACAGTGGGCCAGAGTTTTGGGGAGTAGGGACGCTGATGGTGGAACGGAGGGCACGACGGACAAGCAGGAGGCCAGAGCCAGTCGAGTGGGGAGCGAGTGGGGGAGGTGGGGTGGGGTGTAAGCAGGTCGTGAAATCGGCCCGTTCAATGATAGGGAACCCGGCAAGAGCTGGTGTGATGGGGGGACGGAGTTTAGTGCGGGTGAGTGTGCGAGCCACGGAGTTTTGGATTCATCCGGGGAGACCGGAGAAGGGGGGGGGGGGTGGGTGGTGGCATTTGAGTATTGACGAACACCCAGTAACTCCAATCACTTACTCCAACCCCAAACAGATCAATGTGGAGCATTTGACGGAGAAAATGAAGACAACGGTCAAGAGAGGCTTAATCCTCAGGTATTTGACCGATTCCCGATGAGGGCTGACACTCTAGCGCAGGGCCAGGGGGGGTGGGGTGGGGGGGGGGAGCGAGAAGGTCTATCTGATCTCCTACAGTGTAGAGATATCTCAACGACGTGATGAGGAACTATATCAAATGCAAGGATTATTATTATTATTTATTATTATTATTATTACCGGACACTGATGCACAGATTGCTGCCGAGTCCCTGTTTGGGACAGAGTCTGACGCTGTTTCTCTCGTCCATTTGACAGGAACGAGAAGGCAAACGCTCACTATTCCACCGACTTCATCTACAACCTGTATTCGGAGGAGGGCAAAGGAGTGTTTGACTGCAGGAAGAATGTCCTGGGGCACATGCAGCAGGTAGGAGAGCTCGGGGACACTATATATAAATGCAAGTTGTTGTTGTTGTAGGAGTCCCTTCACCCCTGACTGACGCCCATTAATCCAGTTAATCCCAAACTCCGCCGCCCGCTGTACTCACCGGCAGTGAACTGAACTCCGTACCCTCATTGCGGAGTCCTGTAGGGTAGTGGTTAGAGAGAGGAGGAAGCGGGCAGGTTGATATGGCGTTAGCAGGTCACAGAGGTAGGGAGGAGCGAGGCCTTTGGAGGTAGAAAGTAACCCAACCCAACCCAACGCAATGGTCTCTGGTCCAACACGACTTGGCCTTGACAGGGAGAGAAGAGGGGCAAATGGAGAAGCGTTGTCTGTCTTAGGTTTGAGTGAGCGAACGAGCCATGATGTGCGTGTGTGTGTGTGCGTCAAAGGCAACTGGTTGTGACCTGTCCCCCCCCATCCCCCCATCCCCCTCTCTCTCTCTCTCTTTCCCTCTCTCTCTCCGGCCCACAGGGTGGAACACCGACTCCGTTCGATCGGAATTTCAGCACCAAGATGGGAGCCAAAGCCGTGCTGTGGCTGACGTCCACGCTCAAGACTTCGACCAGACACGGTGGGTGACGCTGGGCTTCGAGAGTCTCCCCGATAAGGCACTGCATCGGGTGCAAAGGAATACTGTCCGTAATAACCCTTTCCTTTGACGCAGACTCGCCTTGTCAAAGCGCTTCGCAGAATAGACCGTAAAGCGTAGTGACTGCGTATTTTGCGGGCCAAACGCGGCAGCCGATTGCGCACAGCAGCGTCCCCACAGACAGCCGTGGACTGTGTGACCAATTTATTATTATTATTTTTTTTTTTCGAAGGGATTATTATTTCAGGGGCTTGAGGCCGGGAGTAAATTTTCTGGCCCTTAGTTTGATTTTTCCAAGGAATTGTTAAGACTCTTCTCTCTCTCTCTCTCTCTCTCTCTCTCTCTCTCTTTCTCTCTCGTTCTCCTCTCCTCTCTCTTCTCCCGTTTCTCCTCGTCTCTCTGCGGATTTAACTCTTTGTTGTCCACAGGCCACATCTTCGCCAACACCCCCGACACGGCCTGTGTGCTGGGCATGAAGAAGAGGAGCGTGATTGTACAGCCCCTACAGGAGCTAAAGGCGCATGTGGACTTTGAGTGAGTCACTCGTGTGTGTCTGTATGTAGTACGTGTGTGAGAGAGCCGGGGATAGGGTGAGGGCAGGGGGGAAAGGGCTGAGGGCAGGGCGGGAGGATGAGCGTATGAGCGACAGATGGGGGTGGGAGTTGGGAGGGTGGGGGGGGGCGAGAGGGTGGGGGGAGAATGAGGGGTGAGAGGAGGGGAGCGAGAGAGCGGGGTTTGTGTGTAAGGGAGTTGGGGAGGAGGATGAGCATATGAGTGAGGGATGGTGGGGCGGGGGGGGAAATGGGAGGGCGAGAAGGTGGGGGCGAACACGAGGGGCGCGAGTGAGAGTGGGGCTGTGGGGGGGGAATACAGTTCCACAGCCACTCCCATGTTCCCCTCCTCTCTCCCCAGGCACCGCCTTCCCAAGGAGCAGTGGTGGTTGAGGCTGAGGCCAATCCTGAAGGTTTTGGCCAAGTATAAGGTCACCTCGGAGTTCTCGGAGAAGGCCCAGATGGAGCACGTGGTCCGCAAGAATTTGTGAGCGGAGCCCCGTTTGGGGGTCGAGTGGGGGGGGGGGGTGAGAAGCCCAGGGGAATGGGGAAAGGGGGAAGCCCAGGGGAGAGGGGGGGAAGCTGCCCCTTTCACCATGACGGTAGCTAACGGCCGGAGTAGGTTCAGACCATCACGTTGCGCTGTGTTGTGAGTGTGTAATGTCTCCTTCACAGGATGGGGGTTAGGGTTAGGGTCTCAAAGCACTTCACAGAATAGATAAAAGTGTATTTTCTGGGCGAAACCCCCCCTCCTCCCCAAATCCTTAGCTAAAGGCCACTTTTGGCCCAGTGCCTTGAGAGGTGTTTGAGGACGGGTTTGACTGTGTGTTATTAGGGGCTCAGCTATTCTGTGGTGTTCAGCCTTTAGAAGCTGCAGCTTCTTTGCGAGCGAGAGACAGAGAGTGACCGCGCGCGACTCTCACCGCTGAGAGTCTGACTGTGCTCCGAGCCGAGGGTAGTGTTTGCTGTGATTTCGATGCTCTGTATCTGCATGTTCCTCCGAGATCGGCCGCGGCTGCGGCCGTTCGAGTAAATAATAAACCGTTGCACTCCTCCTTTTGGCTCACGTTCTCCTTCTCTCTCTCTCTCTCACTTTCGCTCGCTCGCTCTCACTCGCTCTCGACCGATCCGCGCGTGGGACAGAGAGAGAGAGAGCAGATTCCCGCTCCATCCTCCCGCTCGGCTCCCGTTAACCCCGCAAAGCCAAAGCTCTAACGGGGAGGGTGGTCCTCGCTGGACAAACAGCGGGAAAGCTTAGCCAGACAGCAAAAATCAATGGTTTATAGCTGGTTAGACTCCAGCAGTTACCCCCAACGCACACTCTGGGCTCCCAACAACCCCCCCCACACCACCCCCCCACCTCCCCCACAAGCCTTGGCTCTTGCCAACCTACGCCTAATACTCTCTGGAATTAAGTAAGAGAGAGAGAGAGAGAGATGTGGAAGATGGGAAGCGGGGAATTCTCAGCTCGATTTGGAGCCTCAGTTAAGCAACAGTGACCCCCCCACATCCCCCCCACCCCCCCACCCCTCCCACCACAAAAAAAGGGAATGATGTAATGCCAACCAGTGGCCACCAGATGGAGCAAGAGTCACACCGTTTGTGTTTGGTCACAACAACAACAACAACAGCAACAAATTACATTAGAACATAACTCAGCGGTTCACGTTTGGAAGAAAAGGGGGTCATTTCCCCCCTCCCCCCCCACCCCTCCACGGTAGGGCAGAAATCCTTCTGCCCCCAAAGCCCCACTGCCCCATCACGAGTTGTGCTTCAACTGAGGGCGATATAGCCCAAGAATTGGTCTTTTTGGAGTGGATTTGGCAAAGATTTGGAGAGGTAATAATAATAATAATAATAATGATAATAATAATGATAATAATAATCCCGGCATTTGACACAGCGCCTGATCACGCCTTCGAGACGCCTCAAAGCGCTTCACGGGATACACTGTAAAGTGTAGTGACTGTGGATTTTGTGGGCGAATGTGAGCCTGACTTTACTGGCGTTTTGACTATTACAGTTCGCTGGGCTCGGGTTGGTGGGGGGAGGGAAGAGAAGGGAACAATTGCTGCCCCCCCACACCCCCCACACCCACACCCACACCCCGCACACTCATTGAATAGAGGGTGGGGTGGGGGGTGTTGGGTTGTCGGAGATGCCGTCCTTCCATTGAAACCTCACTCCCGGGTGTGTGTCCTGTTCAGGTGGACGTTAAAGATCACGTACCACCCGCCCCCACCCCCCCACCCCCCCCACCACCACCACCACCAGTACCCTTACGTCGTGAGCTGATAAAACACTTAACACTCGGGACGTAAGTGGGTGGGAGAGAGGGAGGGAGGGGTTGGTTTGTTCTGACTCGAGGCGAAAGAAGGGAGTCCTTTTACTCCAGAGTTAAAAAAAATCCCCCCCTCTCCCCCACCAACACCCATCTTACGTCACGAGTCGAAAAAGCACATGATCCCCCCCCCCACCCCCTTAAGTTGCCGTCACAGAGCATCGACTTAAATATCACAGATTTAGAAATAAAATGAAAGAATTTATGGTTTCGAAAACGTTTGCATTTACACAGGACAGTTTTGAGCAACTTTTTGGCACTTTATGTTTGTATTTAAAAAATATAGATGGGTGGTGGGTGGTGTGGGGGTGGGGGGGGGGGGGGGGAGAGTCTGTCAAGGCGTTGCTGAGACTAAGTTAAGGAACATTTACTTTTGAAGGAACCACAAATCTCTTCGCCCTTCAGTGAGGTTTGAGCTGGAATCCAAAACTCCAGAGGCACAGATGGGAAAGAGGGAGCAAAGGGGAGGGAGAGAGAGAGAGAAAAGAAGGGGAAAGAGAGAGAAAAGAAGGGGGAGGGAGAGAGAGAAAAGAGGGGGAGGGAGGGAGAAAGAAGGGGGAAGAGGGAGAGAAAATAGGGGGGAGAGAGAGATCGAAGGAAGGAGAGAGAGAAGAGAGAGATTGAAGGGAGGAAAGAGAAAAGGGGAGAGAGGGAGAAAGGAGGAGAGACAGATAGAAAAGAGTGGTGGGGGGGGAACGAGAGCGAAGAGTGGTGGGGGGGGGGGGGGGGAGAGCTAAAGACTCAGTGATTGGAGTTAATTCTCAGCCGAACCCCACAGTCTGTAAATCAGCAGTTTGGGGTTTGTTGGGGTTTATTAACGGGGGTCACAGTTCATTGTATTGGGGCATAAGTGGAGGGGGTTTGGGGGGGGGAAACCTTCCGTCCTCTCTCCCCCTACCCCCCCCCAACAACACCCGCCCCCCCCACACACACAGCTGGAGCCCACTGCAGCCCTGGTGAGAGTGTGGGGGTGGAGGGGGCTGTGTGTGTGTGTGTGTGTGAGCCCGTACTTGCGTAGGGGGGGGTGGGTGGGAAATGACAAACCCCTCCTTTTTTGGGGGGGGGGATCGTGTGGCTGGCAAAGTGGGGCGGGTGGCGCGCGGGCGGGTGGGCTTGTCAACCAGTCAACCATGGAAGTTGGAGACGAGGAGTCCGGGGGTGGGGGGGGGCGTTGTGGGTGGGAGGGGGGGCGACGAGAAGCCTTCAGCCCCCACAGGGCTCTCGCTCGCTCTCGCTCTCTCTCCGTCTCTCTCTCTCTCTCTCTGCCCCTCGCTGGCGCCCGTTTGCGTGTCGGTCGGTCACGGCTGGTGGTGTCCAGCCCAGGCTCGGGGGGGCTCACACTGTGATGACGGTGGGGGTGGCAGTGAGTGGCACCGTGGAGCCACAGTCATAGTCCAGCTCGGTGGCCCCCGGAGGAGCCATGTGGAGGCTGCTCAGCGACGTCCCCGTCTGCCGGTCCCGGATACTCTGTATATAGCTCTGCCGGAGGGAGAGAGTGTGAGAGGGAGAATGGGAGAGAGAGTGTGAGAGGGAGAATGAGAGAGTGTGAGAGGGAGAGGGAGTGTGAGAGAGGGAGAGTGCGTGAGGACAAAAGGAAGATGACCACGTGACAGAGCGCAAGAGCGAGAGAGGATGAGAGTGAGTGAGTGAGTGAATGAATGAGAGGAGGATGGAGAGAAAGGGTGAGTGAGTGAGTGAGTGAGTGAGTGAGTGAGTGAGTGAAAGGAAGAGAACGAGAGAGGGAGAGAGAGAGTGAGTGAGTGAAAGGAAGAGAACGAGAGAGGGAGAGAGTGAGTGAGTGAGTGAGTGAAAGGAAGAGAACGAGAGAGGGAGAGAGGGAGTGAATGAGTGAGTGAGTGAGTGAGAGGAGGATGGAGAGAAAGTGGGGGGGGGGGTGGGTGGGAGAATGAGAGAACGAGAGCGAGGGAGAGGGAGAGGGAGAGGTGGGGGTGACGTTACCGGGGACAGGATATCTCCGGTGTAGCGCTTGATGGGGTACGGTTTCCTGCGGTACGTGTCCTGTGGTGCTGTCCGTTGGCGCTTCTTTGCTGCTTTCTGTCGGATCCTCATCAGCTGCACTCGCTTCTGCCGGTTACTGATAATAACTGTCGAGAGAGAGAGAGAGAGAGAGAGTTACTGATAATAACTCACGAGGGAGAGGGAGAGTGACTGATCAGTAAGGAAACTTGCCCAACGTTTCGCCCTGACCTGACCTGACCCGCCCGGGAATCGAACCCGGGTCCCCTCGCTCGCCAGACGAGGGCTCTAACCGCTGAGCTACAGGGAACTCCACGCCTTTTCCCCACCTCCTCTCCTCCCTTCCTCACCCCTTCCCTCTCCTCCCATCCTCACGAACCTCCATCATGCGCCCACCCCCCATCCCCGTATTTGCCCAATGTCTGTGTTGCTGTGTGTTGACCTGTGCTATGACCTGTGCGAGGAGCGAGAGCGCCCCCTGTGCGTGTGTGTGTGTGTGGGGCGTGTGAGAGCACCCCCTCACCCACCAGCCCCCCTTGCCCACCCCCTCACTGGCGCCCCCCCCACCCGGTGGCCGCTCACCCTCGGTGTGCGAGTAGCCGTCCGCCGTCAGCTTCCACTGCAGCAGGACTCCGAGGGCGGCCAGCGAGGGCCAGGCCCCGAGCAGGAGCCAGCTGTGCCAGCAGGCGGGCGGTGGCGGGGCCGAGGCCTTGAGCAGCGGGTAGACGTAGAGCCCGAGGAGCGAGGCCTGCAGCAGGTAGTCGGCCGCCAGCACCAAGATGGCGGCGCCCAAGACGGCGGTGGACAGGACGGTGAAGAGCTTCTGCCACTGGAGGGTCAGGACAGCGCCCAGGAGCCCCGCGCCCAGCAGCAGCCCCAGGGGCACCCAGACCGAGCGAGGTTGGTACAGGGGCCCGGCGGCCAGCAGGCCCCCCGCCGCCAGCAGCAGGCCCAGGGCCAGACCCACCATGAAGAGGCCCAGGCTCCGGACCAGCATGGTGACCAGGCCGCAGAGCACGCCCACCGCCAGCCCGATGCCCGCACTGGCTGCCACGCTCAGCTGGGCCTCGAGCAGCCGCTCCTTGTAGCAGAGCAGGAAGACCACGGTGGAGCCGAACATCAGACCCGACAGGAACATCACCACCTTGAAGCAGCGGTAACCTGCGGAGGGTGGGGGGGGTAGAGGGTGGAGGGTGCGGGGGGGTGGCACGGGGCAGGGGGCGGGGGGGGGGAGAGAGAGAGAGAGAGAGATGTTACCCAATGTGCAGGTATAATAGTGCCCCCTGATGGTGACCACCCCCCACCCAATCTGTGACCTGCTCCCCCCACCCTCTGGAACTCCATCCCACATTCCCTCCATCTCGCCCACCCCCCCAATGCCACCCCCACCTCCCTCGCCGCCTCCTGTTCGAACGCCAGCGCCTTCGGTCACCCTCCTACCCCTTACCCACCCTCTACCCACCCCCCCCCCCACCCCCCGCGGATTTAACATTCGCCCACGACCTGAGCTTACCGAAGAAACAGTAGATGATGCCGAAAATGCCACACATGGCACAGATAATGCAGGGCACCAACTCGTATTCTCTCTCCAGCTGCAGGTCACACAGGAGACTGGCATTGCCCTGAGACCCCAGGGTAGGCTGGATGGCATCGGAGGTCATGGTTGCCCCCCGGGGGCACCGACCTGGTGCAGGTCTGTCCGTCCACTCACCGCTGCTCAAACCTGGGGGTGGGGGGGAAAGGACACGACATGGACCGAGGCGGTTCGCGAGGGTTCGATTCCCGGGAGAGCGGGTCAGAAGCTCAGGCGACTCTACACACGCGCATGCACACACACGTGTGCACACATACACACGTGCACACGCGCACACACACGTGCACACACACGCGCGCACACAGAGGCCTCTGTTTATCTGGCAGTAAGAAGGAACCTGGTTGTTGGTCGATCAGTGGACCACTTTCCGGGGGGTGGGGTGGGTGGGGGGGGTGGTTTAATAATCCCTTCGAACAAATAATAAATGTGGTTTCCCCGACCCACGACTGTTGGCGGAGACGGTGTCTCGCGCCATCGGCTGCCGCCTTTCGCCCACAAAATACACGTTCGCTACACGCTACAGTGGTGCGTCCCGTGAAGCGCTTTGCCATCGATCGGTGCGTCCGGTGCAGGGATTACGGATAATTACCGTATTATCTCTTCTGTTGTGAATCAATTCCGATTCAATCTGCCTTCTCCCCATCCCCCTCGATGACCCGCACAGATTCCGATTGGCAAACCCCCACCCCCCCCCACCACTAGCCCCCAACCCCACCGCCAATCTCTCCCAAATCCTTCGGGAGTGCAGCCAGCGAGACCCAATTAACAGGACCAAAGCCTTAACTAACGGTCATCAACTTGCCAGATGCAGGAAGGGTGTGGGCCGCGGAGTTAATAAATAAATCCTAGGATTTCTCACGGCCGACGGCAGTGAAAGCCGCCTCTAATTCCTCGCCCCGCACACAGATTAGGACTTCGCCAGTTTATTGTTGGGACAACAGAGGCTTTGTCAGACGCTGTAATGAGCATCGAAGCTCCGATCAGAAATTGCCGGCGAACTCGTCCAAATGAGCTTCAGCCCTCGATCCTTTGACCCACTTTGCTTCGCTCCCTGGACAATCCTCCCCATTCATCCAAATGTGCGTCGGCTCTCGCCACGAGTCAGCCGTTTAATCTCCCCCCCCCCACACCCCCCCCCCCACTCCCACCTCAAAACAGGACCCGTGAAAGTCCTCCCCACTTCCCCCCCCCACCCCCTCCCCACCCTGAGCCCTCATCTGCCCCATCCAGGACAGCGAGTGACCGATCTTATCGAGGGGAGTTGTCTGCCAGGACACTGGGTGGGGAGAGAGAGAGAGAGAAAGAGAGAGAGAGAAGGGGGGGGAGAGAGGGGGAGAATCTTTAACGTCCGCCTGGCGGCCTGGTCTGCCTCGCAGAATGCGCGGTCACTACACTTCACGGCGAAATGCTGTGCGGCTTCTCGACACGCATGTAAGGCAGTGTCGGAAATATTATGAGACCCCTCGGGAGATAATAAGCTGTCAACTGCGGCAGTGACCGTTTGCCGGTCGACATTCCGATCCAACTCCTCACCGCGTCTTCGAAGCGTCTCGAAGGGGCTTCGCCGAATACACCGTTAGGCGAATTGCCCGCGTATTTTGTGGGCGAAACGCGCTCCCCGGATTTTATCCCCACCCCGCTTAAAAAAAAATATTGCCCCCCCCCACCCACCCACACCTCGTGCCCGTTTGCGGGACGTGGCTGGGCGCAAAGCAGCTTCCGCGCGCCCGCCCTACAAATGATACAGTCGCTGAGTTTCACGAGAGGCTCTTGATGTTACAGGCATCGTTATTATTATTTATTCCGGTTTATTGCGGGGGAAACGATGATGGTTACACATTGTCGCGAGATGTGACTGTGGATGACATTTCGCTTGCAGTCCTTCCCTTTCCACCCACACCCCTCCCCCCCCACCCCCACCATCCCAGGTGAGAGAGAGAGCGCGGGTGGGGTGGCGGGTGGGTGGGGTGGGGGGGCGGGTAGAGAGGAGATGGTCTCCATCTCTGTCAAAGCTCGTCAGATCATCGCCCTACACCAAAGACGGTTGTTAATATAATTAATTCACGCTTCATCCTGCGATGTGTGTTACACACATTGGTGGACATTTGCGCTGTTGGTAACTCAAGGGTTAAGAACGAGTCCTTCCTCTCCCCCGCCGCCCCTTCCCCCCCCCCCCTCAAATACCCTGAGCCCTCATCTGCCCCAGAGAGATAGAGGGAATTCTGCAATGGGTTAAGCTCTCCGAGACTCCGTCCGGTGTGAAGGGCGCTACATAAATACGAGTTGTTGTTGCTTTACCTCCGAGTTTGGGGGGGGGTTTAGGAAGGGGGAAGAGAGGGGGAGATATCTGCCAGTGAGGGTAACAGAGTATACCCATCCACCCCCACCCCTTACTTCTTTCTGTTCCTCAGAACGACACATACACACTCACACACACACACACACACTCGCTCTCTTTACGTTTGCATTTACAAGTGACTAGAGACTTGGGTTTACGGGAGGGCTGAGATCTGTGGACGAGAGAGAGAGTGTGGGGGGTGGGGGGGGTGGGGTGGGGATGGGGGGGGAAGGAGAGAGAAAGAGAGAGAGAGAGCGAGAGAGCGGGGGAGTTCTGGCTGGACTCCACTCAACACACACGAGAGAGAGGTTTCACAAGCGAACCTACGAGCTCGAGTGCTGATCTCACCCTCAACACAATCTGTTTCCCATTTAAAGGTCTGTATCCCATCCCATCCCCTTCCCCCATCCCCCCCACCCCCCCCCCCCCCTCCCCGCCAACCGCACCCCGAGGGGGAAGGGAGGGAGGGAGGGAAGAAAATGGAGTGTGGGCGAGGGCGGGAGGGGGAAGAGAACAAGGAGCAGAACCCAACAGCTGGAACAGATGAATGTCTACCAAGCGGATGCAGCTCGCGCTCGGACCGTTAATCAATGACCCCGTGACCCTTGTCTGGACCGTCGAGGCTGACTTCGAACGGCCTCTTAACCCAACTTAACGTTCTTCCCTTTCACTGGTTTCTGATTAAGAGCAATGTCTCCCCCACCCCCACCCCCCCCACACCCGCTCGGGCTCAATCCCCTCTCGTCCGCCCTCCTATTTGGGAGCGAATGTCGATTGCAACCCTCCCGTTTCACACAGCCTAACAACGTCTTTTTCCCCCCGCCCCCCCACCCACCCCCCCCCACAACGAGCCACGTGGGTTCCTTAACATCCGTCCACCCGAACGGGCGCAGACGAGGTGGGGGGTGTGGGGGCGGGAAGGAGATAGGTGTCGCGTCTCACCCGAAGGGACAGCACACAGCGCCTGTGTCAACAACACCACTCGTGTGGTTCAGGACTGAATTGAAGGTTCGCTCCTGTTATCTGTGGCGGAGACTTAACACTAACACAGTATTAACGCAGTACAGTACATCTCCTTTAAATCCAAATACGCCGTGCGTTCCAACAAAGACCTGGCGTTACGCCAACCACACAAGGATACACACAACTCCCCACAGTTAGCCGCTCTGCTCTGAGCTGACATTGCTCTCTCTAACATTGTTGTCCTATTCCCCCCCCCCCCACCCCCAACACCCCCCCACGCCGTGCGTGGTCCCAAAACTTCTCGACGCCAACGAAAGATTTTCTTAATTTCTCCCCAAAAAAAACAACTCACTCCCTTTTCCTCCCGGGCAAAAAAACAAACAAAACAAAAAAAAACACCCGCACAAAGAAACCTTAGGGATAAAAAACACGGGCTCCCTTCGGAGAGACGGACGGTGGAAGCAGAGAGAGTCGTTTGTTTCAAGAACAAACGAGTCAGATATAATATCTCGGGGATAGATAGGGTATATAGTTTGGGACCCGACGCGTTAAGCAACGGCTTAAGGGATGGTGGAGGACGAACTTGATAGGCCTTGGTCTTTTGCCGAGCAAATAGTATGATATATATATATTTAATGTATATATAAATGTTATATATATATATATTCTCATGAGCTTAAACCCTCCTTTAAACTCTTCCCCTTCTTGGGAAACAAAGGCAGAAAATAACAGCAAACTCCTTATAACCCGTCACCGCCAGGGAAAGGGCTGAGTGATGAGGTTGTGCGTGTGTATAAATAAATGTGGCCGGGATATTGACAGTAACGATGACTTAAGTGGCAGTGACCAATTAATTAATCCAGGGTTGAGTTATAAGGAGTTTTCCGTGATAATATTTTTTACTTTTTACTCCCCCCCACCCCCCCCCCCAACCCCCCAGGCCATTTTTTTTTCACCTGCGCTTGTGTTCTGACCCTCTGAAGCGCCCAGATCCGCTTAGCGTTACTTAAGGGCTTTGGGTTGCAGGGTTAACAACAACAACATTACGTTTGTGTAGCGCCTTTCGCGTCGGGAGGACGTCCCAAGGCGCTGGATAGTCAGTGCTTCGGGAGCTGAGTGGGAGGATTCCCTGCCCTCGTGACTGGTCTGCCACTTCCAGGTCCCGGGCATGTCATGAACCGTGCGAGAGAAAGAGAGAGAGAGGGAGAGAGAAGCCGCCGCAGAGGGCTGGACCCAATCTGACACGCCATCGCAAAGCACGTCACCTGGGCTCGGGGGCCAGCCGAGCTCCGAGGAGAGCGAGAGGAGAGCTGGGTCCTCCACTTGTCAGCGATTAACAGTCTGCCAGGCTAATTGGAAACACGCACGGAGCAAGTAGATGGTAGATTCAATGAAAAAAGATGCCTCTTCTGTTACAAAAGCTCTGTCCCTTGCTCCCCATCAGGCACTAACGGCTTCTACACATCGCGAGGCCAGAGAGTGACCTCCCCCACCCCCAACCCCCCCCCCCCGCCACCCCCACCGCCAAACACACACACACACACAGAGCTCGCCTGTGTCTTGACCCCCGATCCCTGACCCCAAGCGACTTCAGATACTGTAAGTAAAGGCTTTGTCGAGAGTAACTGAATGTCTATTGTTGGCTCAGATGAGACACCATTAGGTTGTGCACTGGTTCCCCGAACTGCCTTGACAAACTCCCAATTTACTAATAGGCCCTTCCAGGCCAGGCCGCTGGTGAATGAGACGCAGTGTTTCCAGGAGGCTTTGTGCCCGTCAAACCCGTGTGAAGTCCGCTCATTAATATTTATCAAGTGGGATACGTAAA